CCATAATTTATTTAAATAAAATCAATATCAAAGTACTCGATAAAATATTGATGTATTGGAAACATTCTTAGATTCGCCAAACTGTAATTGATCGCGATATTTCGCGGTGTTTCGTATGTTTAGCATTTTAATCTCAAAAAATAAAATTCATTTTAAATGTTAATTTAACCAGAGAAGACAAGTCATTTATATATTTCCATGATATCATAATTACATGTGATATTTCATCTTTTCTGAACTCGACGAAACCCTGTTTTCGAATGCCATTCTTAATGGACCGAAGGCTGAAAAATTCGAGGCAGAATCTCAAATGACATCACTCGCGTGAATTTCCGGGTCGGAATCGGAGCACGCAAAAATTTCCTCGTTCACCGTTTCTTCGCATAAACGTGAGCTCCCTTTCGCGCAGTTCTCACAAACATTTGCATTCTTCGCGATAAGAGTCGATTCTAATTTAGCCTAAATTAATTTAATCGAATTCAAATTTATTATCGCGTACATATTCCGAATTAGAAATCTTGAAAAGAATTTTAACTCAGTTTCAAATAATACAATTTATATTTCATTTATTATTTATTTATTACGAGTTTTTGCCCTTTCATTGACCATGTGTGAACGCAGCTTTACGTAAGTCCCACATATCCGTGACAGCAAGGAGGGCAAGGAACGAGCGGACTTTAAACGACACGTAAATATGCATATCAATCCGCTGACATCGTGAGGAACTGCCTTACGCCAGCGGCATGCAAAAACGCATGTCTGTCGTCGGAGAATGGCAGTATGCGTATTTGAGAACTTTTGTAGCAAGTTTCAATGCCCTGTTCTTTTCTTTCATATTTTATTTGCTATAAATATACAAGGTGCCCCACATTTAACGGAGCTCACATTTATCTGGAAATTTTTTGATTATTATTTTATAATGATATAAAAAACCTCTCATAAGCGATTAAAATTAAGGTGTTTCTTAGTAATAAGATAAGAGATAAAATTTCCTCCTTCTTAATTATTTTCTCGAGAAAATTTTATTTTAACGAAATTTATAAATTAAAGTTTAATTACAAAGATATTTAATAAAGGAAAAATTCGTGATTAATTTCTGTCAACATTTTTATTAATAAATAATTGAATCGAATTCGAAGAAAAGCGATTCATTGAGTTTTTAACATCTTGTACATTCGCCAAGCGTTGATATAATCTGCAAACGAGATATGCTAACGCGAATACGCATCGTCGTCTTGCAGTCTATAAATTTACATACATTTACAGTGCATCTGTGGACGAAAGCTAGCTAAAAATATTATTCTAGAAGGACATCATACACGCCGTGATGAAAATTCAACATTTTTCCTTTCATGTAAAACTTACTCAATCTGAAACCTAAATTCAAATTAAATTTCCGATTTTTCTTATGACCAAGAAAGCAAATTATTTAAAGATGTAGCACCGCTTATTGTTTTTACGTAACCAAATGTACAGATGTAATATCGCGTAACAAAATACATATTTTTATCTGAATAGCTGGAGGGTCCGTTAAATAAATTATTTTATATTATATTTTATATTTAATTAATTTATTAATAAATTTATTAATAAATTTTATATTTAATTAAATTATTTTATATTTAATTAAATTTACAATTGTTTCTATATTAAATTGAGAGAGCACAACGTACTTTGCGAGAACAAATATTCTTTATTTCGGGGCTTCCATAAATCCATCATCTACTGCCGAAATCAGCAAATAAGCTTCCGGTTTTTTGGAGAAATGTGTGCGTGTATGTATGGATTCTTACATATTCCAGGCATCTGATATTTACAAATTTTGAAATCTTGTCATTCTTAACTTGTTTAAGCGTATATTTACCTTAGAATATATTCTGGAAAAGACATGTGGCTATTTTTTACTGTTTCCTAATTTATATTTGATCTCATCTGTTCGCGTTAATCACAATATATTTATTAGAGTTATTTAAAAGTATTTATTTAAAGTATTTATGTAAAAAAGTATTTATTTAAAAATAATTTATTTAAAAGTAATTTAGAAATAATATATCGTTATGTCATAAATTATAAATAATATTTTATATTAAAATATAAATGTATTATTAAAAATTTTTTTTCATTTAAAAAACACGTTTGTAGACAATTTCGAATAAAAACAGATGTGTGGTTATTTCTGTTATATATCGCTCAAATAATTTTCTATATCTTATCTTTTAAGATATTTTCATTAAAATTATTAAACATAAGTTTAAAAATTGACATATATTAATGGATATTTTTAAATAAATATTGACAAAAAATCGCTGTGTTTTTTTTTTTAACAAGAAATTTGTGGGAGGCCTGGAAATTCAAGAATGTTAAGACTATAGATAGCAATCTCATACTTCAAGATTCTAATATTGACATATGCTAAAATTGTTCTTCTTAGTTTAATCAAACTTAAATTTTAGATTTCGTGATTTTCAGATATATTTTTTGCTCGGAATTTAATTGCGTTTAGGCGCTCTCTTAATGACTAAATTTCATTGAGTAATATTTTCTTTTACAACCTGTTAACATAAACAAATTACAAATTATTGAGATACTAAAATTTTAATCATAAAAATATTAAATTAAATATGAAATATTTTCTAAATTTTTTCGCAAATATTTTTTTTCTCTTAAGTAATCGGTTACTGAACTTTCTTTTAGTTATTTTAATACCCGCTGCAAACCGGATCAGTCGGGATTATTTACAGGAAAAATAAGGAGGATGTGACTCCACCGAGGTAGAATGCTTAAATCCGATAAAAGACTCTTTATATTTCTTGGAAGGCATCCTTGCGTGCAGGACGATACCTTCACAAGCTATACATTACTTCTACAATCAACGAATACACAATTTGTTAAAAAAATAACAAAATCACAGGGAAAAAATGCATTTAGAGCAAAAGACATACCTAATAAACATAATAACGTGCTTGTACGAAATACAAAAATAGGTAGCTGAACAATTTGTAAAACTTTTAAAATATATTTTAAAATATATATTTTAAATATATTTTAAAATATTTTTTGAAATATATTTTAAATATAAAAATATAAATATATTTTAAAATACATTTTATAAGTAAGGTTAGAGTACTTAAAATATGTATATAAATATCTGCATTTTGAAATAAATAAATATAAACAAATATAAATTGTTTAAGATATTAATTAATAATTTTTATATATTATTAAAATTATTTTACATATATTTGTTTATTCTAATATTTAGTTTATTCTAATTATTTGAAAAAATAAAAATTTGATAATATTAATTTCATAATATTATTATAAAAGATATTAAAATTTATACTTCTCTTCTCTGTCTATAGAATAAACTTTAATTGGCCAAGTATGTAGATTCTGGAATTAAAAGCAGTTTCTTGTATCTACATTTCTTATCGCGGATCTGTATTGTCATTTTAATTCTAATTTATTCGGATTCACTTAGACTGGAGGAAGAAAGTGATCGCCGCAGGCTTACGTATTATAATACCTGTTGCTTCATTAACAATAGTAAAGCATAACAGGTTTCGGCAAGAAGAAAATTATTTTTCAACAGATAAGACGTATCGCGCACAATAAGTCTATTAGAGACAAGATTTCTAATATCGATATTACATAAAAAGCTTATTAAAATATTACCAAATTTTATTATATATCTTCGAGAAACAAACAGATTTATTATAAAGCAATTAATAGTAGTTATTAAGAATCTTTTCTCGAATAATTTTTAGATTTAGTTACAAAAGAAGACAATAAAAAATTTTATTATAATATTTTACGAAATGCTGAACAGTTATTAAGATAATTTTTTAATCAGTTAATTTTTAAGATAATTTTTTATTTCATTAATTTTTTAATTAACTAATAAAAAATTAATGTTTATTCATCTCGACATTTTTTCATTGTTTCACAATCACTCTTCGAAGAATCAAATGAGTCTATCTTTTAAAAATAAAAACCTTTAAAAAAAATTAATTGATTTCAGTAATTCTATAAAACAATGTCATATTACAAATACACACAAAAAGAAAAGTTGCAAACCGTTGCAATGAGCAATAGATGCATTCTAGAATCGTACAAAGCCTTACAGAAGTCAATCATGTTCCAACAATTGCACAAAGGACGTGCTTGAAAGTGCGTTCTTCGAATTCAATTAAACGACATATTGATCCATAATTAATCGATGCCTTTGGAAGCCAATCTATTAATCACCTTGGCGTATATCGTTAACTAAATATGGAGAAATTATTTGAGATTAATTCACCTGTTATTAATTCACCTGTTTATCCATCAAGCGTGGGAGACAAACCTAAGGTTAGAGACTTAAGACCTAAGTGCGCTTACGTAAGAGCGCACCTGAACCACATTCCCCGGAACAACGCATCTTCAATCGAGGTCCATCCGTTCAGCCAAGAGATCAAGATGCGCATAATGATGGGAATAATCCCTTGCAAGTTATCGAATATCAAGATCCTATCGCGCGTTTGATCCTGTTATTTCCAGAGACAGAGACAGAATCGGACAAGCAAAAATTGGGTTGAAATGTCGAGATAATTTAAGATGAATGTAAAAAAGATAATATAAGGTGATAAAAATAATAACATATGGTAATAAAACAAAATGAAATGACTGACGGGTGCTCTAGATTTTTAAACGGCAGGAATTTCCAAATAATGTCCTTCGTAAAGTGAAGCAATTCACATAAAATGGTTGCAATCCCCGAGACGAATTAAGATGCGATTTAAAATTAACGATTAGATAATGTGTCAAATTAATGCTATCGCTACCAATGACTCAGCATGAAAAAAAAATTATATTCCGTATGAAAGAAGGAGAGAGTGCAAGAAGTCGAAACGAGAAGAATAGGGAAAAGAGAAGATGCGAGCATGTGGATATAGGACCCGTTGGGGGGTCGGCGACCCCCTCCCTGTATAAAAGTCTTTTTCTGCCGGCGACCTGTTCAGTCTTTCAGTTCGCGGCGCGCTGCGTGCGATTATCTTCAGGAATCATCCTCGTTGTCGTCGTCCTGCAAAGGTGATCGGTCGCATACTATGTCCTACTGAGAGGAAAATCTCCTTAAGATGCTGCGGCGTGCTACCGCTGCTCTCTTCACCCTGGTACGTCTTCCTTTATATCGTTTCGCGCACTTTTCTCGGGATTTAGAAAAAATCAATTAATTTTTACGACAAAAAAATTTCTTCTTCGAGATGCGAGAGCTCATTATTGAAAATATTATTTCGCTTTTAATGACAAATCTGAAAATAATGCATGTCAATAAAAAATGCATGTTCAATTAATTAACGAAATGATGAAGCAAAAATGAATTATAAAATAATAAATATACAATTACATTTATCATAAATTATAGTTTTATTTCAACGAATTTTTAAAAAATAATTAATTAAAAATTTAGTTTTGAAGTTTAATTGTTTTATGTTAAATTAAATTTAACATAAAATGGTTAATTTATTTTCTTCTTCAAAAGAAATACATACTTATATTGTTTCAAGAGGGAGGAAAAATTATTTATATTTAAATTTTAATAATTTATTTAATTTTAATAAGTTATTTATATCTAAATTTTAATAAATTACTTAATTTTAATAAATTATTTATATTTAAATTTTTATAAATTTATTAGAAATCATTTTTTATTTCTTTTCTTAATAAATAATTACCAAAATTTAATATTAATATTGACATGTATAAAATTTCAAGTTAGCTTTTGGTTTTTATTTACTAATTATTTTCTGACGATCATTACTATTACTATTACTATCAATTATTACATAATATTTATGCAAGGTAATAGTACGTAATAGAAAGTGGCGCTGATTACAAGTCGATAATAGCCGCGCTTCGTCGTGACTCATTATCCACGAGACTTTCATTGATCTTGGCACTCACTCAAGGGAGAGAGAATACTATTGCACTATATTTCATTCATAACTCTCTCAATGCCACGGTTGATATCGTGCAACATCGTATGCACGATGCATAATGTAATGTCCCATGACTCTGACCCGTGTTTCCTCTATTAAGTGAAATTCGCATAATTATCTCAGTACTCTATTAATAACATTATTATACGTGATAATTTATACAACAACAACATTATCTTATCATTATTATACAAATATCACATTGTTAATTTACATTATGTAAAAATGAGACTCACTCGAACTGTTTGATTCGATTTGACTCAATCGACGAAATACGATTGCATTTTAAAAACTTAATTTATATATTTGAAATTATCATCATTTTTTAATTATTTAATATAAATATAAAAATCGTAAACGCCGCATATCTCTAGATTTGTTAACAGCAAAACGAACCGTATCCAAAGATAGTTTCTATAGATGCGAGATAACTATAGTACGGCCGGTAGTCGTCAATCATTGCCAGATCCACTTTCCATGGAATGGCACGGACATTTCGCAAGTACGAATCTACCCTGTAATTTGAATTCGATATTTTATATTCCATATTAAACTTTCGAGCACAAGGTCTTCACATTTAGGACGCATCCAACAAGACTTACTTGTATTTTGTAACGTTTTGAAAAAAATAATATAAGTAATTATAAAGACTGAATAATTTTTTATAAATTAACCAGTATGACAGAAAAAAATTAATCTTTCGTTTAATTAAAATGAATTTCTTAAGTAGAATTTTTTAAATATAATATTTAATTATTAGGATATTTAAACTTTGAAGGAATCACAATTTTTTTTCTTCTCTTTTTTTTGTATTTTTAGTCACATATGGGGGGTCACTATATCTTATTTTTAACGATCTCAAAATGGTTCTAAAATTTTATATAAATTCCTTGACACCTATAGAAAATGATCATGCATGGCAAAAATTAAAAGATAAATTTTAAATATTTTTTATTGATTACTTATCTTACATGTTCTATTGTTAAAATATCGATAAAATCAAAATCATCCATATATGATCTTTAAGAGATATTTAAAACAATTAATCTTATATTTCATTAACAAAATCCCAATATTTACAATTATCTCTTTCTTTTTTTATTACTAGAATATTAAGAAATTATTCGAATTAAAAATTATTAATTGATTGAGAAATTATTAATTGATCGAATTTAATGCGAAGTTAGGAGAGAGAAAAAAATTGTAAAGATAGAAGAACTAAGTGTTTCGAGATTGACCAAAAAGTGACCCAGTAAATGAAATTTGTATGGGATTTTCCAGCGATTGTTTTATTGATTTTTTCAACGATAATTTCGATTAATTAAAGATACAGATTCATGAAAAGTCTATTGCCAAAATAGGCATCGGTTTCAAGTGGCGATCAGATGTCGGATGAGATGTCGGGTAAAATGAGTCACGTGCAGACATTTGTCGCTAAAAGTGCGTCATTCACATCTGATGTAAAGTTTTGTCCTTGACGTGCCGACACGTTATTTGGAAGCGTTTAAAATAAAAAGCGTGTGATTCTGTATATCTCAATAGATCTTCTTGTACGTATCACCTTATACGCGTTTGTGATATTAAATTAATGGCCATCGGAATATTTGAAACATCAGATTTGCTCACTTTTATCGTGCTCTTCCTAATAAGTATATTTTAGTTGAAATGTGGACAACGAGAAAGAAACAGAGACTGCATTTATGAGCAGATCTCTTAATAATTTTTTCAATTTTAAATTTATTATACAAATATTTATAATATCTTATATAAATCGAAATATTTTTCCAAAAAGTGATAGAAATTTTTCTTATAATACTTTAAATAAGATTAAAAATTACTTAGCAGCTGCGAAATATACATTTAAATATTTATATAGATTTATTATGAAGAAATTCGTTAATCTTTCTTTCTCTTCTTAATTACCAGGAATTACCGGCACTCAATTGCATGAAAATTGCAGTTTTGTACCATTAAATATAATGAGACGTCAAAAACGAAGAATAGAAAATATTTAAAGCAGTTAATCTTATATTCTAATATTTATACTTATCTCTTTCCTTTTTTTATTACTAGAATATTAAGAAATTATTCGAATTAAAAATTATTAATTGATTGAATTTAATTTAAATGGAACAATATCTCGAATAATTCACTATTTATAAGGTATAAAATACTAGTGAATTTCGATATCAAAAACAAAATTAAAAGTAACAGACAATTATACACTTTAACGCTTATTATTAATATATATTTTTAATATTTTTTTACTTTTTTAATACATTTTTTATATATTGTTTAATTTTTATTTAATTTATATATTATTTAATATATTATTTAATTTTTTATATTAATATATTATAATATATTATTTTTATTTAATATATTTTTATTTTGATATATTTTAATATATTTTTACTTCGGACTTTAACAAATTTGTTCAAGTTGGCATAGATAGGATAGGCAATTATTCTTGTTCTTCCTACGCGATTAATTTATCGAAATATTATTAAAATATTTTTAAAATAAATGAACTTTGACGGCAATAATATCGTTGAGATCAATGCCGTCGACCGTGCAAAAGGCAAATAATTGTGTCTCGGAGGCTTCGCCCCAGGTTAAAATCGCTGATTCCTTACGCAATCGCTTACAGGTGACTTTCACTGAAAGATGATGCATCGATCTGGCCCCCATGTACGCGATTCATAAGATGATACAGCTTTGACCAGGCCATTTGACTGGCAGATTCGCTATGAGCAATTAAAAGAGATCCGGCTGCGTCAAATGCCGTCCCGTTTACCTTTAACTCATATCAAAGTCTTGAATGCGCGCCTTGTTTACTTCGATCAATTCTCGATAACATCTAGCGATTCGTAGAAATTTTTGATTGCAAGCATATAAAATGCAATTTTATGTATTCGTGATCAAAAATATTAACCATATATCTCACCCTGCGATTTTTTCATATACATAATTGCTAGCACAAATGTCAATTGAATCCGACTATGATGAAAGCAATTTGAATGATCAATGCTTTAAAGATGAAGGTTGATTAGCGATTTCTAGCGTGATATTAAAGATCGCGTCGCATTCTTTGCCTAGTCAAAGATGAAAGTCGACATCGAGTAGGGTGAATCCTCGGTTGAAATAAGAACGTGATCGCATTTTTTTCAATTCTCCCCTGGCGGATACGCAATGTCCCTGAACGAAATCTAATTTTCATTCTCTCTTTCTCTTTCTCTTTTTCTCTCTTTCTATTGCTTAATAGTTTTTTAATCTGTTTTTTATTGTTTTTATTTTACTAGATATTAATGCTAACATTAGTAATTTTAGATCATAAAATATATAGTTAAAATAAAAATAAAATATGTAGTAATGAAATGACTGAAATAATGGATGAATAATGACCAAAATAACGTATAAATGGATGATTAATAACCAAAACAATTTACAAACAAAATAATAAAATGTATATACAAAATATCAATTTAATTAGATAATTATTAATAAATTATTTAATTAGATAAATAAACAATTTAATGATTCTATGAAAGATTGATTGAAAATTGATATAAATATGATTACGTAATGACTTCTTATTTCTTTCACTCTGAAATATATTTGATAATTGATAATTGATTAATTAAATAATAAAATAATAAAATAATAAAATAATTATTATTAAATAAATAATTATTGACAATTGTAAAAATCGTCAAATTTATTGATTCACTTTTCATCTGTAATCTTTTTGATTAATTTGAATTTGACTGATGGTTCACTGGGTCTCTGGGGTATTTCTTCTATCATTACGCATGTTATCCGCCCATACCGGTAATTTGACTCACAATGTTGCATAAATTAACATCTTATCATGCAGTCGATGACTCTAATGTTTGCCTAAGCTAAGAGCTGAAATAATTAATAAATCGTATAGTATCATAGTAATTTTCGAAGTTTAATTTCCGATGCTGTGTAAATATATGGGGGAGGGGGGGGAGGAGAAAAGAACTTAATTTCAATTATTATTATTTTATTGTCACGAATGTGTGTGCCATTCTTTCAATTTCTCTGCAGTATGTCATTTCAACTTAGCAAATAAATATTAGTTTTAATCAATAAACAAAATCAGTTTATATCTTTTAAAAATGCATTCATACTTTTTAGAAGCAAAAAAAATTAAATCGATATATTTTTTTTTATCGATATATTTTAATCTATTTCTAATAGACTATTTCCTTTATATTAATTTTACATTGTTAATACTCAATATTTTACTCGATTATTAATGAGTTTATAAATTATTAGTCAAAAACTTTTTAGAGGAAAAAAAGGAAAAAAGACATATAAATGATTCTAAAAAATATATAAAAATATATTAAAAATATATAAAGTATATAAAGATGTATAAAAAAATATACATATATGAAGATATATAAAAAAATATACATGTATGAAACTTGTTTAGTAAAGTAGAGTATAGAAAGTTTAGAATAACATTTCGTTAGAATCGAAGCATCTCAAATATGAAAATAAGATTGCATCAGAGAACAAACGACTTGTAACGTGCTCAAACGTTATGATCGCCTTGACTCGAAACGATCTTGCTCTTTCTCTGTCTCTATTGTCCACTAAAATATCGCAATATAAATACCGTAGGGATTAATCCTCGCGGCAACATTTGACGCGGCAAGTGCGCATGGGGGAAGGGTTCGGTCGGGAGTAGCATATATTAACCTTTCGTTATACAGTCTGTCAACTCTTCTCGGGGCTGGAAGAAAAAGATGATGAAGAGGAATCCCGCTCACGCAGCCTTCTCGGAATCGCGACTTTCCCTTCTCGTGGGTGGAACACTGTTGAGATCATCAATCGCGCGACATCGAGCCGCGGATCCTGGGGCCCAGAAGACCTAACTTAACGCGGCCGACCAGGACACGTGCTACTTTTGACAGCACGAACGAACGCTCTCTCGTTATTTATACGAGAAATTTTCGTCGAACATGAATCGATTTCGAAATCGGATAGAACGGTCTATACTGGCGATTGTTAAGTGATATCGCGGAATCAAAAGTTTTGGACGTGAAGTGAGGGTAATTAAGAGATTATTTTATACGAAATAAAACGTTAATTTAAAAAATTGAAAAATTATTTTTAAAAAAGTAGATTAATCTCAGTTAATTATTCTAATAACAAATAATCCTCTTGTGCTTATCAGATATTTATGATTACAATGAAATGCATATTTTATAATTATTTAAGATATTTTTTAATAAAATAAATTAATAAAGTAAATTAAATAAACTAAATTAAATTAAATTAATTTACTAAAATAAATTAAATAAGAAATTAAGATTAGCTCTTTTGTAACTGATTTTAAGACACTAGGGTTAAGATGCAGACATAATTTATCTTCATCGAATTGAGACTTAAATTAAAATTAATTAAGCCTCAATAATCTCTGACAGATTAAATACGTACAATTAAACAGCCGAATACGTTTAGATAAATTATGACGAAGGAATTCTGATAGCCTACCTTGACATTCTCTCGACCTGTAAGTGCGAAAGAGACCATTTCATTCGCCATGTCCATTTAGGGAGATGCTCAAGACACAAGCGTAATCTTTCGAGAGAACATTGCTAGCTTTCGTAATAGTATTCAACGATCCTGTTGCGAGAGCATACAGGTATTCCTCGTTATTATTATAGCCATGAAACTCAATGGTGATAAAGTGGCGAGAATGAACAAGAAAGGGCTCGAATTTGATACCGGATTCGATATATGGTTATTGATCATCGATGAAATATATAAATTACAAAGCACCTGTTCTCATATTCATGTAATTCGATTCGATTCGCAAGATTTCGCAAGATTATTATCGAGATTTATTAAATGACATCTACCTCTGACGAGCTGTTTTTAAATTTTTTAATACTTTTTTTTTTAATTGGAAATTGGAGCGCAAGGAAGAAGATAAAACATCTCCTTTTGTCATTAGTTAATTAATTTATTATATAATTAATATATTTATTAATATGTATTAATTTATTATTTAATTTATGTCATTATGATCATTAATTAATATATGTCAAAAATATTAATTAATGTATTTAGTTATATATTAATGAAATATATTAATATATATTTCAAAAAATTAATAATTAAAAGAAAACAGGAGAGGTTTTTTCCTCTTCCTTGCACTCTAATTGTTTCGTCTTGTCTCTTACTTGTCAATTTTTAATTTTTTAATTATTGTTATTATTTAAGCCAATTTTTTATCTTAATTTTTACACTTTTTCATTACTCGCAGCATCATGAATTATCGTACGGAAGTAATTTGTTAAAAGCAAGTGTATAAGAGAGTTATCATCTCATGCAAATTGAAAATTAAAAAAAACATTTCTACCGTTAGTTGATCATCTTCGACTTTCGCTTATGCGGAATGGATAATTAATTGAGATCAGAAACGGCAGCGAAAGGTACATAGTTTGTCCACCATCGAGAAAGTGGAAATATATTACCTCATCGAAGATATGGCAATATATTCGAGGATAAAGAGAAGATGAGTTCCGCATATTGAGTAATCTTCTCTTTTTTAAAGTATCTTGATCTCATTTTAATTCTGATAATTTATAAATTTATGTTACGTATATCTCGAGAACTGATTTGTAGCTAATTAAATTTTCTTGAGATAGAGTAATACATCAATCCCTTTTTTATATTAAGAAAAAATATAAGATCCTATTGAAAAAAACATTAAATGATTTTAATTTTGCTTTTAATAGAAAGACATTTTTAATAATAATAATATCGTAACATTTTCTTCATCGAAAACCAATTTTTTCGCCTATTTATCAGAAACAATTCAAATATCATAGTAAATATCCTGTATTTTTTAAGTATGTAAATTACATATAATGTATATGTAATTAAAAGCAATTGTGTGATTGACGGAAATATAATCGCATTCAAAAGATTTTTCTATAATCGTGCGATACATCTTATGCTTATATTGTTCAGTAGTTACAAATCGCTCTGACTGCAGAAATGAAAAACATCGATGATATTTCACGATTGTACTTATAGATCGTATCAAATACTTAATCCTGGCGACTAATATTAAAGGGCAACTGTTTTTAAACACTAGTTGATAATTACATTACGACTTTGCGTTGGAAATGTCACGAGTCTTGACGAAGCAAAATTATTGCAACTGGCAATCATTTCTTATTAGCGCAAGATATTTCCATAAAGGTAGCATAATGTCTTATAGTACATATATCTACGAGTTTGCAAAAATAAACGATTACAATTTCATTATTAGACATTTAAAAAATATCATGTTTACATAAGATAAAATAAATGTCTTTGAATTTTATGTATGCTATTTGCAATAGATTCGTAATAGAAACATAAATATTAATTTTTTATGATTATTGAAGTCATTATTAACGATACAATATAATGCAAATATGATTCACTGTGGATGGAATATTACCTTTTTCATTTTTTATTCAATTATGTCGTTATTAATTTTTAATTTTTAACTCTCACTAAATCATTTTATATATGCCGCTAAAAATCCATTAATAATACTCTTTGTAATATTTTCATTTTTATAGAAAAATTAAATATGACTTGTGAAAGTAAAAATTAAAATTGGATTAAATATTCACGTGGCTCGTATGCGACTTGAATTATCTTCGCCTCGACATTTAGGAATAAAAGCAATTGTTTTTCAGGTGATTGCTACATCCGTGTCGCAACTCACTCAGGAACCAAGAAGCAGTAATCGGGACAACGATGTGATTCTGAATATTAGCGATGATCAAAAGGTTCAATATTTGAGTCAAAATATTGATTCCGGTAAGTCAAAAGATAAGAATAATGAAAAAAACTTATATTACGCCATTGCATGAATTAAGGGAGAAAGAATAAGTCCATAATTTATGTAAATTTTATCTAGAGTAGACTATACAATTTATGTACTTTTCTTCTTGGTAAAAACAAGTTTTGGATTGTAATAAATTACAATTATATTAATAATATTTTGCAATTAATATTGTATAATATTTTACACAGATGCGTATAAATACGGTTATGATGTCGGACCAAATGGCCAATTCCATCATGAAGTGCGTGGACCAGATGGTATCACTTACGGATGTTATGGTTACATTGATCCGTTCGGTGAACTAAAATCGACATTTTACATCAGTGATGGATGGGGTTACCGCGTTGTTCGGCCCGGAAAGGATGTGGAATTATTCCTTCACAAGCACGAACATCATGAAACTGGAACCGATCATGATCATCATGAGCATCATGGTGTGATTACACCATGGCGAGAATTATATTTTCCCGCAGTATGCGCGCGATACGCAAACATAAACGGTCGACCTCCTGTAAAACCAGATGGAAGTACGTAAAAAGAAATGAAAGTATATAGAAAATATTTATTACATATAACATATTTATAAAATATATGATATCGTAACATATTTTCATCTTATGCAAATTAATATTTTTTAATATACATATGTATACGTGAAATCTGTATTCCAAAAAATATGTTCACGTTTTTTAAGCAGCACCTATTGGAAGTGGATCAACGATAGATGTGAAACCAACTGAGCTTCCTCATAGGCCTGGTGTACCTGGTATATAATTTCTCAAATAATATGTTATAATAGCAATTATAATAGTATTTGACATTTAATTATAATAGTTTTTTTTCACAATTATAATAGTATTTGAAAGTTATATTGCAAGAGAGGTTACATATTAGAGATTACATATATAAAGTATATTCTCTTCTTATTATATATACATATATATGTTTATACTATATATTTATAATTTTCACTTTACTAGTATTTGAAAATAGAAATAAATAAAATATTTATCTTGATTTAATATATATATATATATATATGTGTGTGTGTGTGTGTGTGTGTGTGTGTGTGTGTGTGTGTGTGTGTGTGTGTGTGTGTGTGTGTGTGTGTGTGTGTGTGTGTGTGTGTGTGTGTGTGTGTGTGTGTGTGTGTGTGTGTGTGTGTGTGTGTGTGTGTGTGTGTGTGTGTGTGTGTGTGTGTGTGTGTGTGTGTGTGTGTGTGTGTGTGTGTGTGTGTGTGTGTGTGTGTGTGTGTGTGTGTGTGTGTGTGTGTGTGTGTGTGTGTGTGTGTGTGTGTGTGTGTGTGTGTGTGTGTGTGTGTGTGTGTGTGTGTGTGTGTGTGTGTGTGTGTGTGTGTGTGTGTGTGTGTGTGTGTGTGTGTGTGTGTGTGTGTGTGTGTGTGTGTGTGTGTGTGTGTGTGTGTGTGTGTGTGTGTGTGTGTGTGTGTGTGTGTGTGTGTGTGTGTGTGTGTGTGTGTGTGTGTGTGTGGTGTGTGTGTGGTGTGTGTGTGTGTGTGTGTGTGTGTGTGTGTGTGTGTGTGTGTGTGTGTGTGTGTGTGTGTGTGTGTGTGTGTGTGTGTGTGTGTGTGTGTGTGTGTGTGTGTGTGTGTGTGTGTGTGTGTGTGTGTGTGTGTGGTGTGTGTGTGTGTGTGTGTGTGTGTGTGTGTGTGTGTGTGTGTGTGTGTGTGTGTGTGTGTGTGTGTGTGTGTGTGTGTGTGTGTGTGTGTGTATTAAAGTATTATTAATTAGTATAACTTTTATTAATTTATATATTTCTATTACAAGATATAACAAATAAATTATTATTGTTAATTATAATAAACAGAAAAAAAATAATTATTTTATACGCTATTAATAATAAATATTACAAAAACACAATTATATAACAATAATAACAATAATAATAACACTAATAAAATATAACAAAAGATACAGAAAATCAAAGTTACGATGTATAAATTCTCTCTCTCTTTTTTAATTGTCTCTGTTTCTCTTTCTCTTTATTTCTCTTTTTTTAATCAGAATATCCTGGTATTCCTGGAACCCCGGGTACTCCAGGTTTGCCACCACAACCCGGATATCCCGGCACGCCTGGAACACCAGGAACACCTGGTACCCCAGGCACACCAGGTAAACCAGGAACACCAGCTTATCCAGGAACTCCAGGAACTCCTGGTACTCCAGGCACACCAGGATTGCCACCACAACCAGGATATCCTGGCACCCCAGGCACGCCAGGTAAACCAGGAACACCAGCTTATCCAGGATATCCTGGAACTCCTGGTACTCCTGCAGCTCCAGGCACACCAGGATTGCCACCTCAATCAGGATATCCGGGCACGCCTGGTACGCCAGGAACACCCGGCACACCAGGAAGACCAGGAACACCAGCTTATCCGGGGCAACCAGGAACTCCTGGTACTCCAGGCACACCAGGATTGCCACCACAACCAGGATATCCCGGCACGCCAGGAACATCCGGCACCCCAGGCACGCCAGGTAAACCAGGAACGCCAACTTATCCAGGATATCCTGGAATCCCTGGTACTCCTGGAGCTCCAGGCATACCAGGATTGCCACCTCAACCAGGATATCCGGGCACGCCTGGTACGCCAGGAACACCCGGCACACCAGGAAGACCAGGAACACCAGCTTATCCGGGCCAGCCAGGAACTCCTGGTACTCCAGGCACACCAGGATTGCCACCTAAACCAGGATATCCGGGCACGCCTGGAACGCCAGGAACACCCGGCACACAAGGAAGACCAGGAACACCAGCTTATCCAGGGCAGTCAGGAACTCCTGGTACTCCAGGCACACCAGGATTGCCACCTAAACCAGGACATCCGGGCACGCCTGGAACGCCAGGAACACCTGGCACACCAGGAAGACCAGGAACACCAGCTTATCCGGGGCAACCAGGAACTCCTGGTACTCCAGGCACACCAGGATTGCCACCACAACCAGGATATCCCGGCACGCCAGGAACACCCGGCACTCCAGGCACGCCAGGTAAACCAGGAACACCAGCTTATCCAGGATATCCTGGAACTCCTAGTACACCTGGAGCTCCAGGCACACCAGGATTACCACCTAAACCAGGATATCCGGGCACGCCTGGAACGCCAGGAACACCCGGCACACCAGGAAGACCAGGAACACCAGCTTATCCGGGGCAACCAGGAACTCCTGGTACTCCAGGCGCACCAGGATTGCCACCACAATCAGGATATCCCGGCACGCCAGGAACACCCGGCACTCCAGGCACGCCAGGTAAACCAGGAACACCAGCTTATCCAGGATATCCAGGAACTCCTGGTACTCCTGGAGGTCCTGGCACACCAGGATTGCCACCTCAACCGGAATATCCCGGCACACCAGGATCACCCGGCACCCCAAGTACACCAGGAAAACCAGGAACGCCGGCTTATCCTGCGCAACCAGGAACTCCAGGAATACCTGGCACTCCTGGAACTCCAGGCACACCGGGATTGCCACCACAACCCGGATATCCCGGCACCCCAGGTACGCCAGGAAAACCTGGAACGCCGGCTTATCCGGGGCGCCCAGGAACTCCTGGCATTCCTGGAATAGCAGGCACGCCAGGATTGCCCCCACAACCCGGATATCCCGGCACACCAGGAACACCCGGCACCCCAGGTACACCAGGAAGACCAGGAACACCGGCTTATCCAGTGCAACCAGGAACTCCTGGCATTCCTGGAACCCCAGGCACACCGGGATTGCCACCACAACCCGGATATCCCGGCACACCAGGAACACCAGGAAAACCAGGAACGCCGCCTTATCCGGCGCGTCCAGGAACTCCAGGTATTTCTGGAACCCCAGGCACACCGGGATTGCCACCACAACCGGAATATCCCGGCACACCAGGAACACCCGGCACCCCAGGTACACCAGGAAGACCAGGAACGCCGGCTTATCCGGGACGCCCAGGAACTCCAGGCATTCCTGGAATCCCAGGTACACCAGGATTGCCACCACAACCCGGATATCCTGGCACGCCAGGAACATCCGGCACTCCAGGCACACCAGGAAGACCAGGAACACCGGCTTATCCAGTGCAACCAGGAACTCCTGGCATTCCTGGAACCCCAGGCACACCAGGATTACCACCACAATCCGGATATCCCGGCACACCAGGCACACCAGGAAGACCAGGAACGCCGGCTTATCCGGGACGCCCAGGAACTCCAGGCATTCCTGGAACTCCAGGGACACCGGGATTGCCACCACAACCCGGATATCCTGGCACGCCAGGAACACCCGGAACTCCAGGCACACCAGGTAAACCAGGAACACCAGCTTATCCGGCGCAACCAGGAACTCCAGGTATTCCTGGAACTCCTGGAATACCGGGATTGCTACCACAACCCGGATATCCCGGCACGCCAGGAACACCCGGCACTCCAGCCACACCAGGAAGACCAGGAACGCCGGCTTATCCGGGACGCCCAGGAACTCCAAGCATTCCTGGAACCCCAGGGACACCGGGATTGCCACCACAACCCGGATATCCTGGCACGCCAGGAACACCCGGAACTCCAGGCACACCAGGTAAACCAGGAACACCAGCTTATCCGGCGCAACCAGGAACTCCAGGTATTCCTGGAACTCCTGGAATACCGGGATTGCCACCACAACCCGGATATCCCGGAACGCCAGGAACACCTGGTACTCCAGGCACACCAGGAAGACCAGGAACACCGGCTTATCCAGTGCAACCAGGAACTCCTGGCATTCCTGGAACCCCAGGCACACCAGGATTACCACCACAATCCGGATATCCCGGCACACCAGGCACACCAGGAAGACCAGGAACGCCGGATTATCCGGGACGCCCAGGAACTCCAGGCATTCCTGGAACCCCAGGGACACCGGGATTGCCACCACAACCCGGATATCCTGGCACGCCAGGAACACCCGGAACTCCTGGCACACCAGGTAAACCAGGAACACCAGCTTATCCGGCGCAACCAGGAACTCCAGGTATTCCTGGAACTCCTGGAATACCGGGATTGCCACCACAACCCGGATATCCCGGAACGCCAGGAACACCTGGTACTCCAGGCACACCAGGAAGACCAGGAACGCCGGCTTATCCGGGACGCCCAGGAACTCCAGGCATTCCTGGAACCCCAGGGACACCGGGATTGCCACCACAACCCGGATATCCTGGCACGCCAGGAACACCCGGAACTCCAGGCACACCAGGTAAACCAGGAACACCAGCTTATCCGGCGCAACCAGGAACTCCAGGTATTCCTGGAACGCCAGGAATACCGGGATTGCCACCACAACCCGGATATCCCGGAACGCCAGGAACACCTGGTACTCCAGGCACACCAGGAAGGCCAGGAACGCCGGCTTATCCGGGACGCCCAGGAACTCCAAGCATTCCTGGAACCCCAGGGACACCGGGATTGCCACCACAACCCGGATATCCTGGCACGCCAGGAACACCCGGAACTCCAGGCACACCAGGTAAACCAGGAACACCAGCTTATCCGGCGCAACCAGGAACTCCAGGTATTCCTGGAACGCCTGGAATACCGGGATTGCCACCACAACCCGGATATCCCGGAACGCCAGGAACACCTGGTACTCCAGGCACACCAGGAAGACCAGGAACGCCGGCTTATCCGGGACGCCCAGGAACTCCAGGCATTCCTGGAACCCCAGGGACACCGGGATTGCCACCACAACCCGGATATCCTGGCACGCCAGGAACACCAGGAAGACCAGGAACGCCGGCTTATCCGGGACGCCCAGGAACTCCAGGCATTCCTGGAACCCCAGGGACACCGGGATTGCCACCACAACCCGGATATCCTGGCACGCCAGGAACACCCGGAACTCCTGGCACACCAGGTAAACCAGGAACACCAGCTTATCCGGCGCAACCAGGAACTCCAGGTATTCCTGGAACGCCTGGAATACCGGGATTGCCACCACAACCCGGATATCCCGGAACGCCAGGAACACCTGGTACTCCAGGCACACCAGGAAGACCAGGAACGCCGGCTTATCCGGGACGCCCAGGAACTCCAAGCATTCCTGGAACCCCAGGGACACCGGGATTGTCACCACAACCCGGATATCCTGGCACGCCAGGAACACCCGGAACTCCAGGCACACCAGGTAAACCAGGAACACCAGCTTATCCGGCGCAACCAGGAACTCCAGGTATTCCTGGAACGCCTGGAATACCGGGATTGCCACCACAACCCGGATATCCCGGAACGCCAGGAACACCTGGTACTCCAGGCACACCAGGAAGACCAGGAACGCCGGCTTATCCGGGACGCCCAGGAACTCCAGGCATTCCTGGAACCCCAGGGACACCGGGATTGCCACCACAACCCGGATATCCTGGCACGCCAGGAACACCCGGAACTCCAGGCACACCAGGTAAACCAGGAACACCAGCTTATCCGGCGCAACCAGGAACTCCAGGTATTCCTGGAACTCCTGGAATACCGGGATTGCCACCACAACCCGGATATCCCGGAACGCCAGGAACACCTGGTACTCCAGGCACACCAGGAAGACCAGGAACACCGGCTTATCCAGTGCAACCAGGAACTCCTGGCATTCCTGGAACCCCAGGCACACCAGGATTACCACCACAATCCGGATATCCCGGCACACCAGGCACACCAGGAAGACCAGGAACGCCGGCTTATCCGGGACGCCCAGGAACTCCAGGCATTCCTGGAACCCCAGGGACACCGGGATTGCCACCACAACCCGGATATCCTGGCACGCCAGGAACACCCGGAACTCCAGGCACACCAGGTAAACCAGGAACACCAGCTTATCCGGCGCAACCAGGAACTCCAGGTATTCCTGGAACTCCTGGAATACCGGGATTGCTACCACAACCCGGATATCCCGGCACGCCAGGAACACCCGGCACTCCAGGCACACCAGGAAGACCAGGAACGCCGGCTTATCCGGGACGCCCAGGAACTCCAGGCATTCCTGAAACTCCTGGAATACCGGGATTGCCACCACAAACCGGATATCCCGGCACGCCAGGAACACCTGGGACCCCAGGCACACCAGGAAGACCAGGAACGCCGGCTTATCCGGGACGCCCAGGAACTCCAGGCATTTCTGGAACTCCAGGCGTACCAGGATTGCCACCACAACCCGGATATCCCGGCACACCAGGAACACCCGGCAGCCCAGGCATTCCAGGAAAGCCAGGTAGATAATCATATCTTGGATATTCAGAATTTCCGAAATCTAATTTAATATTATATCTCAGATACATATTTCTGTAATATTAGCGTATTTTAAAGTTATATTGAAGATGTGTGCTATTAATACACCAAATTAATTTCATTTATGTCTTTTATAGATAATTCCTTCAAAATGTGTCGAAACTATATCATTAAAATTATTGTTCTTATTTTAAATTGAGTTTATGTATATATATATATATATATATATATATATATATATATATATATATATATGTGTGTGTGTGTGTGTGTGTGTAATAGTATATTTGTGAACATTTTTTTATTCAGTTCTACAACTGCATAATTTATTATTATATATTTGTTCTACTTGCTTTCTTACAGGTTATCCTCCTTATCCCGGTTATCCAGGGTATCCGGAAGGTCCAATAGGTCCAGTAGGTCCAGAAGGACCTGACGGCTCAATTGGCGATATCGGTGGGATTGGTGGTGTAGGTGGTGAAGGAGGAGAAGGAGACGTTGGATCTGATGGACCTGATGGTCCATGGCCAACTGGTTCACCGGGTCCTAATGGACCTTGGCCTGGTGATCCAGGATATAAGCCCAAAGTAAAGCCAACAAGTAGATCTTGGCATAAGGAACCAATAAGAAATCAATATTCTAGAATTTATCCACTTACTAATACTGACAATTATAATCCGGTTAGAAAATATTATCTCAACAAGATTGATTCTTCGTACAAAGGCAATGTAGCAAAAGATACTGAATTGTCAAAATTACCATATATAAAGACACCATTATATACAGATTATGAACAATACAAACCTCAATATGAGGCCGAAACTATTCCATCAATCTACGAAAAAGGAAGGAGCATTTATAATGCAGATGAAATCAATTCACTTTCGCAAACTGGTCCGACATCGCCATCATTGCAATACAATGGCGAAGATTATGAAAACATAGATTTAGAAAAGCTGACTTCACGAGCTTATGATGATACGAATCATTTTGGATTAAGAAACCAAATAAAAAAACCTGCGAAGAATGATTTCAAGCAATTTTTTACTCACGATGAAGATCAATATCAGAAATCAGAATTCAATTCGCCTCATAACTTGCAACAGCTACCTTCCAAAGGTCGATTGAGTAAATCAGGGCGACAAGAGAGTGTGTTTAATGTTAACGAACAATACGATAATCTTACCGATGTGGATAAGAAATCGATTCCTAATCTATCTTTTCAGTCGGATGGACCCTTCAGTGTTCCGGAAAAGCAGGTAAATGCACGTCTTGAACATTCATTCCAGGCGAATCCCGGCCTCGACGCTATTGGGGTTCAGCCACCCAATTCCATCAACGTCAAGCCCTTTTCGTTACCTATAGGGCCAGATCCGCAAGCATGTCCTTGTTATTTAATCGAGTCAAATAATAATACAAACGTATCGGCAAGCACGACTCCCATCCCTGTCATTGGTCAAGTCGGATTCATACCTGTTATATTTGTACCATATTGTCCCGGTGATGAAACCGACAGCAATAAGATGAAAGTCATGTTCCCATCCGTTACTCCTGTTCCATATGCATGCGAAGCATGTGGCACACAAGACGGTAATTTCGGAATAAAAACGCTCGATGTAAATCAGCTTGGCAATATCAATTATCTCAAGCAGGTGTTAAGTCAAGCCAATCTTGGCTTTTTGAATGTTCCAGTGAAGAGCAGCGCCGAACGAAGGAGGAGCAGAGGCAGGAAAACGAGGCAGGAATGAGAAGTGTAACATTAACTTATTTTAAATCGCGATCCTGAGGAAAGAGAGCTTATATTCTTCTGAGAAATATAAATAAATGTAGGATATTGGCATTTGCCTGTCCGCCAGCTAATTAGCTGATGGATGGCCAATTAGAAATACTTATAATACTTGTCGGAATAACCAAAGCTAGTAGAACACAAAGAATTTAAAATAAAACTGGTTAATTGTCATTTTTTTTAGCATTGTTAATCTTATTTGTAAATTTGTTTAATTCTTTGTTCACATGAAAACCAGTGAACAGATAATTATCTGTCAAAGAGTTTTCAATTTAACTAGTTAAAATTTAAAAACATGAGCATAAATTTAGAACTTGTTTAAGATTACTTTAAATACAAAAAATCTAAAGAAATATTATAAATTATAAGTAAAATTTAACAAAATCTTTGCTTTTATATAATATTGTTTTATTATTTCTAGATATGTTATTTTGTGCATTATTTATATTATTTATATTATTTGCAAAAATTAACATCTTCATTTAAAAGTCATTTTTTATTTGATATCTAATGGGACATTGAGATCTTTTATAGACGTCACTTCCAATCTTATTTTCCGACATATTTACCAATATCCTGATATTTATTATTATTATACGTATGATGGAGGAATATAAAGTTTTTATATTAAATTTTCTGAGATATATAAGTGAAATTATATATAAATAGCATATAAAATAAAACATATTAGATTTAGATTATCGGTATAGTTTTGAGAATACGGTATAATCTTCAAAATGATAGATTTATATAAAAAATATATAAAGAAATTTATTTTGTTTATTATTTCAATTTTCGATGCTTCATTTTATCAGTAATAATTAGAAAATGAATGAATGCCATAAATTAAATATTTTATAATAGCAGCAAAAAAGTATAAAAAATATGTTTCTGCAAATTAGTTAACTATATACAAGTATATATAATTTTAAAATATATAATTCAATCTTTTACGAACAATTATTGTTTTTAAAGATTTTTAAGATTTTTAAAATTTTCTTATAAATACTATATGCTTTTTAATTGATATAAAAAGATGGTTTAAATATTTGATACAAAAAAACTTCTAAATATAAATACCAAAAATGTAAATGATAATATTCATAACAATTATATATATATATATATATATATATATATATATATATATTGATTGGATACACGATATGATATATAAAATAATGTTTTCTAGAACTTAATATTATCTTAAAATTTTTGCAGTTCTGTAATTTCTTTCATTTAAAATTATAGTACTTTATATGAGTCTATTACCAAGATAGCCAAATGCAATGAGGTTGCTGTCATGTTGCCAATAATTATTGAAGCAACTAATTTTAACAAACTAGAGACAAGGTGAGACAGCATTATGTCTGTTACGTGGAACTCACATGAATTCATGTGCTAATAACAACAAATTAATTGCAACGTGTCAACATATTGCTGACATGTTGTAGACAACGTAATATATCAATATTGCAGACCATTTGCTTCGTTAATTATTTGCATATTAGAAGTAGACATATATATAGAAGTAGACATATAGCTGCATTCGTAACGTATTCTATCTCGATGTCAGCAAGTATACTGCAAATATATAATAATACATGCGATGCATTTGTTTGCTGAATATGTCATATCAAGCTTGGCTATCTGGGTATAGATATCTCGGTTATTATATGGCAGAATAATAGCTAATAATTTATGCTGCATATAATTAATGAAAGAAATATTATATATGATCCACAATTATTGTATCGTTATTCCTATCAATATTTAGTAGTATTTTATACTTTAAAAACTCTGTTAAATTTATAATTCAATTTAAAAAAAGATATGTCTGTTAACTAAATATCGTAAAATTACCATGAAATAAATCTAGAGAATTGTATACATGAATACATTGTAACTCTGCTGATTTTCCCAAAAATATGTATTATGAATTTCAGGAATGTTATAAATGTATTAGATATTAAAATAAAAGACTTTAATAACGGAAGAAGTATAGAGGAGTACCATAAATGCATATATATACGAAAAACAAGAGATAAATATTATAAATAGATAAATATAACATTATTTTGTTATCTATAAATATAAGATGTTTTATTTCATAGCGCATATTTGTTTTAGATTGTCAAGTTATACATCATTATTTCTCTTTGTATTACATGTGAAACATATTAATTTTCATATATTGAGAAATCTTAAAGATATGATTAATCGGTTCATGTTGATAAAAAGAGGCATTAATAATAACAGTATTAATAATAAAAGTATTAATTTGTAAAGACATTTTATATAAACTATAGTGTTTATGCGAAAGTTACGAAAAAAAACATATGTATATAAAGTCATGTTTAAGAATAACCACGATAACCAGTTGGATTTCCAAGGGAAGTGGTATAAGTACCACCACGGTAACTGTACGGACTTCTTGCCGAATATGCCGAGCCATAATTTGTACCATATCCGCTTCCGTAACCAGAATCGTATCCGTCGTAACGATTGTAACCGCCACGTCCATATCCTAAATAACCGTCCTCGTAACCTCCGATACCATAACTTCCACTAGGAATAAATCCCCTTCCGTCTCCATAACCACCATAGCCACCATATCCGCCATAGCCACCATATCCACCATACCCTCCATATCCGCTGTAGCCGCTGTATCCAGGATAATTTCCTACACCACCGTAATATCCATATCTATAACAAAAAGAAAAGGCTTCTTTTTCTTTATTTATTTTCTTTATTAATTTATTTATTTCTCGCAACAAAATACGTTGTGTAAACATACAGAGAAAAGTGTATTTTTTATTGTTTTCTGTTATTATTTTATTTAAATTTTTATGCCTCATATTTTTTTCTCTATCTTTTCTTTTCTTTATCTATTTTTGTCCGCTTATTTCTTTATATTTCGGATTAAGAGTCAGGAAATTTGATTTTATTAATGCTATAATTAAATTTTATGTATTTATTCTAACAATATTTAAATGGATATAGTATTGAACATAAAAATATTGCATGCACTTTAATCAAATTTATAGTAAATATAAAAAAACAAAATGTAAAAAATATGATACGCAATATATTAGGAAGATATTTGCAAATCTTACCCGATATTACCGGTGCCAGTGAGACCGCCAGGATAGCCCCTATTATATCCTGGAATTAGGCTATTACCGCGATATAGAGTACCAGGGTAAACAGATCCCGGGCCAATTCCCGGGCTAATTCCATACGTAGATCCAGGATATCCTCCAGCATATCCAGAATATCCTCCGGGATATCCTCCAGGATATCCTCCAGGATATCCAATTGATCCATAATCTTTGGTTATATGGAATGCTAATACACCATTTTTTTATATTAATAAATTATATGTCAAATTTACAAATTTTATGAAAATAGTATACAAGTGTATAACATTATTTTAATTATTTTAAAATTATTATCAAAAGTAGAGCTATATATAGAAAAAATTAATGAAATTATGAAGATACTAATGATAAGAAAAAACTAATATTTCAAATTATATTATATATTTACATATTTTTTATTGTATGAATAAATAATAAATTTGTGTCTATTTTTTAAATAATCCTATTTTTGATAATAGTTTTCTTAGAAAACTAATTTATATTTATTTTATGAAAATATATTTTTAGAAAATTGCATAAAGAACAATTTACTTGACATATAATTTATATTATACGCATAAAGAATTATTAAAAAAAAATAATATATTGTATTTATTAATTATAATATAATATAATTTAAATATTTGTTAATTATGGCAATATAATTTAAATATTTATTAATATTTATTAATTTAAATATTTGTTAATTATGACATAATATAATTTAAATTTGTTTGTTTAGAAAATGAGTCGTTATCGTTTACATTGAATATATTAAATGCTATTATTAACGGCATATTATGGAGCGAGATATTGATCGCACAGAGGCAGACATGTAATCAAGAGGATTTCCTATTCCCCGCTAAACGCGGAATAGGATTACGAGCGGCGATAAATGTAATAATCGATGCATCTATTCTCCAACATGATATAATGTAATAGTGTGCTATGAGTAATTGGTATATCACCTAAGTGTGTCACTACCGTTCTCACGCTCTGACTTTGAGAGTCGGGCGCTTTCCGTTGTAAAAAGAAGAAAACGACACGTGATAATAAGATGCTAATATAACAAACCGAAGGCCTTTCCTCTTATGAAGACATAACACATGATTCACGAGATTTCAAAGAAAATAATATTGGCATACGTATGCTTGCCATACACGTGTACACTCCTATAAATATAACGTACTTCTATAAATAATTCATTTTTCGGAATTCTTGAAAATATGAAACTCAATTGACTCGATGACTTAAAAATTACAGAATGATTAATGTCACATGTGTGGCCATGTTACACATTATGCAACGAAATAGCTATTAAATTGTCATATCAAAAAAGCTAATTCGGAATCATGCGTCAGTGATTTCCTTGAAATCCATTTCGCGTTTAATCGTTTACCCAAGGTAGGATTATTCTTTTTTGTCCGTAAACAATATATTATAAAAATATTGATATTAATAAGCGTTACAAATCGAAATAAAATTGTGCTATTCTTACTTCGATCGCTCGCAGATGTAGTCAAATCTTCCTGATTGCCTGCATTACTCGCATATGCACGTTGTGCATCGTTTAATTTTGGGAATAATTTTGATTCCGAAGATTCAGTCGCACTGTGGCATAATGCAACTAGACCACTTATGGTCGATATCTGTATGAAATATGTAAAATATATATATATTTTAATACATTATATGTAATACATTATAAGTAATATTGTAATAATATGATTCTGTCTCGCGTCAAACAATAAATTTTAATCTAAAAGATCATATTTAAAAATCTGAAAAAGTATACTTTAATGTTAAAGTTTTTTTTTATGTTAATATTAATATTATTTCGGTTTTATTAATTATTGTTTACATTATCTTTTAATAATACAACCAAATAAAATTTTTTGTAACTAAAAACTAAAAAGTTCAAAGTTATAATTATATAAAAATTAATGGAATTTTATAAAATACATTAGGCAGAAATTAATTGATTAAATTAAATTTATTTACATTTAAATATTTCGATAACGTGTTTATCAAAATAAAAAAACCGAATGCGATAAAGCAAATAATAAATTCGTAATATTATAATAAACAAAAACTAGATCTTAAATTAAAGATTGATTTAATGTCAATTCGTTTGCCAGCTAATTTAAACCACTCTTTATTTATTTTTAAATACGGAAGTTGTAAAAAAATAAAGCGAGGTTGTACGGAAGTTGTAAAAAAAAGCTACTTTCTATATTAATATTAATATTATTTCACTTTTATTAATTATTGTTTACATTATCTTTCAATAATACAATCAAATATTTTTTGTAACTAAAAACTAATTCAAAATTATATTTATATAAAAATTAATGGAATCTTATAAAATGCAATAGGCAGAAATTTAATTTATTAAATTAAATTTATTTACATTTAAATATTTCGATTACATGATTATCAAAATAAAGAAACCGCGTGCAATAAAGAAAATAATAAATTCGTAATATTAAATAAAAACTAGATCTCAAATTACAGATTGATTTAATGTCAATTCTTTTGCTAGCTAATTTAAAATCACTTCTTATTTATTTTTAAATGCGGAAACTATAGAAAACTTATTTTTTAATAATACAAGTAAATATTTTTTTGTAACTAAAAACTAATTCAAAATTATAATTTTATAAAAATTAATGGAATTTTATAAAATACAATAGGGAGAAATTAAATTTATTAAATTAAATTTATTTACATTTAAATATTTCGATAACATGGTTATCAAAATAAAGAAACCACGTGCGATAAAGCAAATAATAAATCCGTAATATTAAATAAAAACTAGATTTCAAATTAGAGATTGATTTAATATCAATTCGTTTGCTAGCTAATTTAAAACCACTCCTTATTTATTTTTAAATGCGGAAACTGTAGAAAAATGCAGCGAGAGAGATTCGGGAGTTCGCAGACAAATATTTAATAATTTACTGATTAACTTACAGCGAGAAACAACTTCATTTTGTTGATGTCACCAATTGCATTTTTCGGGGAAACACAGTGTTCGAGACACGAACAGAGGATCTACTCTCGTACCAGCGTGCAAAACCTCTATATATCCTGTCCTCTAACACGTCAAGATACCCCTCCTCGCTTCAAGGTGGTCTCGGTTGTTTAAGCTTAGGTCGCTCTTAGGAGCCGCGATGACAAGGACATTGACAAGAATCGGTGCGACACACCCGAAGATGTGGAAACTATCTCTGCTTTACATTTCCTTCCGTTCAAATATACACGCACGTGTGTATTTGTGTGCATATACCAGTCCCTCTCCGGGGTATGGGATATTATGTAAGTATCTTGTAAATGCGCTCATACACACAGATTCAAATGCAAGAACATTTTGCAACAACAGTTTTGTTACTGACAATAAGATTATTCTGTTGTGGTTCCCATCATTTTATACATCATTGACATTTTGCTGTTTTCGTGACATTGTTACATAAAGATTCTTCGGAAATTTATAGACAAGTCCATATGAATTACAGTTTTTGCAATAAACAGTTTTTTGTGTTTATTATAAAATTTAAAAATATCGAATGGATTTATGTTAAATAATATATCTCAGAAGTCAAAAAATAAATGATTAAGTATTATCACGGATCTCTGAAATGTTGCATTCATTCCATTTATTTAATTTCGACTTGTATGAGTAGAATTCTAAAAATAATAAAATAAAATATTTAAAATAAAATATTTAAAAATAAAATAAAATAAAATATTTAATATTTAATATCGAAAATTAAAATGTGCGGAAAACATTCGATCGAATGAGTGCTTTCGAAAGGGGGCAGATTTTTGGTGCAAAAAAATCAATTCTAAATTATTAAAAAAAATCTGACCCTAAATTGGATCCTATATATTATGACAAAAAAATTTTCTTTTTGTTTTTCTTTTCTTTTTTGTAAATGCAATCTTATGTAACTGTTTCTATACATAGTCGTGACATTAGGTTTGTCGTCATATCGTTACGTTTCTTGTATGCTTGCAAAGAGTTAGTTTCTCTTCATTAGCCTTCAGTAACTAAGATACACGCCTAAGATTCGACAAAACACAGAGAAAGAGAAAAAAAGAGTTCCTATATTAAAATATTTTATTCTCTCTTAATGCTCTCTTTTAATCTCTTCTTCAATTTCTACATGAAATTTAACTTGTTTATTAACTTCAAAGGTAAATCTTATTGTTCTGCGAGTTTTAATGTCTATAAATTTTTGATACACATGTTGTACTTCTTTTTTAGAAATAAAAGTCTTACGCAAAGAATGCATACATGTCGTAAGTGAAAAAGATAGCCGGAACTTGTGCAATAAACTGAAAAATGACAGAAACTCTCTCTTCCTGCAATCTTTATCAACACCTATATGCCCACCCTAATTCCATATTGTAAATATGTACTCTTGATATAGAACAAACGTTGCATAATCAGAAAGTATCCGAAAATGGCTTTACAAAAAATTCTTTCATAATCATATTCACTTTAAATCTCTATTTCGTGATTTTTTATTTTGACATATTTAAGAATAAAACAATTATCAGCATGTTTTTATTTATCAAAAATAAAAGATATGAATTATTACATCCGTTTATTCCAAGATCAAATGAGAAAAAAGCAATAAATTAAAAAAATTTAATAAATTATACGCAATCTTTTTTTATATAACTTAATATTTTATATTTTTTATATATTATATAATACAATTAATCTTACACATACGATTTAAAAAAATTAAAGAACAGAATAAAAACAGAATAAAAATGATTAATAATTTTTCAAAAAACTTAATATCGATTATCGATTTAAAACGGTGTAATGCAAGAGGGTGGGTGAACAAAGACATGTTGGCGTTCCCGTAGAACGTTTCCGTTTTTTTTTTTTCAAAATAAATAAGTACACGTGCACACTATTCTTCAGTTTTGGCTGCAACATTGTTTGTCAGTCGACAAAACCGTGCAAATTGGCTGCAAGTAGTCCAAGATCGCGTTACGCGTGACGTCGCGATTTGCTTCAAGGGATGACCGTGCTCGGATTACACGGCAATTAATGAGAATCGCGTGTTGCGAAGTAACATGCGTAACAATCCGCATGTTCCCATGAGCATAGCATTTATTTATGCCCTTTTTTAAATTTATATAAGACAAAAAAGGCGCTATTTTTTAAGTTTCGGAAAATTCATAAAAATCGCGAGATTAATATAATACAATTTAATACAATTAATTATTAAATTAAAATTAAAATTATTAAATTATTATTAATACACTTTAAATTGTATTTTATTAAATTAAAAAAAAATATATAATACAATTTAAAATGCTAAAGATAAAATATGTTTGAAATTCTTTATTAAATTTAAATTTAGAAAATTTTCTTAAATCTAATGAATTTGAAAAAATATAAAATTCATTAAGTTTGATTATATCTACACTGAAACAAAAGGTAATTAAATTTATACAGTAGTGGGTAAAGATGATTGTGTTCATTTGGAAATTTATATCTATTATTCACTGAAAAATCCACACTTCACAAAAGCTTCGTCGAGCTAGGTCTTATTGTGATTAAGAATTATTCAATAATATTCAATAGCGAGGAAGTTTGATTCGGATTTATACTTTCACATTCTTCAAAAGATATTCAATAAGCTCTTATTTACACATAACGTGTATATACAAAGTGTTGAAAACTTGTACATACAAACTTCGAGAATATTAAAAGCTGAAAAACGTAAAAAAAATACAAGTGCAGGTCTGGAAAGACATTCTTGAATTATAGGAGATTGAAATCGAATAATCTCTTTCATGAATAAATCTAGATAAATGCAAACAGATATCAAGTATTCTATTTTCTTATTTTAAAGAACCTAAATTATTTACTTTTATAATATTTTAATGTAATATCTAAATATCAAAGGAAATATTAAAATAAAATATAAAGGAAAATTGTAAAAAAGACGGCACACAATCAAATTTTCGTTAGAAGAAAAAACGATTTGATTTGGAAGAATCTGAAGATGAAGTTTGTAAATATTGTTTTTCAATACTTTGAATAGCTACAACATTTACAATTACATAAATAATAACGAGTTAGTTGAATGCAATATAAGTACAAACTGTTATAACCATTATTTTAAAGATAGCTTTATGCACTGATTTGTGCAAGAATAAAAAGCTGGTGCAAGTTTTGTTTAAAAACTGTTTTTGTACTAAAAAAAAATATTACAATCGCTACAATGTAAACTACATACGTATGAACTTGTAATACTGAATTATATATTATAGGCTACATTCTTTTACATGGCCGATTGAATGCTACAATATTTATGAAATTCCAATAGTAAAAATACATATTGCTCATAAGAATAGCGAAGAAATAAATATGAACAATTATCTTCGCTTTATTTGAAGGAAATAGATATAATTTGCGAAAAGTGCAGAATATATATATAATATATACTAATACAGCAATACCATTTATTATTTAATTCACTTTATTTAATTATTATTGACCCATCATTGCAAATATATTGAATTATAAAGTTATTAAATAAATCATATAATTATATTTTTTTCACTATACATTGAAATAAATTTGTTTTTCTCTTTTTTATTAATAAAAAATAACTTATATCTGTACATTTTATAGAAATAAATCCTATATAAATATTTCATTTCTGACATCATAATTCAATATAAATGCAATAACGAGAAGACTGAGTCTAAAAAAAGACTTCTCGTGCAAGAGAAATCATTAATTTACGTTTCAAATATATTGAAAAAGAATAAGAGAATTTTTAATACAGTGTTTTGAAAAATTAAATCATCCTTACTTAGCACGCAGTATGTACCTATCAATTGCAATACGACATTTGGAATTTATATTTATCTTTATATATAAATTAGTTAGTTTATTGAGTTAGACAAATATTGTGTTTAAGTTTAGGTATTAAAAGATCATGCGCGCGATGAGTGAAAATTTATCTGATTTTAGTGCACGGATTTCTCCCCTAGCCTTACTTTTCTATATTAAATATTCCATAAATATTCGACACTATTCGCTGTTAGATGTGTGATTAAATTACAATGATAAGTTATTCAATGAACGACACACAATGGCGTGAGTAGATGCTTTCCAGACTGGCCCACATTTCGAAAGCTAGATTGTCCCCTAGCACAGAAGAAAACAGACTCCAACTAAGGTGGGCCTCGATTAATATTAGGATGTCGAAGCGTCATAAGTCTGGAAATCTGCAAAGCGATTGCTGATAATTAGTATGAATGCCATATATGATGTGAATGCTGTAAATGATATAAAAAACACTTGCACATACGTTATATACATAAAATGTTAGATTGCACATCGATCACAGACAGATTTTTGAATATATATTCAATGTAAAAATTGATTTGAAAGGTTCGGCGATATATCTGCAAACATGTTACATTATATAACATCAAGATAAAGACATCATTATCGCCGATCCTTTCTGCTTGATCTATTTTTAAATACGCGTTTTTCAAGAAATCATAAAAAAATTATTTCATACAATATGTCAATGATTAGAATGTTTAGAAAAAAAGATTATCAATGAAATTGTTGATATAAAACATGCATTATTCATAAAAAATTCATAGAAATATTAGTGTTAAATTATTCATTATTTAAAAAAATATCTGCAACATTTATTTTGTGCAAATATTGATATAAAATTTTATACTTTAATAATTTAATATAATTAATAATAATAATTAATAAATTAATATAATTAATAAATTATTAATAATTTAATATAATTAGACAAAAAAATATTATAAAATAATTTGTTAATGAAATAAAAAATGTATTAAAACAATAGAAATTTGCAAATTGATAATAGAACGCCCTTGAAGTTTATCTTCAAACACATGATGCATTATGAAGAACCATCATCATAATCATGTATGCATCGTAATCTCTGAAATGTATTATTGTGCTTCAGATTTAAATTAATGTATGCACGAAATATTTGACATATAATTTATTTTTTACTCTTCAAATGTCCAAATCATTTAAAATAACTTTTTATTGTCGAATATCTTATAGAGTTTTACATACAGTCGAACCCCTATATTGTCGGCGCCTTCTCCTGTTACTTTCATATTCCTTAATAATTGTTACTCCCCCTCTGCTGTTTTTTTATTTGCTATATCATCACACAATTAACAAAAAACGTTAGAACGTAAAAGTAAGAAAAAAAATATCACTCAAGAATCCAACATTCCGGGAAGGACTAATATGGGAGCACGACTGTAACTCTGTAAAACAATATAGTATGCAATCTATATTTTATTAAAAGGAAATTTACCTCATAGGATCTTCAAAATAATCGGATGGCACTTGAAACAACTCTGGATCTATGTCATTTCGAAAGGCGAACTCTTGAAAAGTTATTTTAGCAGTGACAGTAGGCAAAATCGGTATGTCGATCTTAACTGGAAATCCAGGGGGTAACTTCATAAGTACAAATTGTCGTAACTTGCTTAGGTGCTTAAACGGCGTGATCACTTCCAGAACGTTAAGTAACATATCGACGGTGAGGGGAAAATCCGGGCTCATCGCCACGGTGGCTTTGAAGGATTTACTGCTTTCCTTATAAACAAGATTTCTTCCTAGAAGCGGACACTGTCCGGGCGGAGCAACGATATATTCATCCCATGTGATGTTCGATTCTGGCGGCGGATTCAACGATGCTCTTCTTAAAGGAGGCTGAATAAATAAAATTATAAAATTTATTAATTAAAAAATTAATTATTATATTTATTATTATTATCTATTATTTTATATAAGCTTTCAAAGTTTAACGATACATTTTACAGTTTAATGAAATCTTACCTCCCCATTTTTAAAGCCTTGAGAACTACCCTTGGTAAGAGATTCCATAATAGCTTTATTCTTTTGGAGATCCTCCTCGCTTAAATGTTCGCGACGTTTTCTACTTTCCAACACCATGCCATTGATTTGATAGAAATCAGCATGAAAGGCGCCCACCATTTCCTATTATAATTATAATTTTATTTTAATATTATTTTTTTCATTTTTTTGAGTGTAAAATATCATAATTAAAAGAATTTTTAATTAAAAGAAAATGTAAATTGATTTTACTCTGTATAAATTGTATTCTATTCGATTACTGATATGATTATGAAAATATGTGTATACTTACTCTTTTATCTTCTCTAAAAATCCATCCTGTCTGTGCTCTGGAAAACGTGATACCTTTGGTAGACATTTGTGCTGCCATAATATCGCTAGACATAAGAATATCAACTTCATCTTCTATCTCAAGTTCCGTTTCCTAAAATATATGTACAAAAGAACATTATTTTAACAATAAATAAGACAAAATGGTCCTCTAGATTTAATTTTTCTATTGTGGGATTTCTATTATCTATTTTAACATAAAATGACAACCAGATTTATCGCTAATATTATGCATGCTAAGAACATTTGTGAAAATTTTGAAGTTTTCAGAAATTATACAAAATGAGAAGTTTGTTATATATAATGTAATTTTTTACCCCACTATACATGTAAGTATTTTAACCTTATGTCTCACTCTTTGGAAAAGTTTGGCTTTATTGTCGAGGACAGTCAACGAATGGCCGGGCTTTTGGTCACCATTGAAGATGAAAGATATGTCTCCCCTTTCCCATCTCATGTCGTTAAAGTCTACAAGAGTCGTGTCCATCCTAATCGAAGCCCCGCTTTTATGGATCTTACATATATCCGATGGCAATACTCTCGAAACTAATGGTACTGAAAGGAATTTTTATCGTTCGCCGACGAGAAAAACATACATAAAATTACACTTATATAGCTAAGGAAAGACGACATATGATGCACCTGAAAAAGTGGGAATAAAGTAATTGAAATAATTGTTTGATAAATCAACGGATTCGGTGTAAAATTGAAGAATATTCTTTGTTTGTTATGCATTTTAGACATGGTTTTATATTTAAACCTTAGCAGATATCATAAATTTTGTTACATTTTTAATATAGCTTATACAATTTATATATCATTTTTTTTAAATATTTATTAAAAATTTTAAAAATAATATTAAATATTTGATATTTATATTTAATATTTTATAAAGAAATACTTTTTGTTATAATATATAATTTATCAAATAAATAATTTTTATAAATATTTTTTATATTACTTGGTCAATTAATATAAAACGATCTTTTTAAATTTGTAAAAAAATTCATGATATCTGATTTAAAAATTAAAATGTGCTTTATAAATTATCTCATATTCTATTCCCAGGAGATGAACGAGGTATATCACAGTCTTATTATAACTGTCATAACTGTTGAATTAATTAAGATATTCATATAAAATTATAAAATATGTTTGAAAATTCAAAATGTGTTTCAAATTAAATTTTATATCTCAAGACAACACGTTACAACAGTGTTATTATTATTGTTTATATCTAAATTTCTTTGACTGATAATCAAAACACTATATGACTGTTATTTCATAAATATGAAATAGTAAAAATTCATGCAATTTTGAATATATTATAGGCTGTCTGTCATTTGTACCGAATCAGTTGTTAATAATAATAATAACAGTAAAACTATCATCTCTGACAAAAAGTGAATTGCTCAATTTTTGCATATTTTTGTTCATTATACTTTTCCTAATTATTCAAAATAATATTTTTTTGTTTTAAAAAAGAAAATATTTTTAATGACATGTCTCTAACTTTTGATAAAAAAAAGAAATCAAAAATGAACGATAATTATTTACAATTTCAAATTTGAATGATAATGAAAAATTAAAAATTTTTAAGACATTCTCACATAAATGCAATTTTGAAAAAAAGAGACATCAAATATTTATAAATAAGTTAACATGAATTTTTTTTGTGAAAAGTACAAAGAGAAACAAATTATTCAGTTCAATTATTTCGATTCTCAGTGTTAATTTGAGAATATTATTTACATCAAAGCATATAATATTATAATAAAGGAGTGCTTAGGGAAAATTGAGATGCCATAAACATCCTGATTGTTGCTTTCCACCTTTCCAGGTGCGTGCATCATGTACATAAACAATGTAATTCTGCAAAAAAAATAATCACACAATTAAGCAGCTAAAGCAACGCATGAGAAACTTACCCCAACTTTGAAAATCCCATTTTAATTCCATATAAAAATCGCCCATTTGATGCAACGCGGCAACTAGATTCGGCCTTCTTTCTTCCATCTGCTCCCTTGTTTGTTGCTTCAATTTGCGCACTAAAGATGATACTACAAGAAAAATAAAATATATTTTAATCTGATTTATAATATAATTATATAATGATATATTATAATTATATAATGATACATGTAATATATCACATTTTGACTAAATTATTTTTCAATTATTACTACAAACTCTATCAGAAACTAAAGAATTATTTGTCAGTATGAAAATGTGTGCCTGATTTATTTAAGCCATCTGCTTTTAATATATAATTCTTATCAATTTATTAAAAATACTACATGATTTGTTGAATATAATAGAATATATTAAGATAAAAGAAGATTTTAAGTTTCAAAATATTCTACTTAATACTCTGTACTGATTGCAAAAATAAAGTCTATCATATTATACGAACTGGTTTGTCTATCTCCATAACTGATCGCTTCAGCCAATGGACTCCAGCCAGCTAGGTTCTTCACTTTTACAGGTGCACCATGTGCAAGCAATAATTGAACACATTCTACAATATAAAACAAATTATATATAACATGTTGAACCCTTTTACTTATCGATTTAAAACAATTTTAACATGGCATTATTTCTCCAAGTAGGATAAAAAAGTCTTAATATTTTTCAATATCGTACAATATCGACTTGCAATATTTTATATTTCTGATATCTGATCTAGTTCAAATACTAATATATGTATGAAAATAAGACGTGTAGAGATTCCGTACCTTTTCTTCCTAACATCACAGCTAAATGCAAAGGTGTGTTCCCTGCAACAGAGAAGATACAAAAATATAAAACTGCGCTACATCTTTCCCCTTCGCGGAATCCAACTAATTTTCCTTATTCCTGCGTAACCAGGTGTCAACAAGCACCAAGGTGCAGATTATTACGGCGAATCAAAACGCACCTTGTTTATCCTTCTCAGTGATATCGTGCGTCCTGATTAAGGAGCTCAGCGTCTTGATGCTGCCTTGGAAGATACACCTGTGAATCGGGTACTTCTCGGCTTCCTCCTGCGCCATCGTCATCGGCATCTGGGATCTGTCATGCGTTACAACGGTAGGCGAGTTGACCGATGCAGGCCCTTGACATGACCTTGACTGATGACGCCAAGGCCCTTTACATCGCGACAGGCTCCACGTGTGGCATCAGAGCGCATCATCGTCCCTCCGTGACGTTGACGTAAACATCACGGCACATGTCTACCTGTCAAATCCGACTCGAGTGTTTGGGCCGCACTTACATAACTCCCTGTCGCCCTTCCTCGGGTTTCATCCACCTCCGTCGACCCTCCCTGGCGTCGAGCAACGTCGTCCCTTTGCTCGAAAGCGAATTCCCGAGGAGCCCTTATTCACCTTCCTGACATCTGCACAGTAACCCAAAATCCATACGAGACCCGAAGCTACTCGCTCACTCACTCACTCACTTTCTCTCTCTCTCTCTCTCTATCTCTATCTCATTATAGGAGGGACGTTAACCTTATTCAAGGCGATGCTAATTCGTGGCGATGGACAGTCGATGATATGAAATTCCTGCCGTGATTTACTCGTCCTGAAATTTGTATTTGTTTTTACGCGCAAGTGTGTCAAGCACACTTCGCTAATCACCGTTAATTACCTCGGAAAGTGTGTTCGTAAATTAGTACAAGCGTGTTTACCACGGGACTTATGTACATACCCGAAGAGAAGAATTAAATGCCATTCGAGAGAGATGGCGACATCGACTCTCGATCATCGTTTCTTTCCGAGCGATCGGCCAATCGGACGGTTCACTGAGAAATAAATCGATTAAACTTTCAGTCGGACTTGTTTTAATCATTTTAATTAGAAAATTTTTTCATGCGTCGAAACGAGAAACTCTCTATATATATATGTATATTATTAAAATAATTATAAAAGTTTAGTAAAAAATTTTTATGTATAATAATCGATAATATAATTTGATTGTTTCGATAATATAAATTGATGCTAATTTTCAGATGGATTGCGAAATCGATAACGCATTTCAGTTCATCAATCCTCTTCAACAAAATTTGTTAAAAATTTATTAGGAAATAGTGCGATGTTAAAATTAATTTTATATATATTTATATTTATTTAATTTTATATAATTTTATATATATTTATAAAAAATTATATTATATATATATATATATATATATATATATATATAATATAATTTTTTATTATTTTAAGCGCTGTCTCTCTCTCTCTCTCTCTTTCTCTTCTTTTTTTTAAATAAATGTAAATGTATTTTCTCCTGTTCAGAAATTATCTGGAAGACCTTGTTCCAGTATGTCTTGTTCCAGTATAATTTAGTATGTCAATGGCTTCAAAAATCAGAGTATAAATTTTATGTCTCCCTTATCAAAATATATTAAATAAAAATATATATTTCTTATATATTTAGGGAAACATATTTATGTCTATTTTATATATTTTTTAAATATTTTTGTGCTGTCTGGTATGCAGTATTACATAAAATGCATCTCATGATACTGAAAAAAGTTATTTTTCTCGCAAAAATAAATTGAAGACGTAAAACAATATCATTTTACACGAAATTTTGATTCCGCGAGAATTCACTTTGAAAAATTACATTTTGAAAAAAAAATGATTGACCCTTTTTAAGCTTGAATCATTTCTAATGAAAAATTTAGAAAATATATTTTTTAAGTCATGTAAAATGATATTCAATTTTGTGTAAAATGCTATTATTTTACATCTTCAATTTATTTTTGTGAGAAAAATAACTATTTTCAATATCATGAGATACATCTTATGTAATGTAATATTGCATGCTAGACAACATAAAAAACATCTTAAAGACATCAATAGGAGGATAAGAATCTTTAAGTTGTTTTTAGATTTTTTCAAAATGTTTTTCTGTAATGTTTAATGTTCTATATTTATCTTTCAGAAGACAAACTCCTGCAATTGTATAACGATGCTGTATCTTACTGCGTGTGTATTATAATATTGTAATCATGTAATAAAATATTTTTACTATTCTACAGTTTATATATAATATAAACATTAAAATTACACGAAAATTCTCTTTACATAAAATTAATTAAAAATTAAACGACACATATAAATTGCTACTTATTATCCATATACTTTTTTTTCTTATCTTTAACACAAAATACTTCAAAAGTTTTTTTTTTCAATTTTATTATTTTTAATAACTACAATAATAATTTTAACGATTAAGTTTTAAAGTTTAATAAAGATGAACAGACAAACATCTTATATAAGAAAATAATGCGGAAATGATGCGGATTGATTCATGTAGGAAAAAACATCATCTCATTTAAAAAAATAAACATGATCTTAAAACTGCATTTACATCTAGAAAAAAATTGTGCTAAGATTTTATCATTCCTTCCATACAGAACAGTTCAAACAGAATAATTTACATTTATTTACATTTTTTTGAATGAACAATAGTCTCGGAAAATAATTGGGAAAAACGTGAAAAGATTAAAATGAATTTTGTATGTAAATGAAATATTTTGAGATTTTGATCTTAATCATTATTTAATATGACTCAATCTGCATCGATGAAATCTTAAATTGAGCAAAGAGATTTCTTTTATTCAGACATATTGCATTTTTCTTCCTCGAAAGTTGATTGGCTGAACGTCATTGAAGTATCAAGGTTTCCTCACATGGCCATGAAAATATGTATAAAAGATTGCTATATATATTTAGCAGGAGCACTTCTTTATTCACAGTTTTATACATTGTACGTGATAGTGAACATTTTTTGAACAAATGTGATCTCGTCTGTTTACAAATTAGGTATCTCATTGTTAGATACTTAAGGAAGTAGAAATATTTTCTTTTATTTCCTTATTTTCTAGTTCGAAATATGTTAAAAAGTGTGTGTGTGTGTGTGTGTGTGTGTGTGTGTGTGTGTGTATTGATGAATATAATTATACAAAAGGATAAATGAAAAATAGAAAGTAATATAAATAAATGATAGAAATTATTGAAACAAAAATTCTATTTTTAATTTCAAGATGCATAAAATTAGAAAGCTTTTTAGATATATTCATTTTTAAACGTTTTTGCCCGAAATTATTTTAATTATTTTATCTAACAATTAAATGTTAATTTATTTCTTGGAAAAATATAAAGTTGAGTAAAATTAGAGAATCTATAAATTTTATTTCTGTCTTCTTGTGCGTTAAGTATGAGTTGCATTAATATAACTTATAAAAGTAAGTAATAAGTTGTAAAAGAATTTACTATTTAGCAATTAAAAATAAAAATAATTTTTATTGTAAAATTTTAAGATATAAAGAGAAGGAAAGCTTTATAAATTAAATGTCCAAATTTCTTTGTTTAAACAAATCTTCTTTATGCATTTTGTAAACTCATTGTAAAATTAAAAAAGCAAAAAGAATAAGAAAAGAAAACTTTCAAAAATATTATAATAAATATCTAAATAAAAAATGTTGAATTTTACTGAATTTGAAATTTAGACTGAAATTACACAATTTGATGTAAAAAAAGTGAAATATTTTCTAACAAATAAATATATAAATATGCTAAATAGTTCTATAAAATAGTTTCATAAACAATATATCCATACTTGAACAAATTTAAATGTGCATAACTGGTATGTTAAGTATCACGACAAAAAGCGCACGTGGAGTCAAATGCAAATAGGTAATAAATGTATAAGTACGTAATTGCTAACCTATATAGCTGATAAAATTATGCATGTATGTTTGTGTAACGAGTGACAAATTATTACATAACTACTAACATTTCATAACTAGTAAAGTTATACAGAAGATACTTATTAATCCAAAAAAATTAAATTTCAAAAATTAATCTTAACAAATTAAGACAAAACAAAAGGCAAAATTAATCATTTGATTCGATTAAACACTAGATTTAAGCGACTATATCTTTTATCAAATCAAAATTATTTTGAAAAACTCTTTCGTTTACTTTAATAAAAACTTAAACTGCGATTATTTTATTGTAAATTTTAGGAGATGGTATTTATATAAAAATATTATGGTATTTAAAAATAATAAAAAGGCCAATATCCAGGTCAAAACAGCTGTTAATGTTATGTATAATTTATCTTTAACGTATCACTCGAAATATAATTCTGTGTTTAATTTATTTTCTATGCATGACTATCGTCACTACTTAGTTATGCGTTTTGTTGTTCTGCTGGTTGACTCAGGAATCAATTTTCTTTGTGCTTAAATATTTCTTGGCTTCTATTTATATCTATTTATATCTCTAATTGCCGCTATAATTATCAAAAAGAAACATTTTTGTATAATTTTATTAATTTAATCAATTTTTCTGTTATTTATATAATATGATTTTTAAGTCATAATTTATTTTTATATTTTTGATCTTTATTTAATTTTTCATTTAACTTAATGTAATGATTTTCGATTTTTATTTATGTCATTATTCGCTTTACTTATGTTTTGCGTTAAAACATTCTGTATGATATCTACCTCTACTGAAGAGCAAGCGGATTGGAATATATGGTTTATTTTTTTGATTTTGGATTTATGATTTTTATGGTTTTTATGATTTTCTATTCGATTTTTTTTATTTAGAATATAATTTTGTACATTATTTTAATTCAAATATTGGCCTTTTTATTATTTCTAAGTTTAATTTTTATCATTGATCCTATGCGAGTTTTATTTTAATTTTATTACACAAAATATCATTAATTTATGAGCAATAAAAGATTGACAGTCTTCGGCTGTCGCGAAATAAAAAACAAAACAATAGATCAAACTTTGACATATTAAAACGAACGACTAAAATTTTACTGTACTTGTAGGTTTTCTGACAATAAAGATACGGACAGAGATAAGAAAATATTTCAAAAAAGTCTATATCTACATGTTGCATTCGTTGTGCAATTTAGAAGATCGCAAGTATCGCCGAAGTAATGGAATTGGGCATGAAATTCGTTTTCTTCTCAATAATACTTATTACATTATTATCGGAAGCAGAACTGAATCCATCAAAGAGATCTATATTCTTTAACAAAATTAACAAATCTTTAACAAATTTTCTGCTCAACTTTCTCTTCCCTAAGGAACCCGGTATACTAAGGGTAAAAAACTCGGAAGAAGCCAGAGCAGTGAATAAAGTGACCACGTTAGATTTTGTAAGTGTAACGAGATATTTTTTTTAATTCTCGCGTTTCATTTTCAAAAATCGTTAGCGTAATTGGAAAAAATTGATTATTTAGACAGAAAGATTTTATTAATACATTTCATGTTGTATCAATGACAACTGAATAGTAAGTGTACAGTTTTTAATGATAAAGTTTTTTCTAATGATAAAAAAATTAAAATTTTACAAACTTTACTAATTTCAGTTCATTCTGATTTTGACTGTACATTTAAATAGATGGGTTTGGTGGAAAGACATGGCTATCCCAGCGAGGAACATTACGTTACAACAGAAGATGGATATAACTTGAAGATACACAGAATACCTGACAGTCCTCTGTCTAATAATAAACAACCTAAAATAGTTATGTTGTTTATACACGGTATCTTGAGCTCATCCGATAGCTGGGTGCTGTTTGGTCCCAAGAAAGATCTCGGTAAGTTGTCAATAAATAATGCCAGAGAATTATCTTTATATAATTCAGAAATTACCAATTTTTGTTTTCATTGAAACATTTATTCAATCTGATTTAACATCGATGAATAGATTCATTAAATAAAAAAATCTTAATTCTAAAATGGCCAACTGTGTAAAGCATTTTATTTCTTTATTTTATTTATTTTATTTTATTTATTTGTTTATTTTAATTATTTTATTTTATTTATTTTATTTTATTTATTTTATTTTATTTATTTTATTTTATTTATTTATTTATTTTAATTATATTTATATGAAAAAATGCACGGTATCACTTGCATTTATTTGCATATATCATATCATTTTATTAATACAAGTTATATAAATTTAGCACAAGAAAAATATTTGAATAAAAAACCGGTTTTGTTTTATTTTTTTTACCAAAAATTAAATAATGATTAGTCAATCAATTTTACAAATATTATATTATATTACATTGTAAAGAAAAATTAATTATATATCTTATGTTGCAGCATTTCTATTGGCTGACCAAGGATACGATATATGGTTTGGAAATTATAGAGGTAATTCTTACTGCAGATCACATGTAAAAATGTCTCCATATGATGCCAAATTTTGGGAATATAGGTGAAATTTTATTTGATCACTACTAGTTTTAAAAATATGTTTTTTAACTTTTCACTAAATCTCTTTATTCTCTTAAATTATTTATATAATTATTATATAAATATTATATAAATGTTATATAAACATTATATAATTATTATATAAATTTATATAAACATTATATAATTATTATATAAATATTATATAAATATTATATAATTATTATATAATTATTTAAATGTTACTTTTCTTATTTTTATTTCTTAAGATTTAATTTAAATCTTCTTAAATCTTCAATGTTTCACATAAACAACACATATACTTAACACATAAAGAAAAATATTAAAATTTTAAAATAGAATATTAAAATTTGTATTATCCAGCTATCATGATGTAGGAACAAAAGACTTGCCGGCTACGATCGACTATGTACTTAATTACACAAAATCCGAAACTCTATATTATATCGGTCATTCGATGGGAACTACCTCATTTTTCGTCCTACTATCCACGAAACCTGAATACAATGCAAAAATAAAATTAGGAACTTGTCTCGCTCCAGTTGCCTTTTGGAAGGAAACGTCTCCTGTATTCAAATTCTTCTTTAATTTAACGCCGCAGATTAAGGTAACGATGGAGAAAAATTTGTTCTGGGTTCCCTCTTTCAGAATTTAAGATGCTGATTCCGTTCATCTTTAATCTTTTCCTTATCTAAATATTAAAATATTTCGATCTTCTATTCTTGTTAATGAAGCCTTAGCTCTCTCTATGTTCATTTATCTTATTGCTTTTAATTCACCGCTTTTAATTCAAGTGTCCTTCAAATTGGAACAACATCATTATTTTTTCTCTTATCTGAGGAAATCTTTATAGTGTCATTTGTCTTGTCCACCATTTAAGCGCATCTCAAGATCACCGTTATGTACGTTTGAAACATCATGGCATAATATTTAAGTCGAAGATTCTCTTTCATTGTTGCTCGGCATAAATCAGTCCATTTGCAAACTATCTGTATATCAAATATTTCTGTTTCCGAAGCAATCGTATCTTACGCTTCTTCTATGTCTAGGAAGCTTATTTGATCGCCCAAAGTTGTGTAACGTCATTCTGATCTTAAAGACAAGTCTTCTTTTGAAAACCTTGTATCTTTGACATCGACCTTTCATTTCCTCTTACATCACAGATAATAGCAGCCATCGATACTATATGAGGGAATGATTCAACATTGATTCACACTGCTGATTTTCATCGCTGCCATCAATATACATGGAATGGCTCATGTTACAATCTTGTATTTTATAATTTTGCTTTTGTAAATACTTTGTATTCTTTAAGTATTATTTTTACAAAATATTTTATTATAATTATCATACGCATTTTTACGAATCATTTCACACATTATACGATATTATATTTTATTTGCATAATATCGGATGTGTTATATTATATAATTTCTATTATGTTCTTTCATGTTTATATCTTTTATATCTGTCTATTAGGAATTTCTCGATAACAACAACATATATGAATTATTTTCGTTATCATCAACGAGCATCACAGCAGGAAGAAAATTGTGTGCAGATGAAGCAATTACTCAAGCTTTATGTATTACAATATTTTCCTTAATCGCAGGATCCGATCCGGCACAATTTAATACCGTAAGTTATACCGTATTTCTAACTTAACATGATTTAGCTAATTTTGACGCTGTAATAATTTAATGACTTTTTTAATTTTTTTAAGAATAAAAAATTATAAAATATATAACTTTTATATTAATATGTCGTATAAATCAATCTTTTTTAAACTTTTCTAATAAAATTATTGTAGACGGTATTTCCGGAAATATTGTCGTATTATCCAGCCGGCACTTCCTTGAAATCATTTGTGCATTATTATCAAAATGGTATTACAGGTACATGTTTTTTAATGATATAATGTTCTAATTATAATAATATAATAATATAATAAATAATATAATAATATAATGCTAAGTGTAAAGAAAAGAATTTAGTATATGTAAAGTATATCTTAAGTTTTAATATTTCCATTCTTATTATCTTTATTCTTATTATTAATTTAAATAGTATTGAAATTTACAATTTCCATCATCACAATATTATTTAATATTATTTAATATTATTTATTAAAGGACTGATTATATAATAAAATATTTGTATGTTCTCTTTAATTTTTTTCCCTTTATTTTTTGCATGTAAACGGGAAATTAATTTTACTCTTTAAAAAATGTTTTTGTAATTTCTAATTACATATATTTTACCTGTTTATAATGATCCTTATTGATTGTTATAGGCAACTTTCAAACTTTCGATTACGGAAATCTGGGCAATTACGAGCGATATAAACAGCTAACACCTGTGAAATATAATGTAAAAAAAATTACTGCACCCATAGCTATGTTTTATGGCGATAACGATCCGATTACTTTGAAATCAGTAAGTATATTTTTTTTACTTTTAAATTTAAAAAAAGTAGTTAAGTTTAAAAAAACATTTCGTTCAAAAATATAATGAAAAATGTATTTGTGCAATACACGTTACATTTATATTTGATTCTACGTCTATATTATATTATATTTACGCGCATGAGAGTCGTTATATTTATAGAGAGAGATAAATACTTATATTTTAAAAATTATTATTTTCAATTTAAAATTATTATTTTTATTATTTATTTTTTATTATTATTTATTATTATTTTTATTATTATTTATTTTATTTATTATTATTATTATTATTATTATTATTTTATTATTATTATTTTTTATTTTATTATTATTAATTTTTATTGTTATTATTTAAAATTATTATTATTTTTTATGTTTTTCTTCTCCAGAATGTCCTTCAATTATATAAACAGTTACCAAATGTTATTCTGCTGGAAGAAATTCCATATAGACTTTTCACTCATATGGATTTCTTGTGGTCCATCGATGGAAAAGCTTTATTATACGATCGCGTGATAGAAGTTATGCAGGAGTTCGAATCAGGTTCCAATACCAGTTTTAGGTGATTCATAGATATCTGTCCAAAAATGACAACAACTAATTAATTAAAAGGTCGAGGAGCTACAAGGAGAACAAGTGAGCTACAAATTTAATGAATTTGCAAGTCTGTAATGAGATTCAGCGACTGAGAATTTTACATCGATTAGTCAATCGACATTAGTCGATTGACTAATGTCTTTCTCTTAGATATTTTATATATAGACCAAGGTATTTAGATCCACCTCAAACAAGATATATCTAAAAAGCGTCTTGATATGGTCTTACAGACATCTTTGATATAATATATACTATTTTGATATAGATATATACTACTTTGATATAGACCAATTTTTATAAAATATCTTTAGGTGTCATAATATTCCCTGATAGATTACTTGAGACGATTTATATAAGATCTTGTATTGAAAACAAGGAAAAGTAGAAATTAATTATAATATATATGTGCATAGGCGTGTATGTGGATTAGGAGAGATTTAATTAAAATTAAATAATATTAAAACTAGTCTAAATTTCTCTCTTGTTCTTAGCTCATAAAATTATTATTTAAAATATAACAGAAATGTGTTAGAAGTGTTTAATGATGTATAATTGTGTGTGCATCGACAATTTAATTCTTATTTTTAGCCTGTAGATAATTAAATTTTAATTTTTAGTAAAGAATAATTGATTTTCTCAGTTCTTGGAAGTAGGAATTTATCTAACATTGTTTGAAATTTTTTTTACTCTATAAATTTTCTTCTACTTTTAAAAATAAAAATACGTGAGAAAATATATAATTCAAAAATATCATTTTCAAAATAAAACTCATTTATGTACATGATGAAATTATTATCTATTGTAATATTACATATTAATGTATATTAAAATAATTTCGAATAATATACGATACATATCAAGAAATGTGTCAAAAAATTTATTAAAGTTTGTTTTGCATATATAAGTTCAAAAGAGATATAAGATTAATAAGAGTACAAAATATATAGATATAAGATTAATAAGGGTTCAAAAGAAATATAAGATTTATGTGTGTATTTAAAATTAAATAATAGAAGTAAGTTGAAATTCGGACAGAAAATTAACCGGGAGTTAGATTTGCTATGATTCTTATTAATTATTTTGATAGTTATTTGTTATATCTACCTTTTTACACACACAAAATTCGCATAAATTATGGAAATAATAAATATTTTGTTGCTCTTATTTTATAATATTTATTTCTATTTTTGTATAAAATAAAATCATGGCAATGCGGACGGATATGACACTTATAACGATGATATTAACAGCAAAACGATCATTACTCTAACATCTCTAGAGCACCCTATGTATACACGTATATTTATATGTACAATGTAATATTAACTATATATATTATATATATATATATATATATATATATATATATATTTCTAAAATTATTTTATTTTCAGTTGCTATAATTTTAACTGTGCTAAACCAGACTGGCAGTACCGATGTTAATGACAACATTATCAGCATTTCGCTCGTAAACTGTTAGATCGTGTCCTCTTGGCTGCTCCAATAAAGCAGCGAGTTGTTCCCCGTTTGTGAATGACCCTGTCGAAGGTGGTAAAATCACATCGCATTCTAGCTGACCTGTAGAGAAAGGAAAACAAATTTCTCAGAATCCCTTCTTCTTTTAAGATGTCATTTTTTGTGACAGAATCTACTGTTGGGTTTCGCAATTTTAATTAATTTAAATAGAATATATTTATGAATGACATGTATAAACATTTTTTTATATTAACTACTGTTATCGAGTATCATCAGTCTTCATATTTACCCGATAAGGAAGGCGATGCGCCTTTGCTGGAGCCATACATGCGAGTGCTGTACCCAGAATCGTTATGGGTGTCGTGGAGAGGCGGTGTCGGGCTGTACACCGGATTACGTGATCTGTAGGGCATTCTCGCGATGCTGTCGTAGTGCACGTCTTCGGAAATGCCTTTTCTACAGTTCGCGCCCTTGTATACTTCGGGTTGTTCGACGTCGTCGCCCTCTCCTTCACTACTTTCGCTGTCGTTATCTGTGACATCGACGTTATTCGACGATTGATTATAGCTCGAATTGAAAGGATCTTTTCTAAAGAATTTTTTGGAAATATTGGAATTTTTTCTTAGCAGATAACAATAGACTTTTTCTATTAATCATGATAATTTGTATTTTAACAAAATTAGAAAATAGAAATTTTTAAAGATAAATGTCTTTTTTCTCAATCTTCTTTGTTTATAATTAATTTATTAATTTAGTCTTCTAAGAGTAAGAATTTTTTTCTAATTAATTAAATTAATTTAATTAAATAATATATTTAAATAATTAAATAAATATATTTAAATAATTAAATTAATTTAACTAAATCTCTCCGAAATGTCTGTATAATTTCTTCCTGCCGCTGTAACTAATTTTTATTTATTAATTCTAAGACATATATATTTTCTAAAATATATTACTGTAATTTTTCAATTATATTACCTTGAGAATGCACTCTCTGATTTTGCGAACACTTGCTATATTCATCCAGATTAGCCTGTTCGTTATTTCTAGAGCGAATCCTTTGCCAACCATTATGCATATCAGGTACTTGCTGAAATCGCTTAATTATTTCATGGACACTACCTAGTGGACGATCACCATTCCATTCCATCGTATTCCCATCGCTGATGTTTCGAGTATTATTATTATCCACTGCCATGCCATGCATATCATACGACGCGCAATCCTTAAAAATGTACATAATACGTGTAATTAATATTTATCGATTTAATTTCAATTTACATACATTTCAATTAATTTCAATTTACATACAATTTACATGCTTTATCTCGAGGTAACTAATAATTATTCTGTAAGATGGTATAAGAAAAAACTGATTCTTATTATCTTTTATTACATATGTCGGATTTTTTAATCCGACATAATAAAAGATAATAACTGTGTTATAGGTTTTTAATAAAAAAAATAACTTTACATTGTTGGATCTTAATTTAAGAGGTTAATTTAAGGGGTTGTCTAGTCCGAAAAAAGTATAATGTTTGGGAGTTTTTTTTGAAAAGTGTAATAATAATTTCTTTTCTACAAAATATAGTTTTATTCAAAAGAACAAATATCAAGGATGTTATTATAATTTTATTTAAATAAAATATTAAAAAATATAAAAGTTATAACTATTCTGCCGGATATTGTTTTTTAAAAAACGCTGCGCTGAGCAGTGCTATTTAAAGCTGATATCAAAAATTCAATAAACTGGAGTTAATGTATGAAATTATCTAGATGAACGAAGGATTAATCGAAATTGTTTTGGGACAAAATGGCAGCCATATGACAGATAAGATATTCTTTTTCGAGTTAAAAAGTGTTCGTTTTTTATTAAGTAAAAAAAATATTCATTAAAAAACAAAATCCTTCGTTTCTACTAGGTTTTTATATGTAGAAGAAGCCTGTGAAATTTCAAGCAAATCGGTGTAACTGTTTTCGAAATATCTCGCTCACCGACTTTGAAAAAATGATTTCGATAAAAGCGTTTAAGATTTGTGTCAAATTTACGTTTAAATAAAATTTAAATTTTTTTAATTTGCACAGAATCATCTATTCGGGGCCCATATAATTTTAGTTTATTTAAATCTTCATATATTGGCTTGATAGCCCTCAAAACATCAGAGCTGAAGCTTCATAGTCGTGTTTAAATGAAGTTACACATTCTGGCGCTTCATGAAACATACACTTATAACTTCCTCCATTCGCATCCGATTAATTTAAAACTTTTAGGAAATATTTTCAATATGATATATTCAAGGAAATGTAAAAACATAAAAATTGTTTTTTTTTATTTTTATGACTAGACATAACTCCTTAAGAATTTTTCAAGAATTCTTCAAGTAACTGTTAATTCGCATATTTTATTTACTCATAGAAAAGTTAAAATAAAATTGCAATGAACGATAACATAATTCAATCTTACCCTTTGCTGACATCTTCCTTCCATAGAAGGTGATTCCGTCGGTGCAGCGTTTAAGGGCGAGATTCCACCCTGCCTAATGACCCCATCGAAAGTTTCGTTCAATCTCGGAGGAATATCCAGCACTCTAAGCGCCGATCTAGCCGTCCCAGATCTCGAAGGTAGATCTCTCATGGATGTGCTGAGTCTAGGTATGGCCGGTATATCAAGATCATCCAAACTTCCGCGATGGATCGGCGTTTCTCCGGGAATTTCGAAACTACGATCCTGCGGCCGATCGTCCAGCAGATCCTCGAGTGATCTCGTTCTAGCCGGTATCACCGTCTCCGACTGATTATAGTTGGTTTTCATCGGCCTCTCGCTGTATCTGCCTCTTCCACCTCGCTGCAAGTATCGCTGAAAGTGTGAGTATCTCTCGTCGCACCTGGACCGCTCCTCTTGAACGCATCGAGTCAATTCTGAAATCTGTCCCCTGGTCCTCCTCTCCAAATTGGCCACCTTCAAATCCAGCTTCTCGTGAGCCTGATCGATGTGCGCCTTCAGCTCGGCCTTGTCCTGTTCCAGCTTCGCTTCCATATGACGGAAAAATGGCGCACAGTAGCACGTATATCCCACGCCCACCGGACCCTTTCTGATGTTACCTGCCAGATCCAAGTAATACTGTTCGCCTCGTCCCAAAGGGTCAGCTGGCAAAGAGTCCAGACGGGGTTGAGGAAACGCTTCCGGATCCGGGTAGTAATGACAGCCATAAGGCGACCACTGTCGACCCATGATGGCCTTTTCAAAGCGGACCTTGTGCTGCTTGCCATTGGATTTGTGCTTCTTCCGGTCTTTCTTCGAGTTGCTTCCGCCACCACTCGTGCCACTTCCAGTCTTCTCTCGCTTTTTGTTCACTGCCTTATCTAATTTCAGATAAAATGATCAGATTAATCAATCGTATAAAACATCCTTAACAGGTAGCTGAGGATTTTATCAACGAGTTAATTGGTTCGAATTCAATCTCATAATTAATTAATTCAATATTAATTAATTAAAAACGACGATAGGATGCAGGTACGCGAACAGTAGTGTCATTTTTTTTTATAGATAAGACAATATCATTAATAAATTAATGACTGTACTCTGTTCTCACCGTTTTCTATCTTGCCGTCTACCAAGTCTCCTTCGCGGCTCTTGCTTCGCATTCGGCTTTTGCCGCGAGCCTTGGAGATAATCTCTAGAATTTCAGTGTGATTCTTACGACGAGCGATATCCTTTGCCGTCTCGCCCTGTTTGTTTCGCAGACTTCGGTCGCAACCGGCTTCCAGGAGGATTCGCGTCAACTTCCGGCGACCCATCGCTGCGGCTATATGCAAGGCTGTGTCGCCGTTCTAGGATGGATGAATTGTGATTTAAATAACTGATAAGAATATTATATTAAATAACTGAATAATGGATGCCAAAGATTAATTGCAAAAAAATTGTTTCTAGCTGTAGCAATTCAGACAAATTTATTTGACTTTTTTAATTAATTAATTTTCTTCCTGCGTTTATGCTCGTGTGGTGTGATCATATGTTCGAATAATTTTTCAAAAACTGGTATTACTTACTTTGTTTTGATCCGATACCCTACATAAGGCTGAGATTAGTATACGAGTTACACCAGCGTGGCCGTAACGTGCCGAAGTGTGAAGTGGCGTATCGCCATACTGAAAGAAATATTTAATTTATTATATATAGAGTGTTTCTAAATTTATTTCAGAGATTTTAAGAGCGTATTTTATTATCAAAATAAGAAAAAAAGTTCTTATAAATATACCTTAAAGCAATATATTTTGCGATTTTTTCCATCAACTTTAGGGGGCTATAACTCGAAGGGAAATTATTTTTGGACCCACGTTTATAAGAACTTCTTTTCTTATTAGATTTAGATCACTCTTAGATTTAGAAACACCCTGTACATTCTCTCTCTCATGTGATAGAATCTTTGATTAAAACAAAAATTTGATGTCTATTTCAATCAAGGGAAATCTCAAATAACAGAATGCGTTAATAATAGTGCTACTACATCCCATGATTTCATCAGATTAAAGTGTGCCGTAATATTATTTCCTATAATTAAAGTCATACTTTTACTATTTATTTACATAGTCGTCTTTATAGGTCTGTATGAAAATATGTGCGTAACGGTATCATATCATTGCATACAGTTACACGACAGAGAGATCTGCAAGGGGTTTGGCTTCGTACGATATTAATGCTAAATCTCCCTCTTTAGCCCTCATCCTCATGCCGCGATGAATGCGATAAAACGATTGAAAAAAAAAAAGATCGGCGGATCGCTCACGTTATTCTGAAGATCGGGATTGCTGCCGGCTAGGAGGAGCTCTCGACAGCTTTGATTATGGCCGTTTTGACAGGCGAGGTGAAGCGGTGCAAATCCGGCGAGATTCCTGGCGTGCAGAGGGGCTCGCTGGGTCCCAAGGGCCTTCGCCAGAACCGCCACGGTTCGACTGTAACCGCGCCATGATGCCTCGTGTAGCGCCGAGTTTCCATGCTGAAAACACGCAGAATGTATTCATCGAAGGCTGCTCGGCTTCGAGCTACAGGGTGTCTCGCAAGATTCGCAAATTAGTACTCCAGACGAACAGAATAATAGCGACAACTGTCCAGAATTATTTCTATCTTATCGCCTCCCAGCATCTTTCTATTTTTTTTTATTCATACTTTGCGTGAAGATTATTATTTTTTACTGCAGAGAGAGCAAAAAAATTACACAGAAGGCTTTTTCAAAAAATTAAAAAAATTATATTTTCTATGATTTTATCTTGTATTTTCAGAACGAGAGTGGATGACAAAGAAAGCGGATCAATTTCTCGAGTATTATAATGATCTTAATCAAGGTAGCTTAATTCGCGACGGTTTGCACGGAATTTTTTGCGTGACGAGATGAAAATTGGCGGCTCGCTATTTCGGCTCGGCGCAAAAATCATAAGTCGTAATGTGCGCGATACAGCATCGTGCAGATGGTCCGCTCGAGCAGAAACTGGTGTACGGTACACGGTGTAGCGCAACAAAGGAAAAAGGCGGACGGGCAAAAGAGGATGACCGAGAGACTTACAACTGCTCGCCCGTACTCGGCGGACAACCTGGTCGATGAACCGTGCTATGCCACTCGCGACAGCATCGCATACACCTAAACCGTGCGTGCTCACGCACGATGCTGCTCCGCATATAGGGTGTCGGAGACTTGGAGAATAACGTAACTTAATCATACATTTCTTTCCATTTCTGTCTGGAAGAAGCTCTGGAAAACGACTTTAGACACCTTCGAAGAGTTTTCATCTTCTGGAGCTTCTTTAGAAACTTTGAAAATAGCTTTGAAGATTTTTAAAGAGTTTTTATCTTCTGGAGCTTCTTTAGAAACTTTGAAAATGGAAACTTGAAAACTTTGAAGATTTTTAAAGAGTTTTCAAAGTTTATCTTCTAAAGTTTTATTTAACATAAAGCTTTTTAAGTGCAAGATATTAATAGAAGATGCGATATAATTATTCTACGGGTTGATTCGAGTTATGCAAAATGAAGAGAGAGATATCTGGATCGCAATCAGCAACGATAAATAATTAAATTGTTGATCCTGTATAAAGCAATTCTGAAAATTATTTTAAATATTTTTAAAGAGTTTCCAAAGTTTATCTTCTAAAGCTTCTTTTAAACATGAAACTTTTTAAATGCAAGATATTAATAGAAGATGTAGTATAATTGTTCTGTAGGTTTATTCGAATTACGCAAAATAAAAATATCAGCAATGATAAATAATTGCATAGTTAATCTTGTATAAGAATTAAATATCAAATAATTTCTTAATTTGAATAATCATAGCTTTTGAATAATAATAATATTGACTAAAAATATTGAAGATATTAAATGTAATGATTTTATATAAAAATTTAAATTAACTTTAAATAAAAATTAACATATTAATATATACACGCTCTCATATATAATTGAAATAAAAAAGACATGATTTTTTATAATAAAGGAAAGTTAAAAGATTAGAGGTACGAAGATGTGATCTTTCGTTCTAACTCAGTTTTATCTTTCATTCTTGAACAAGAGAGTACCTTGTCTTCGTGTATCTTGTTTCCCCTTCTCAGTCAAGAAAAACGACACCGTAGAACGATAAAGGAGTGAGGCGTCCATATTTACGATTCATCGTCAGGGATCAATCCAGTGACGGATTTAATCTTTTTATGATCCCAAGTTATAACATAGTTAAGAGTTTCTCTTTTTTATCCTCTTAATCAAATAATGAGAAATTAATCAAATAAGAAAAAAATTTTAAGTATTCAAACTGAAAATGGTTCATATTCCATTGGTTACTATGGTCGGAAAATTAGAGAAATTATTAAATTAACGATTACGAATGAACAATTAAAATAGTTAATAAATAATTAAAATAATTAATGAAAATTATTAATTAAAATATTAATAAAAACTATTATATATAAAAACTAATTAAAATTATTAAAAATTATTAAATTATTAATTATTATATTATGATTACACAGTTCGCTGATAATAATCAGGGGATATTTTCTAAGATAACAGGCATTATTTCATGTAAAGCAAAAAATTAAATTTTGTAACTTGCTCTTTTAGTTTATTCCTCATCCATCAACTTTCCTCCATTGAACCAAACGTTTCGTCTTTTGCCAAGTCGACGTCTCTGATCATAAGCTATGCAACCCAAGCCACTGCATAATATTAGTGGCGCTTCTTGCGGTTTTTGCTTAGCTTCAATTTTATTGTGATCATGTAGCAGCGTCTAAGAGCGATGGGAAAAGATACGGCGTGTCAGCCAGCACTTTCTTCGCTGCCACAGAATAAAAAATCATAAACAGCTTTCATCGACACGAATCCATGACACGGGACTCGTATAACCACGTGGGATGATTCGGAGAAGTACATTATGTGATCATTTTAAAATCCAATTTACATATACAGACGAAAACTTAAAATATTTTTTACTCAACTAAATTATGAATATAATATAATATATATCTTATAATATAATATATATCTTAATTTTTTATTATAAAAATGGAGAAATTTTTATTCCAAAAAGTTTAGGAAAGATTTATTGCTCATTTTCAGAAAAATAAGTACAATAAATAAAATAAATAAAATAAATGAAATAAATGAAATAAATGAAATAAATGAAATAAATGAAATAAATGAAATAAATGAAATAAATGAAATAAATGAAATAAATGAAATAAATGAAATAAATGAAATAAATGAAATAAATGAAATAAATGAAATAAATGAAATAAATGAAATAAATGAAATAAATGAAATAAATGAAATAAATGAAATAAATGAAATAAATGAAATAAATGAAATAAATGAAATAAATGAAATAAATGAAATAAATGAAATAAATGAAATAAATGAAATAAATGAAATAAATGAAATAAATGAAATAAATGAAATAAATGAAATAAATGAAATAAATGAAATAAATGAAATAAGTAAAAGAAATAAAAGAAATAAAAGAAATAAAATAAATAAAATAAGTAAAATAAGTAAAATAAAATAAATAAAATAAGTCATAAGTAAGTAAAATAAAAAGAAATATAACAAAAAAATACTCAGCTTGATAGTATAAAAAAAAAATTTTGATAATACAAGAGTTAACACGTGTTAAATCTATGGCTCTTTAAACGTACAAGAACTTTATTAAGAAATTAACTTTTTTTTGTAAATTCATTAGTGACTACAATTACATTTTTAGGGTCGGAATTTACATGTCAGGATGGCCGAGCGGTCTAAGGCGCCAGACTCAAGGTATTATAGCCTTATCCGTCATAGACGGATGAAGAGCGTTCTGGTCCTCTCTGAGGGCGCGGGTTCGAATCCCGCTTCTGACATTTTTTTTTGTATTCATTCTCTCGTCTCATACCTTCTTTAAATGACATCGCATTATTATCTCATATTTTGATGTCCAAGCCGCGATTTAGAATCTCTTTTGTAGGATACTAGAATATTATAGAGCCTGCGCATTTATTTTCTTGCGTCATATTATTTAATAAACTACGATTAAAAAATTCTAAATTAAAAAAAATATTGTCTTTGCTTCCCATCGATGCGTAGAAAAATATAATTATATACTGAAGAATATAAATACACACGTGTTATTTAATCTATGGAATTATATAGTTTAAGATAATTATTCTCTCAAAATAAACATGTTACAATTTTTTTTATGCTTTAAAGACACATTTGATATAAAGTTTATATTTAACATAAACAAAATTATATAAAACTATTTACTAAAAAAATAATTCTGAACAATTCTAATAAAATATGCAATTTTTGCAATGACAATGATAAATTATAATAATTAATAATTTTAGACTTTTGAGAGAACCTTGATACGTTTAAGAATCGATTTAACATGCCTTTTTTAATAATGGAGGTTTTTTATTGCGAATTAATAATTATTTATGTATATTTAAATATTCTTCGATATAAATATAAATATATTGTTTCACGCTTTTAATTTTTCGTTGATTAAGATTTATAATTTATTAATCACTTTTAGGTTAACAACACACAATAATTGTTAAATCATAGAATCGAGAGATAAAAATAAAGAAAAACTATGATACATTTATTAATAATTAATTTACCATTCAAAGAAAATAAAATATTTTAAATTTATTTCGTAGTCTATTAAATATTTCACATTATAACAGATATATTAATTACGTAATAATTAATATAATTATTGCGATTCTTCTGATTCGCACATTTTGCGTGATTTATTCATTTATTATATCAAGTAAGAATGAAAGCAACAAAGTCATAAATAAAAATTATGAAATATCATTTTTCACAATCCCTACAAGCAATAATTATTTTTCTCTAATAAAATGAAATATATTTCAATTCTTGAAATTTTCCGTAGATCTAATTTGCTATTTAAATAATAAATAAAAATGCCCAGTAAAAGTAAAAACATTTCGTACGTGTACATGTTGTAGTATATGTATATTTCAACAATGAATTAATATTATGGTATTAATATCATGTTTGTGACCTTGATTCTTCATAGCACGCTATTGTGTTTATATATGATGTACTACATTGTTCACATACTACGTTACAATCGCGTGTCATGGCCCTGTTATCATCTTATCGTGCGTGACAGTCGAGCGAGAAGGTAGTGTTGCGAGACGCTTCGTATATCTTTGAAATTCTTTTTCGAACCGCGTAACAAATATCGGGAAATAATTCGCTATCTATCATTATCTATTAATTAATTTTCGATAAACAATGCATAATTGTTTTCGCGACGATAGATTTTTATCGAAGCGCATATCTCACGTCATTTATCACACGATCATTTATTATTTCAAATAAGAATTTCGAAAAAAAATTCTTAATAAATTATCGCGCAATATATTTGTTGCAATTTTTATGAACAATAATTACAATATTTCTTTAATAATATTTGAAATCAAATATATGTCGATGTTTTAAATTTGTTTAATCTTTGCTCTATTCGCATTAAAAATGCACAACAAGAGGTAAATCTTAGAATCAAGTTAAGTCTCATGATACCAATTATTTAATTTATAAATAATGTATAATTTCAGAGAAACATATATATATTTTATAGTATGTAAAATATTTCGACAATGAATTAACTGTATTTAGCCTTGACAATGTATAACGTATTATTATTTACTTTTAGCATGGCCTTGTTATTAATCAAATAGTAAAAAATAATTTGAATTACTTTGGACAATTAATGTTCATATTTTTTTGCAATATATAATGTATTATATTGTTTATCGTGAAATTTATTTGATTAATCTATCGTACGAATAATCGATAAATCTAATTATATTCTTGAATACTTATCTTTAATTATAACTTGTATACATTTATTTATTTATTTTAGGTCGAGAAATAAAATTATTGATTTAAAATGCGAGCATATCAATTATTAATTAAGTGATTGCTTTACCACATCATTTCATTATTTTAATTTCTCGATTTTACGATTCGTATTTTATTGTGCGTATATATAAAGATAACGAGTAAATTATTTCTGCTTCGTAAATATCAAGTAAATCGTATTTTTCACTACCTTCTCGTCACGATGCAGTATAATAACATCGCGTGCAATTTTTTCGCGATCGGAAATGTGCACAAAGTGTCGTGTCAGCGTCACGTTTTAATTAATTCGACTAACATTAACCGAGTTTCGCATTTCGTGAATATGAGTGTCATGAGAAAACAACAAATCATGAGAGAAAGAGAAGATCCAGGAAGACACTGTACGACAGATGAATCAATGGTATGTTTAATAAATTTATTAATTGTTATTCTAATATTAAATATATAAAGAAAAAAAATTATAATTACACAAATAATTAATAATACAAAAATATGCTGTTACAAATATTTTAAATATTTTTAAATAAAAAAATATAATAAATAAAATATAAAATATAATTTTAAATAAAATATAATTTATTATTTTATATAAAACAAAATATAAATGAAATAAATATACATGTATATATATTATGCATTTTACATCACACGATACTCTAAAATTATTATCGAGGAAATAAAAAAGAATAAGCAATCTACATTTTATAATATTTTTATTTTAATAATAATAAAATACAAAATATATTTTCTCTCTCTCTCTCTCTCTCTCTCTCTCTCTCTCTCTCTCTTTCTGTTTCTTTCTTTTTCTGTTCTATTAGTATTTAAATTCAATCCTTTATAAGTCTGAAATTATTGTGAGATCTTAATGTTTTCGTTAAGAGAGATTTTCAATTAAAATATATATTTATATTCTCTTCAATCAAAGAATATAAATCAAGAATATAAAATAAAATAAAATATTTTATTATTTTCATCACAAGTGCAGTTAAAATATCCAAGCTTCAAGAGCTTCAAAATTTCAAGCAAAAATTGTTTTAGAAAAATTGTTGTGTTTTTAATAAATGTTGATCAAATTAATCCCAGCTACTTATTCACATATTAGACTTTTCTATTGATTAGAAAATAGTAAATGTACAAACAACATTTAAACTCCAGATAGATAACACCAGTTAGATCGCGAATATCGCTGTTTATTCAAGATTACGATGTATAATGATGGATTCATGGATATTCAAATATTTACCCACCACATGCACTCGCACACACATACGTACAAAAACACACACACACACACACACGCATGCACAAATACATTTGCAGATACATATACGCTTTTCCACGCATTCGAGTATCCGGTGGGATGTTGCTGCGAGGAACACTTTAATGTATTCACCCCTCCCATAAAGAGGAGAGTCGGACCGGGCATGCTAATTGCCTGCGGGACAATGGTGGGATTCTACGACGATCCGCGATTCCCCAGTCGCGTCGTATCATACATCGGGAATAATTTCATTTCGTTTCAACCCACGCGTATACGCACAACACGAGCCGTTTCCTGCGTGCTTTCGGCTTGAAACATCATCATGACGATTGAACAATGCGGACGAATTTTAGAAGCAGTTTGTTTTGTCGCATTAAACTTCAAGTCAAGATTTTATCAATTTAAATGAGAAGCGTGATACGTTAATTATGTTTAATCTGCAATTATACACATATGCATACGTATATATTAATTGTTGCTGATCACGAAACATGTGAAATGCGGAAAGTAGACAAAATTTAAAACGATTTTTTATAAATTATTTTTTATTTCTTGTAAATTATTTTTATTTTTTGTAAATTATTATTGATTATCAATAATTAATTATCTCAAAATTATTTTAATTATTTTGTTTTCCCTCTGTATTTAGTAGAGCTAGAGTTTTGCTCTATCTATTTATAAATTAATTACAAGTAATATCCTATATAATTTTTAATATCTTTTTAATTATAATTGATTAACAATCATAATTGATTGAGAAATTTTAATATTTTAATAAATAATCTTTTTTAATTCCTCGTATTAAAATAATGAAAGATTTCAATAGAGCAAAAAAGCTAAATATTTTAATAAAAAAAAATTGTAGCTTTCACGAGATTAATAATGAGTCTACAGAGATGGGGTAACTACCCCTAATAGACCGTGTGGCCTAACGGATAAGGCGTCGGACTTCGGATCCGAAGATTGCAGGTTCGAATCCTGTCACGGTCGATAAATTTTTTTACTTTTTGCAGAAATGACAGAGAATGGAAAACATACGGAAAAATAAGTTATATAAGAAAATTGAAGTGAAAGAAGTGGTACTATAAGAGTGTGTGTGATATATTTTGTAGTCTCAAATTAATCTACCCAGAAATGTTAAATTATATCCTATCTATATTAGATTATATATATTTTAAAATTGTCACATATTTTTTTTGTAGCTACAAAATTTTTCAATCAATGTAAAATTGATTTTTCTCTTTAAAAAAATTTTAATATTAATACTTTCGCAGCAATTATTATTTTGATCTTTAAAAATCATTCTAAATCTTGATATAATTAAAAGGGAAATGATTTTGATTATAAAATTATGAAAGAGCAAATAATTAAATTTTTGCCAAAAAAAAAATAAATTTAAAACTTTACACTTAAGAGAAAGTCGCACAAATAAATTCACATATGAAGAAACTTGATATAATTAAATTTGATGGAATTAAGAAAAATACGATGCTTGCGAGACATAATTTGTAAAAAAATTGCTAATAAGAAACACACAGAGTGTGTATAAATATATCATTTTTTCTCTTTATTCGTAAGAGAAACACGTCAAATGACGTGTATATGTATTTGAACATACGACGTCGACCTACACTTTCAGCATCGATTAATTCTCCCTCTTGCCTCCTGCTTCCCCTCCTTTATCCTCTCCTCGCTCCTTCTCGGAAAGATTGCCCCTCGTCTACCATCGTCGAGAAGTGAAATTATTTGCCTTAAGCAGACGGTATACATGCGGGGGAAGAGAAAGAAAGACAAGCAATGCACCGGAGAAATGAGGAAGAGAGGAGATGCGAAAGAAGTCGAAGAAAAGAGTAGAGATAAAGTCAGAGGAAGGCGCATTTTTAGCTGACCCATGACCGCAAGTCGTATGCAAGCTCAGGAATTGTAGGAAATATTCGTTTGCGAAGGTATCAGCCGCGACCGAGCGCGCAAATAGGGGTGGTAACTTGTATTCCAGAGTTTCTCAGGTCTGGGAAAGGAAATTGACTCTCGTAAACATGATGTGTTTATGTTAATTGCGCATCCACGTTGAATGAAACTTGTTGAATGACATAATTATTTAAAAAAGTTACTAGAGAAATTATTTCCCTCCTATGATATTAATTAAAGTATTAATAATATATATTAAAATAACTATATATCACTGTTATATAATAATTATATAAATGTTACTAATAATTTTTTACTTTTATTTAATCTAAAATTTTATTTTTTATTTAATCTAAACGTGAATATTTTTTTTATGACGGTTGCTTGCTATTTTTCCCCTTTTCAACCCTCTTGAAAGAGATATTTTTGTCGATACCAAATTCTCGTTTTGCGACTTTTTATCGTCTCTGGAAATTAATAGTGTTTTTTGCATTCTGTTTAGGATATAAAAGAAAATTTATGCAATACTACTCACGTCGTCTGCGGCACTAACGTCGACGCCCCGCAGTAAAAGGGCCTCGCACACTTCCACGTGACCACCTGCCGCGGCCAGCAACAGGGGCCCCCGGCCATTCTGAAACACGACAAGAATTCTGAACATCCTCGTGCGACTCATGCTGGTAAGCGTGCTCGATAAAACTCACTAATTAAGAGCCGTGCACCGAAAACATTCGAAAGTGGATATCTTCTCGTTTGGTGACGCTCGATAAAATTTCTTAATCAAACGCAGAGTCAATCGTTTTAATACAAATTAATATCTCGCGTAGACATTTCTCGTGTCTTTTTTTCATTTGATCCTTTCAATACAAATTAATCTCCTAATAATATATTAACGAATTTATTCCCACGATGTTAACGTGTATTTATATGTATCTTTGCGCTTATAAAGTAGAAATGCAAAGTAGAAATGTTTTCTGTTAGGAAATTAGGAAATTTTATCAAAGGCGTCACGTTTTTTACGATTTATTAATTCCCGATGATAATTATTTCTCAATAAGGTATTTAAATTTAAATATGCTGATTTAATTTCTAGATATTCTAGATTTAAATTCTAATTTAATTTCTATCTATGAAATTTAAATTTAAGATTCTACAAAATAAAATTTAGATAAATCTATTTAAAAAAAATAACGTTTGATTTTACTCTCATAAGCTTAGGAATTTATAAAAGCGCAATTCTTTAATTACTCGTAATACAAAGATTATTGATGCAATATTTTCATATAAGAAAATCTATTTAAAAACAGTCAATAAATTTATAATTAAATAAAAATTAATTAATAATTAAATAAAAATCAGAGAGAAAGAGAGAAAGAGAAACTTTAATAATTTATTATTTATATTTATTTATATTTTTTATATCTGTTCAATATTTATTGTTATATTTTTTACTATATTATTCATATATTTACTATGACTACTTAAAAATTTCAAAATTGCATGTTGAATGTCGTCTTCCAGTGGAATAACGATTAATAAATCGAGCCCAGCAGCGGCTGAATAAAAATCTCTTGGCAGCGATTAATTTGGTCGACGTAATTAAAGCAGGAACAACTTGAATAACGTATGGATAATCAATTGGATGGTCCGTTCGTTCGTATTCTGCTTTAGACAAATTACGTGTCTACCTATATTTTAAATTTAATCTAATCTACGCAACCACACACACTCACACACATAGAACACACACGTAGAATCACGTTGCGTGAATTAATAAATAGATACAATTAATTTATTGCTGTCAGTCGCGTAGTTAATAAAGTTTTCCCTCCAGCTAATATCACAAGCAATTATAGAAGGAATTTAATTTAATATTTTGCGATATTCCACACTTTCTTAATTATCAATTAATTTATCGAAATGTCATGTGACATTTTTAATCTTTTTTTTTTAGAGATGGATAAATATAATCGAAAGAGTATTGCAAACAGGAAATAAATACAAGTATAAATATAAAGAAGCACTCTTCATCATTTTCTATTTTTGAGATGCTAAAAATTAATATACTCCTCGAGTTAAATCAATTTTAATGCAAATTTAATTATCTTTTTCGGCTTGCTATATTTATCGTGTCAGTTTAAATTTCGAAAATTTATAAAATTAACTTTCCTCGAGATGTTAAATTCAGTCATAAAAATACACTGAAAAAATTGTAATCAATATTATAAAATATTCCATTTTTTAAAGTTTTTTGGACAAACAGATTCTTTTAAGAGACTCATATAATGTGATTTTTTTATTAGCTTTTAGATAGAAATGTATGAAATATTGCGTATAAAAATTCAACAGACGAATTATCTCTGCATATATATTTTCAAAACGACTAGAAAGTTGAAAAGTCCTACCTCATCAGGCAACGGTTTAACATTTTCATCGAGCAAGCGTGTGACTCGAGCAACGTCGCCGCGAGCAGCCGCCTCGCGCAACTTTTCTGCCATTCCAGTCGCGCATCTGGAACAAAAGCAATAAATTATTACACGCAATACACACTGCAATATATACTATCTATATTATATGTAATCGTAAGTCCAAAACGCAACTAAATAATGTCTTTATTGCAAAGTTTCCCTAGTCTTCACTCTTATTTTACATATGCAAAATAAAATCGTACAACTAACGTGAAGAACAAGACAGGTGAAAAACGTCACCTAACGAGCTTAACTCGACAGATTTACAACAAGGATAAAATTATATATTGCATTGCGTTACATGGATATTTGATCCTATAACCGATTAATTTAATCCATCATATGTACACGTTTTATAAATTACAAATCCTTATTCGTCTCTTCATCTTAAGTGGATTTAACTTAAGGGATTATGTCTAATCATAAAAGTAAAAAAAAACGATTTTTATATTTTTACATTTCCTTGAATATATCATATTGAAAATATTTTCGAAAAGTTTCAAGTTAATCGGATGCAAATTGACGGAGTTATAAGTGTATGTTTCATGAAGTGTCAGAATGTATACTTCATTTAAATGACTATAAAGCTTCAGCTCTGATGTTTTGAGGGCTATCAAATCAATATATGAAGATTTAAATAAACTAAAATTATATGGGCCCAGTATAGATGATTCTGTGCAAATTAAAAAAATCTAAATTTTATTTAAACGTAAATTTGACACAAATCTTAAACGTGTTTTTATCGAAATCATATTTTCAAAGTCGGTGAGCAAGATATTTCGAAAACAATTACATCGATTTGTTTGAAACTTTACAGGCTTTTTTTACATATAAAAATCTAGTAGATGAACGAACGATTTTGTTTTTTAATGAATATTTTTTTTATTTAATAAAAGACGAGCACTTTTTAAGTCGAAAAAGAATATCTTAGTATCAAATGGCTGCCATTTTGTCCCAAAACAATTTCTCGATTAATTCTTCGTTCATCTACTAGAAAATTTCATACATTAACTACAGTTTATCGAATTTTTGATATCAGATGAATCAGCTTCGAATAACACTGCTCATCGCATAGCGCTTTTTAAAAAACAATATCCGGGAGAATAGTCATAACTTTCACATTTTTTAATATTTTATTTAAAAAAAAATATAATAACATCCTTAATATTTTTACTTTTGAATAAAAACTTATTTGTAAAAAAAATTATTACATTTTTTCAAAAAAATTCTTAAACATCAAACTTTTTTCGGCCTGCTGACTAGACATAATCCCTTAAATAGAATCTGAACGCGCGTACGTTGAGGAAATTCGAGAAGGCGTGGGAGTCTGTTAGATAATGAAATCATTTACAACTTTCTTTCGGAGGAATTCGTGGATAAAACTTATAGTTTCACCACCACTCCCTGTATCTATGCTTTGCTTCTCGAATTCTCGTCGTATAATCCGTATAACGCGGACAGTAAATTATCCCGATGTCTAGCGAGGCGGTATATGATCTAGGATCCGAAGTGCGTCCGCTAATGAGGTAGACTATTACACTTCCTTGGCTGAACGAGGCCCCGCGTCCCCGTTCGAAACATTAATCTCGGTCGCGATTTCTTCTTTTTATAACTATAACGATCCCAGAAATAACGCTCACGCGAACTAAAAGTGCGCGAGCGAATTCACATGTGAAAGTACCTCGCAAGGTGCGAATTAATATGTGCGTTTTAGTCACGAGCTACCTATAATTTTGCGACTTAAGTGATTAAAGAGAAAAAAAAACGCGCGGAGAAAGCTATAAAGAGAAATATTATTCTTCATCCCCTTCGCTGGTAGCAATATTGGATTATGATCTATTTACGAGTTAGAAATACAGCAAAGTGCGAATTAAAATGAATTAAATTTCATTTAATCTAGTTGTAATTATTAAGGGCCTTACTTAATAAAACTATAAATGCTTATTTTATTTCCTGTATGAATGTAGCTTGCAATACACGCTGTAAACTGTTATTTTTTTATCTTTTAACGTTTATTACGTGATCAGTGATGCGTACGTATGCCTTCCGATGTAAAATGTACAGGGCGCACCCTCTGACTTATTAATGATGTAATTTCGTCACGCGTTGCAGCGTCGAATTCGAGCTTAAAACAGCAATGACGGAATCATGCTTCGTTGATTATTTCAATACAGATGGGCGCAAACTATCGCGGATGCACATTATGAGGTGTGGCTTTTCTTTGTAAGAATTGTTCTCTTACTTAGTTTCCATCAGACAATCATAGCTGACAAATAAATCCGAGATATTAATCCTTCAAACTAGCAAACTAAATTTCTAAAATTTAAAATTTTTTTTTTAAATTTTAAAAATTTTAAATTTCTAAAATTTCGTAGACACTTGTTTTTAGGATAAAAAATTAATTCAAACGAATTCTTTTGAAATAGCATGAGTTATTCGCTTAACAAGACAAGCAAATAAAAATCCCTTTTAATTTTAATAAATTATTTATACAGGACTTTAGTAAATTATTTATATAGACTTATCGAATCAGCCGTTAATAACAGATTCCTGAGATCATTTGGAGACGAAAATTCTAATACCAAAATGTTGAAATGAGGAAGACTTCATAAAAATGTCCAAATTACTGACGTATCGAAGACACAATTGTTCTCACTGCAGAATCTTATTTTTTATTTTACATTCCTCTATTAATATCGATATTATCTCGCTGTGCACGAACCCCTTGATGCGCTATGTTCCTGAACACAAGAGAACGTAATGTGTTGATTAATAATCTTTAATCTTTTGTGTAGCGCCGAAACTACATCTTCCTCAACATTTTAATATTAAGATTTTCGTTTCCAAATGATCTCAGGAATCTATCATTAACGGCTGACTCGTTAAGTCTGGGACCCTGTATATCTTTTTAAAGATAAAAAGGATTCTCTCTCATTACGCTTGTCTCGTTAAATATTATAATAGCACATTGTCGGAATCTTTCTTTAATTAATTAATTTATTTCCTAAATCAGATTGATATTAAAATGCATTTCCCGAGTTTTTAATAACACCCGTATATATTGTTTCTCTATATCATCTCACTTGACATGATGTGATATAATGTACCTCGCGTGTATAATAGAATAGAACGATTATACATTACGGCTCACACATTGAATTCATTATGAATCGAACACTTTCTCCAGAATTATAAACCGACGTGTGTATATATTTCCTCATGCATATATGCATGAGGAGATACAAAGAGCATTTTATAACCGGCGACTATTCCACTCGGACCCCTCACGCTAAGAGTCTCTAGCATAAATGGCCGCAGCCTCGGCTCTTATATTGAATAAAAAGGAAAAACGTAATTCTTTTCAATCATCCTCGTTTCCTTTTCTATTTGCGTGCAACGAGACCCCGACCTTGCCGATAAAGTAAGCGGTGTTGCGGCGGATAAAACCAGCAATTTTGTCGTGTTTATTTTATCTGCGACGTCGATGATGGTGCATCTCGTGAATCATAGTGTTTCCTGCTGCGACATTATTACACGCAGGGCTGGCCGTTGTGTTTCGCGCTCTTCTTATCGTTAAAGAAGTTAATAGAACGACTCCCTGAGCACAGGCTCAATATTGTTGGGTTGCATATACAATATAGAAAGGACTAAAAAAAATTACACGTGTACATGTTTCTTATTTCACTTAAAATCGATTTTTTCCCCTTAACTAAACTTAATTATAAACCACACACGTAGTTTATAATTATTATAAATTTATTATTATTATTAATAATTAATTCATTAATTAATAATTAATTCGATAATTAATATTATTAATATTTTATCATTATTAATTTATTAATTTTTATTATTGATAATTAATAATTAATTCAATAATTAATATTATTAATTATAATTTATAATATTATTATTATTCATATTTTATTATAATTAATTTATTAATTATTAATTATTAATTTTTTTTTATTTCTTTCTTACGCTGTTTCTTAGTTTTTTAATATCAAATATTTTGATGCGAAATTAAACGTCGTCCTGTAATCTCGTTTAAAAAAAATTTTCTTAAAATTAGATGATGAATTAAGATGTATCTATGAATATTAATTCATCGTCTATTTGGCTTTTGATGGAGAAAGTGAGATTTATCCGGTTTTCTATTTACAGAGACTTTTTTTTTCATTGTTGAATAGTCAATATTTCATAGGTAATATTTTGTGTAAGTAAATAAAGAAGTAACAGACGCGCACATTTTAGAGGCAAAACATTCCACGAGTTTACGATAGTTGAAAGACTCGAAAGCATTTCTCGAAGAACGGGAGACTCGCTAGAGAACGATCCTATCCGTAGGATTATGGGCAGTAACTTAACAAAATTGCCATCTTAAGTGTTTCCAATCGTGGTTTCACCGGTAATCGATCTAACGACTTAATATCACGCAAATGGTATCAAGGCCGTAGATAATTATTATCTCGCATACGGAAAATGTATCGTTGACTACTCAGAAAAGAAAAATTACCGGTGTCATTAATCATACACAGTTTATTTTGGAGGGATAAAAAGGGACAAGGGATACAGATATAGGTTTTAATATTAGTTTTTTTCGTGTTTCTCTCAAAAAATACAAATATGATGTTGACAAGACATAGCGTATAATTATTTAGAAATATAAGACATTTTTACATAATCGATAAAAAAAATTTGAAGCATTATATATTTGTAAACATTTTCAGAAATTAATATAAAGAATTATTAATGTACAATTTTATTAATTAATTTTGCTTTCTCAGATTATTTTATCTTATTTCTCATATATTTTATTTAATCTAAAATTTTTTCTTTTATAAGTCATTATTTTTGCTTTTGTTACATTTTTTTCTTTCTCATAAACTGTATCATTAAAAAACATGAAACGTGTTTTACGCTCATTCCATACTTTCATCGTTGATAATGGAGGTTGTTATAAATGTAACCTGTTATAATCTTTTTGCAAGTCCAACGTTTCCATCATGGCGTATTTATCGCAGAGTGTACTCATTTTTCTGAGAAAATTGCTAATGCTCCGTAAAGTCCGCATCCCGCTGTTTTAATGCAATTCAAGTCGGAACGGATTATCGATCACAATCAGTTCGTCGTTCATATGCAATTTATCTGTCGCGATTTATCTGTGTGAGCAACAGGTTACGCATGGCACGCTTTATTATAGACAAAGCTTTTACTACATTTATAATCGAGATTCTAATTTTATTTTATTACAGAGAAGGAGTCCCATAGAATAAATGTCCATAGCCCTGTTGTCCAAATTTTTCCCAGATTAGACTTCGTTTTCGACTCGAAATAAAATTTATGAAAATTTTAATTTTCACTCCCTTAAATTTTTAACTTTTACCCCTATTAAAAAAAATACTTTCAGCAACCAGACTTTATTTCAAGCCAACAATGGAGTCCAATCTCGAGAGGGGAAAATCTTAAGCGACAGTTACTCGCGCTCTTCTTGCTATAAATGTTTGTAATCGAGATTCTGATCGATAAAAGTAGCAAAACTCGAGTTTTATTAACCGGAACGTATTTTTCTGGGATTCTTATATCAACCGAAACATTGCGGTACGTTCCGGTCCACTTGGGACGCTGCCCTAATGTAGTCGTGCGACGAGAGAGAGAATATCGCCTTGGGCACTCCACAAGGTACGTTCATCCTTCGGTGCATCCTTCTGGCCTTAAATCGTTGAGGCCTAGCATTACGAGCCGCATGCCTAACTGTGGCTAGCCGCGCAAATGCACTTTTCCTGTTGGAATATTTGCGCGCGTACATATATCAATTATTCATGATCAAGATGATAGGAGTCAGTAAACTGTAAATAGAACTGCGTCAATCAACTCTTTCGAAGCTATGCGAATTTTTCAAGGATCGATAATATCTCGAATTTATTCGTCACCTCGTTAAATTATACGACGACTCTCCTTTTTCATAGATTTTTTCTCTATAAGAAGTATAAATAAAGGTAAAGCGAAGAAAGTAGAAATTCCAAGTATGTGCCTGAAATAACTACTTCATCTTCTAATCGCTTAATCGTCTGGTTAATGAGAGGAGCGTTGATTTTCGCACTTGATTGCGGTAGAAATTCACCCCTCCCGTTCCCAAGAATCGCGAAGGCGCACAAAGGCAGAGTCGGGGAAAATACCTGACAATTATCTACAGAACCAAACCGCTCCATCCCGCAAAGTCCTGCGCATTCTGTCCATTACTTGATGGTTGCGAGCCCACGTTGTAATAACAGCGCGATACGAGAGAGTCATTTTATTCGAGAATTAAATGCACAAATTATATACCTGACCGCACCTGGCCCCTCGTCGCAGAGCGACCGTTAGCGAATAAATTAAGAGCCTCATCTAGATTAGGGTCAGCTAAGCAGCCAGTTTTTAAACGCACATGCGGTCGTGTTTGTATAATAGAATGAGAAGTTTCGAAAAAATTAAAAAATTGGTTGCACTCTGCGAGCAAAAAATATAACTATAATTATAATATAACTATAATATAACTATAATTATAATATATAACTATAATATAACTGTATATTATAAAAAATATTATAACTAAATATTATAGTTATATTATTGAGTAATATTCATATTTTTGAAGTTTATGTAATTGCATGTAAATTCATCTAGAGAGATAATCGATCACCTGATAAGCTGCTGATTTTTCGATGTCGATCGATATTTACATATCACACTTTTCGAAGTCAAACGGGTACGATTGCATAATTTGCTGATGGAACACAGTGTTCTCGAGTGAGTAGCCACGGCGCCGCCACGTGTATGTACATACAAGCACGTACACGCTCACAAACGAATATCCACTTGCGTCTAACTCGCGCGAAACCGGTATTTGCGTCTTCCAGAGTAAACCTTTATATACAGGGATACTCACACAGAGGATACAGGGTGCTCCAACAAGCTGTATAATCTGCGTCAATCACGAAACTCTGTACACGGATACTGAAAAGCTATTCCTTCTAAGATTGTACTAAGGACTTAGAAATAAATTACAAACCTTCAAACAAATTATTTTTAATTATTGAGATTTTTTAAGGGGTTATGCCTAGTCAGCAGAGCGGAAAATGTTTGATGTTTGGGAATTTTGTTTTGAAAAGTGTAATAATTTTGTTTTTACAAGTAAATTTTTATTCAAAATTACAAATATTAAGGATGTTATTATGTATTTTTTTTAAATATTAAAAAAATGTAAAAGTTATAACTATTCTCGCAGATATTATTTTTTTAGAAAGCGATGAACAATGCTATTCGAAGCTGATTCATTTGATATCAAAAATTCGATAAACTGTAGTTAATGTAATTAGTTAATGAAATTTTCTAATAGATGAACGAAGGAATAATCGAAAAATTGTTTTGGGACAAAATGGCAGCCATTTGACACTAAGACATTCTTTTTCGACTTAAAAATTGCTCGTTTTTATTAAGTAAAAAAATATTCATTAAAAAACAAAATCCTTCGTTCATCTATTAGATTTTTATATAAAAGAAGCTTGTAAAATTTCAAGCAAATTAATGTAACGATTTTCGAAATATCTTGCTCACTGACTTTGAAAATGTGATTTCGATAAAAACATGTTTAAGATTTATGTCAAATTTACGTTTAAATAAAATGTAGATTTTTTAAATTTACACAGAATCATCTATTCCGGGCCCATATAATTTTAGTTTATTTAAATCTTCATATATTGGCTTGATATCCCTCAAAACATCAGAGCTGAAGCTTCATAGTCGTGTTTAAACGAAATTATACATTCTGGCGCTTGCTGGCGCATTCTGTATGAAACATACACTTATAACTCCGTCAATTTGCATCCGATTAATTTGAAATTTTTAGGAAATATTTTCAATATGATATACTTCAAGGAAATGTAAAAACATAAAAATTGTTTTTTTTGCTTTTATGACTAGGCATAACCCCATAATCTTAATATGTTAAAAATTAAGAAGATATAATTTCTAATAAATTTGAATGGAGGATTTAAAGGATTTAAAGGATTATCTTGATTTTTAAGAGTCCTACTCCTTGAGTCCTTGAATATTTTTATTATCCTATGAATAGCCTGTATAATTCACATAAAAGTTCGATTTTTGTGATTGTTATGCGAGCTTTCGGATCACTTGTTAGAGATTCCAAGTCACAAAAATACTTACCGGCCATATACGCTTATCCAGAAGGCATCGTTTGTGAAAGTAATCCTTAATCCGTGTCGAAATGTCGGATAGTTCGTCCGTTGCAAAAATCACTGCTAAGTTAAGCACAAATCACACATCACTTCTTATAAGCACTCCAAACGAGCTATCGCACAAAGACTCGATCACGTAGCTCAAAGATCGTTGAGTACCAGGTATAGCGGATCATCATCAGTATAATGATCGATATTCGATCCGACACGGGATTTACTTTATAACGAGATTATTTAGAAATAGTATGAGAAATAAATGATATAAAATTCTACATCGGAAATTTTATATGGAATAAGCGTCAAACAATTATATCGATGTAACAAGTTAATTTTACATTCTTTATATATATTTCTTTCTCGATTAAAAACTATCTATCTCTTTCTAAAAAAACAAATATATATTTTACATATTTTTATTCGTAAAGTATATCTACGAATTTATTTTTATATGGATTAGATATTCGATTGATTAAAACAAGAATCAAGGAGTACGCAGGAGATTTTAATGCTTGCAGGAGACTTCGATGCTCGCTGCATGCATAAATATCTTGTAGAATTGAATTTCTTAGCAAAAATTTAATTTCTCGTTAACCTCATTTTTATCAATTCAATTTTTTACCTATTTATTCAGAAAGTTGCATTTGATTTTAATTAAATATATTTAAGCTTCTTTCGAAAACGTATGAGAAATAAATAATATTTTATTATATATTTTCTACGATACGCGATAAAATCTCATGCGTCAATAATGTTTTATATCGCGTTCTCGAGCAATAATAATACGTAATATCTAATAATTTTTAGAATAGTATTATATATCTTGTTGAAACTCTTTGATTTTTCAATTTTACAATCATTAGATGCTTCAGCAAAGCTTAAGATAAAAATATAAGTGATACAAATGATAAAAATCTTTCAAATGATTACCTGAATAGCTCTTGTAGAATAATTCTTGAACTTTAAGATACCGTTGAATACTTGAATAAAACGTGATTCGAGATATAATAAATAACTAATTTACAATCTTTTAGAAAATCAAAAAATTACATAAATTCACGAAATAATTCTAACAAAAAATGGTTAAATTAAATTGTTAAATGATTAAATTTTTAGATATAGGAACTATATGTGTATGTGTGTGCAAATTGAGATCCATAATCCATAAATAGTCTCAGTCAAATATAAATATTGTCAAAATTGTATTTTGCAATCTACAAATAAGTTTCCTTTACTTTCTCGAAAAATTTCAAAATGGTTGGCGACACAACCAATGGTTTCATGGATGGTACATGCACGTTTCAGAGAATCACATCATATTTCTTCACCATGTGATTGTTCTCGGGAAATAATTTATTTGAACTTGAAATTTTGAAAAGTCTTCCAATAATCAAAACCGCACGATTTTTTTTTAAATATCTTTAGTTGTTGCCGATCACTCTTCCCCAAATTCCCGACTCCTCGATGCAAAATCACGAAATGGATCACTCGAAATTTTTCATGAGCAATTTTTCACCTGCGCAAGCGCGCGATTTAATTCACTTTCTTTCACTTCTAATATCATACTCCGAATTTGCAATGTATCTCGCTGCTTGTCGACATGCTCAACTTGTACATATTCCAGAAAACGTATTTCTTCGACCGGAAGACTCGGAAAGGCGGCCGCATCGAGACTGGTCGCATCGGGAGAAAGCTGCGAATTGTAAGCGGTTCTCCAGGAACCCATAACAGTGCCGGCACAAACCATGGGCTCGATAAAATCCAGAATTAGAATAGCAACAGAGGCTTTAAGCCTTAATAAAAGACCTACGTTACTATAAATTTAATATAAACAGGTATTTGTTTTTTCACGTCTTTAATTCTGAATTAAATAATTAAACATTCTTTTTCTTTTTACAATTTGTGGATTATGGATTCTATTCTTCATTTAATTTGTGGATTGTGGATTCTATTCAATTAATAAATAACGATAAAATATCGATATAAATCCATATATTTTAATTTTATCTTGAAAAATATATATACATATTTTTTTATATTTATATAAATTATATGTAAGAGAAATAAAATATATCGCTTGAAGATATAATTCAGAACTTTAAGATTATCGCGATAAGAGCTTTTAATTTTCGTTCTCGCAACGCACATAATTATTTCTCTCTGTAAGGAAATTAACGTCATCGATCAGAAGCAGGTATCATTTTTTAATGGATAAAATTTGTGGATTATTATTCATAAAACAAGATTACGTGCAAATCTATTTATATTTTAAAATCGAAATGTCTCATTTCGATCCAAGATGGACAACTTAAAACTCGTTATCCGGCACTGTATCCTACTGTCGGAGCAATGTCATCCCTTCCCCCATGTCCTCATCATTCCGCTACGACAACCGGACTACCCGACTACTATGAATCTGTTTTGTATCGGCCAACGGCGTAGCTAATAATAGTAACGAAATTTTCTTATTGATAAAAAAAGGCTGTTATGTGTCACATCTTGAAATTTTTGCGAAAGATGATCGTCATTTCTAACTGATTCTCGCAGAAACTTGATTTTATATAATGAAATTGCATCAATTTCGCGCGAAATCGATTACACAAAATAATTAGCGAAAAATCGTCGATTGAAAAAAAAAATGAAATGCTGCAAATGTCATAAAAACAATTACAAAGCAACGAAAGTTGCTTTAAATGGTTCGTCATGTCGTCCAAATAAAAAGAAACTAAAAAATCTAAAAAAAATTTTAAGTAAATAATTTTATAACATTAAAAACGAAATGCACGCCATACCAAATTTACATCCTTATCAAAATTACGACGTAACATAATGGATTCTCCACAAAGAGAAGAGAAAAGGTACACTAACATAAATCTGTTTGTCTCTCTTTTCATTTTGATACTTAAATAAACTTTGGTGCTATTAATATTAACTTCACTTATATAATTACTTATATATAATTAATTTAATTAATTTAAATAGTAATGTAAATTGTGATAAATGATTCGGTTAATAAAATACAAATAATTCCTTCTATAACGAAATATAATTATATTAATTCTACATAATTATATTAATTTTAATATATATTGTTTATTAAAAAAATTTAAGCAGGAGCACAAAATGTAGGAAACAAAATTAATGAAATTAAATTGAAAATATGATAATTCAACTAATTTTATGAATCATGTAAGCTTATTACTTTGGAGTTAATTTTCAAATCTGGAGCAAAAAAGAATTAAAGATATCAAGAAGGGGTAGATTTTTTTGCATTAAAATGAATAACAAATTTATAAAGGTAGGTAAAATCAATAATCTATAAAGATATCATCCTGAAAAAAATTCACAAAATAATTTTCTCATTTAGAGAGAAATAGTTATTGCTTTATTATAAAAAAATGCGTTTTTAGATCATTCTAATTAAAGTTTTTTTAATAACAGTTTCATCAATAGTACTTCTTAATTCTCAAAAATAATTTATTTATAAACTTTTTTACTTTGTTATTTTTTTTTAAATTTTGTCGTTAAGAATCTTTTTTCTCTTTTTATCATCCATATAATAATTCTTTGCTTTCTATATTTTTTTCTAAATAAATACTGATATTTTTTATTTGTGTGATATTTTATATTTCATTTTTCAACAGAACATGACCTGTCACAAATCGAAATCAAAATTGTAATTCCAAAAAGCTTTGTCTATTCCATCCAACTTCCAAAAAAATGGCGAGAGCTCAAAAAAATCACGATAGAAAAATGCGTGGAATTTGATCATCCATTTGTTACTTCAATCCTTGTGCTAATCATAAATAAACATGGACAAAATTAAACGCGCGGCAGACATCATACAAGACCTGGAACGTCATGGGCCAGCTGGCTTAATACATATCGATGTATTAAGTAATATAATTGAGAAACCCATTCAGATATGGAATGCTAATGGTAGTTTAAATAGAATCATTGGCAAGGGAAGAAGGGGACAGTCCATAGACATTGAATATCATGCAGCCGATTCAGGACAGATAGGTCAGTTGTTAGCTAAAGAAGTTAGTTGTTAGCTTTCGAATAAAAGTAGACAAAGGCAATTTATTTAATTGATCTTATAATCCACTTGATACAAGTTCAGAAAATTTAAAAATAAAAAAAGAAAATATTAAAAAAAAACATTCCGCGCAACCGAGGCTTCTGAAAATCCGATATTCCACCCTTATCACTCCTATCTTAATTTCCATCCCATCCACTTCCTCAATCCTTCTCTAGGCCATTGGACTTTAAAATGCGGAAAAGATCCCGACAACATCCCCTTCGATTTAAACAGCTGTCTCTTTTCGGTAATTGGCTCTCAAATTGGACGAAATCCATCAGAACTTCGTCAATGGACCATATTAAATCTGAAAAGCAACTTTTGGAAGTTTGCCGATTGGATAGACAAGATCCTGAGATTGTGGGAAAATGGGGAGATAATCCTGATGATCGGTGGTGCTCGTTATTGCGGCACCTCTCCCGAAGCTGCTAAAATTATCCTGGATAGATCGCAGGATGAATGGAGCCATGGGTTTGAGAGGGGTCATTTGGGTCATTCCAGAGGACACGCAGTGTATGCTTCTGGCTATAGTATCGTGGACTATTCTCAAAACTCAATGAAGACAGGTTTTCAATCACGAGCTGATCAGGATTATGTCACTCATTTGGCCTTGAGTACAAGGAGAGCTCAGAATGCGATGAAAGCGCTCAATGATGGTAGCATTTCAGAAGGCGTAAGAATACCTTCTAGCAATTTAAGAAATTCGACAAATTTGCCCCAAGTGGTAAGATATGAAAATGGAAGACTGGTAGCACAAGGAGACATGACAGATGTGATTCTGGTGTTGAGACATCAGAGAGGCCAGTTCCGTAACCCGGACGCGGATGTTTTTGTACAGACTTGTTATCCTCTAATGGCGTAGCTTACAAAGAAAAAATATAAATTAGTCGAATTATACATAGAGCAATTGTTTATTTCATAGAAAATCTTTCAACAGATTTATTAATACTTCAGTTGTATTTCTTGCATTTTTTTCTATTTATTTATTTTTAAATAAATAAATATATATATATATATATATATATATATATATATATACATCTGTTCTGTTTCAATCACGAAGACTGCAAGAAAATGCAACTAAATGATGCGAATTTTATATTTATTTTAAACATGCTTTTAATCGCAAAAGGATCCTAAACAATAGGAATTTATAATGAATAACGTCCTCTGTTGAATTGTCTAAGCTATTCAATAGATTTTCAATTATATTAATAATAATTCCAATTTTCCTCTCACAAACGTCCTCGTTGCGGTAAGTAATTTCGTGCAGCCAAGGAAGTATACCGTATCCTCGTACGAGGAGCAAGGATGCCTTAGGAATTTTGGTAGTAGAGGCGATCACTTCCAAGATTAGTCTCTGAGAAAAAAAAAACAAAAAGTAATACATGATTTTCATATTGATATTTAAATTGAAGGTTTAGTAGCAATTTTTCTTAGAATCTTTTTTAGAATCAAATTTACTTAATTATATTTTTAATGCATAAAATAGTAGGTGACTTAAATCTCGAGTTTCTTGATTCTATCGTAATTAAATTAATGGAATATATGCCAAACAGAAAATGGTTTTTGGCTCACCTTAGTCTTGGTGTCTGATAGTATGCAAGTGTGAAAATCTAGAAGCATCCTAAATAACACGCATTTCAGAGCCATATCTACATCGTCCTCCCTTCTCATGCCGTCCCGAATATTCTCCAGAATCCAGTTTCGATGAGCATTGTGTTCTATATGTGAACTATGCAATAACTGCAACAGTTCTGGTATAGTATTTAGATCCAACGCAGGTTTGGCCATTAAAAAGGAATGCAATGACGAGTAGAGCGGGTGCAGGGGTTGACTGACAATCAACGAAGCCCTGGCGAGGAAAGTGGTTACCAGACAACTCAGACGAACGTCCTTTAATGGACATTTCAGCAACAAAATGCCATTTCGTAAAGCATCGATCAGACGTATCCACAGTAATTTCTCCTTCGGCCTGATAAATAGACAAATGTAGATTACAAATTGAGAAAAACTGCAACTCTTAATCATTTAAATGGATTTGAAAAGTATTTTTAATATATACGTAATGACAAATGAAAGATGATGATATTTTCATGATACATTGATGATACTTTCATGATACTTTGATGATACTTTTCAAAAAGTAAAATAAATTCTAATATAACTTCAAAAATATATATCTCATAAAAATATAGAAACATAACAAATTAACTAAATAGCTAAAATTAACTATATTAACTAAATATAATTAAAACATTAGATAAAAATTAAGTTTAAAAATTGAAAAATTAAAATATACATATATATAATAATTTTATAATATACATATTATATAACACACAAATATGAGTTAAATTAGATGATAAATCATAATTTTTCTATTGTCAACAACTTTAAAATTTCTCGTTATATTAATAATTCGCTATTTGCCAAAATTGCTATCTTACTTAGATACTTCCAAGTGGAAATAATATCTAGAGATGATGGTGTATGCTGCCAGTCGAATGCTGCTCGAATCGCTGCAGCACGCAACGAATACCAAGGCTAACGTGTCACTTTGATTTATTTTGTAACACGCAATAACATTGTTTTCCGCCAATAAAGAACACAGCAACGGCAGATAAAATGCTGGATCGTATACTTTATTGTTGTCGTATTGTTGTAATTCATCAGCCTGTAGAAAAAGAAAGGGAATAAAATAGAATCATTGATTCAGTTTAAGGGCAAGTGGCCCTTAAAAAAAATTATATAAAGAATATCTCTAAAGGAATATTATACAGGGTGTTTCGGATTACCCATTTAAAAACTAGAGAAGCGGTTATTTCAAAAAAGTAAAAATATTTTCTTTATAAATCGGATGCGCTCTATCGAATGGTGATATTTTCAACTTCTGGTTCCGGCCGGAAATAGGCGATTCAGACAGGAAGTGCATTTTTTTAAATGGAACCTCCTATTTTTCATTGCATATTCTTGTAGCTGATCTCGAGAGCTTTCCAAAACACTATGATAAATTATTTTTCCATGAAGTACTTTTCGAGTTATGCGGCTTGAAGTCATTTCTTAATTTTACATAAATTATAAAATATCTTGTAAAATATTCATTTTTCGATTATCTTACCTTAATACTTTTATATACAAAATAATGAGAGAAATCAATTGGTGTAAAGAAAACACATAGTTGTTTCTAAGAAAAAATATGTAATTTGCAATTAACAATTCCATATTTTTTTCTTAAAAACTGAATCACCTATTTCCGGCCGGAACCAGAAGTTGAAAATATTACCATTCGATAGAGCACATCCAATTTATAAAGAAAATATTTTTACTTTTTTTAAATAATCACTTCTCTAGTTTTTAAATGAGTGGTACGGGTGGTCTGAAACATCCTGTATACTTACTTCCAACGTTCTATATATGGGATAATTTCTTATAGTCTCACTGATGACGTCCTTATCGAACAAGTTAAAAATCTCGGAAGCGGAAGGTTGTCTCCAGAGGACAGTATCCGTCTCTCCCTTTACACTGTAACGCGTTGCCGCAGCACTTCCCCACAAGTATGGCCAGTATTGCTGAAGTTTAACGCCATGAGCCTCATAATAGCGTAAAACCTGGAATGATTAAATGATATCGTGATTTCGATATTTGATGACACAATCACCTTGATTCATTACCTTCAAAATGCGCTGATCAGCCTTGCTGAGAGTGGCGTTGTAAGCCGCGAGATAAAGAGACACGTGCGAGACGCTTATTACTGATTGATTCTTTCGAATTAGGATCCTGAGTAATTCGACCAGATCATCTATAATTTTATAATATATTCAAAAATAATTTAAATAAAAATAAAAATAAAATAAAATTTAAATTATATTTAAATTCAAATTTAAATTAATTAAAATTTAATTAAAATGTTAAATTTAAATTAAAATTGAAAATTGTTTATCATTAGATCTAATGATGCTTCTTGCATAATACTTGAATGCTTTATAGCATCAAACATGATTTTAACAGGTGATGAACGCGAGTTGATATTATTGCATTCTTTATTCTTTATTTATTATTTCTTCTCGAGTGATCAAAATCATTGAATTCACCTTTAACGATGGACGAGCCGAGCATGATGTTAACAAACTCTGAGTGAGACGTCGTCATTTCGAATAACGTCTTGGCATATTCGTCGTTCTTGTTATCTTCATACGCAATATCGCACAAATTGCTCAGATTCTTCAATATGTTCGATTGGATCTCATCATCTTTAGCGTCCTTCAGACCTAATTTCAAAGAGAATCTGGTGAATTGCGGCCACGAGTAACTCTTGCTTAATGAACTGAAGATAAAGTGTTTATTCTTCTTTAAGGAAATCACTGAACTATCAAGCTTCTCGCATAACACTTTGATCTTTTCCATGTTCTTCGACTCCTTCTTCAGTGTTGAAGTCAATACATGCAATAATATCAATATTAGATCAGTTAGAGGCTTTTCTTTGACTGTTATCAGACTTGCATATCTCTTGTACAGACTTTCCAACAACTGCACAAAATAAACGGACACCATGTCCAGTTTATCGCCGTTCTGGGAAATACTGTCGCAAGTTTTCTCGCATAAGGGATGATCGAAGGTGTTCTCTATGAGATAAGCGATCGCAGCTGCGTTTTCTTCGATCCAAGGAACAGGGTTTCGTGGCTCGATTAGATAGGCAGCGATATCATCGCTGTAACTCTTGTAAAGGCTCTGAAGAAATCTCTCGGTCCATTTAAATTTCAAGTTACTGGCCAATATTGGAAACACGACATCTCCTTGCTTCACATTCTCCATCTTGAGTAGGTATTTCATCAACGACGGAATTAATCTGGTATTTTTGTTGATTAAAATCGCTATCAGTTGAATCGTGGACAGAGTAATACCCTTCGTTAGTAATAATGCGAAAGTATCAGTCCTGATACCAGCAACATCACGTGGAAAGGTGGACAAGTACTTTGCTAAAGCTTGCTCCCACCTCTCCACACATTGTATTTTATTAGATTTTAAATACACCAGGTGCAGGCTCAATCTTTCCACGAACTGTTCGTTCAATGTATTGCATTGAACGAGCTGTGATTTTAATTCCTCGCTGCAATACATATCCAACAATACTGGGACGATATGTCCGAACAAAGATAGGTCTCGTTTATCATTTGAAATAAATACAGTTTTCTCCAGCTTCATCAAAGCAATTAGCAAACTCGTAATATCTCCCGCCTTCAATTGCAATACCTTCAATAATGCGATGTTATAATTACTACTAGAGGCTTCTGAAGGAACTTTTTCAATGATGCTTCTCAATTGTTCAAGGAACTTGTTCCTAAATGCAAGGAAAATATCATGGGCTTCATCGTGTTTTTCGAAGGACACAACAATTTCACAGAGTGCTAGAATAGTTCCAGTTATCATATCGTTGGTCGAATCTTTCAACGCTTCTCTACAAAATGGTGAGAAATACTGCAACAGAATAGGATGCGTGAAAATACGTGTTACGTTTTCTTCGAATATTTTCATGTTTTTTTTATTCATAGATCGTGCAATATTTAGAAATAGCATTTGCATGCAAATGCAGGTTTCATTTTGGATTTGTTGCAGGATTCCCCGCTGAGTTAACTGCGCTAAATAAAACACAGTCATCTCTAGCAAAGCCTTGACATCGTGCGAAGATAAAGAGTGCTTAATAGTGATTTCTTCGTCGCCACATTTAAAGCAGCACGAGTATTCATCGCCAGACACCTTGAAGAGTTTAGTTATGTCTATCTTGGAATTCGTTAACAACTTGTTGCTCAGTTTGTGCAATAATTTCAAGCACGGGAGCTTACTTTCCAAGGGAACTGGTTGCTCCTTGCTCGACCAACTTTCTAAGTGTTTATAAATTGGCAAATCGGTCAAATCTATCGCCAAATGAACCAATATATCTGGAACGACCTGATAATGTAAAGTGTGAATAGTCACATAGGATAAATAATTCAAAATGACGGTGGAATTTTCTGCTCTTATCTTCTCAAAAGCGCAGCATAAGAGAGGTGACACCGACGTATAAGCTTGCATTTGGCAAAAGTTAAGATTTTCTTTGCTAAACTTGTTGGAGGAATGATCGATCGCAGCATCGGTTTTCTTTCTATCAAAAGTGGCAAGTTGATTAATTGCAGTTGTCGATGTAGAAAAAACCTGATTTAAAAGGAGAGAATGGCCATTAGTATTAGAAAGAAAACTATTGGGATTGATCTTATCGAGTAGCCGATTGATTTCATTTTCCATCTTCTTTACTTCTTCAAAATTAGTTATTTGCTCATTTCTCTGCATCATGCACTTATCAATAGATTTAATGGCGACTTTCGAGTTTTCTTCAACGAGTTTATCGAGACTATAATTAATTATATCATCTCTTTTTGCATCAAAATTTAATCTTCCATTAATTAAAGATTCTACAACTTCTTTATCGCAAGGACTCGAGTTAGCCTTTTCAAATAACTCATTAATTATATCTTCTGCTTTTACATCAAGACTAACCACCTGGTCATTTAACGCTTCTTCTGCTTGCGTTATGCTGTTTATATATTTATCAGTGTGTTTAATGCAACTTTTTAAAATGGACATGAACCAGTGTATTAATTCTTTCTTTTCTTCAGGATCAGTTATCATCGAGAAACCATTAATCCAGATATCCAGCTCATTCTCACAAGCTTCAAACAAGCCTGTCGAATTTAATAACATTTTAGTAGCATCGTAGCTTTCTGATGATGCTGTTTGATGGATTAGAGATATCAAAAAGGGAAGGGCTTTCTTGAAAGCTTTCTCTCTAGGCGCAAAGATGGAGGAGTCCAGGGCGAGCAGGAATTGTATTGCTTTCACCTTCATACAGTTCACCTTCGCTTTGACTCCTTCATCCTCTTCTTCATCATCCTGAAGATCATTTAGACTTGATAAAAGCACATTCGGCTGCAAATTCATCGAACTATCTAACAATTCTGGACATATATCTTTGTACGAATGAAGAACGTTCAAAATGATATCGAGATGATCTAACAAGTCCGGCTTGTGAATATTTTCAGTATCTTCCAAATTTATCGTATTAGCATCAGCTTCAAAGGCTTGGTTCCATACTTTGAAGATAACTTCCAAGTTGGGAATAATCCTCAGAATGAAATCCGTTATCTGGTTTTGAACTACGAACGTTTTGTGGAAGTCTTTTAAGGTGGAGCAAACGGTTTTCAGCTGACAAGTCATTGCTAAAAGAAGAGACAAGATCTCATGTCTGACAAGCAAGCTGTCGTGACTTAATCCTGGCAAGACAGCGTTTTTTATAATTATATCTGGGACTATCAAAAACAATAGTTTGTTTATCAATCTGTTTGCATTTAATTCCATAGCACATGTCTTGATGCAACTAACTGCATCGAGTGATTCGATTACCTAAAAGAAAATTCAGTAAATTAAAAATAATGTACAAAGTTACACACACAGCTCTCGCATGTGCAAATGTCTCATTCTACCTTCTTTATAAATCTGAGAAGACAAATCCACTTGGGTGACACGCGAGGTTCGAGAAATGGCTCGATAACATTATATTGCGAACGTATTAGATCAGGACAAGCCACCATTATTTTAATAACTAGATCCGATGGCTTTTCGTGTTCCCAAGCTTTCTCCAAATTCTGAAGAACTGTATGCACCAGCTGATTGTGTTTATTTCGAGAACCACCCAGTGTTCGATCATGAAAGATGATTCCATAACGATGTGACGTCAAGAGAATGATTAAGAATGCATGAATTGCATCATTAACAATCTAAATTATAACAGAGAAAAAATAAAGAAAAATGTTTACATATGTCAAAGAGATTTACAACCATTCATCAAACAAATTTAGTAAATTTTGTAATATAAAATATCATATAAAGATTACACAATCACCTCTTTATCTGCTAGAAAGTCTTCGCTCTCGTCAGAATGGCGAGTTTTATTCTTGGGCCAATTGGTTGGGCCTTTCCAGTTGTACAACGATACTAGATTCAACACAACAGATGTAGAAAATACATGTAGCTTCATTGTTTTAGTAATGCTAGTGTTCTCCAAAACATATGTCTTTACAGTGGTCAGAATCAGAGTAACAATGTCCTTGGAATCGTACAATAAATCTGAGAAGATGCAGGAGAGTAGACCACGTTTATCCAACAATGTTTTAATCACTACTGAATCTCTCTCCACAAGAAAAGCAAGGATAAAGTGGATGAAACATGTCCTGACATTTTGAGGATCCGTGGGCTTGATGTGTTGCGTTAGATTTTCCAATACATTTCGTTGCAGTGACAGATGTGCAAGTAACTCTCTGGCTAAATTATTATCCAAAGATACTACTGCTGTCAGCAGCCTCAACACCACTTTGCGCTGCTTGATATTGCTTTGAATTGAGAGCATTGAGTGTATAACAGACATGTACGAGTTCAACAGATGGCGACAGGCTTCCACCGCTCTATTCTGGTATTGAGGATACTCCGCCAAGATTCTATAAACAGAAAGATGCGCTTGATTAAAAGAAAATATCAAGTATTAGCAGACAAAATGTATACAGAGTGTTCCAGACTTAACGAATCAGTCGTTAATAGCAGATTCCTGAGATCATTTGGAGACATCAAAGACACAATCGCACTCATTGCAGAATTCTATCTTTTATTTTATTATTGTATTTATTTATTATATCTTTTATTTTATTATATCTTTATTTATTTATTTTATATCTTTTATTTTATTATTGTGTTTATTTATTATATCCAACTATCGATATCGATATTATCGCGCTGTAGGCGAGCAGGAGAACGAAATGCGCCAATTAGTTATCTTTAATCCTTCGTAGCGCTGAAACTACAGTTTCCTCAACATTTTGGTATTAAGGTTTTCGTTTCTGAATGATCTCAGAAATCCACCATTAACGGCTGATTGATGAAGTCTGAGACACCCTGTATAAACCTACTTCATGAGTAAAATATTAATCGCAGAAAAGACAGTGATGGCACTGCTGATATTCTTCTTGTCAGAGAGATCTAATAGTTTGAGGACTTCGAGGACATCTCCACCAGCGAGCAAATACTCCGCCGCGAGGTCCCTCTCCTTGTTCTCGTTGCATATCGTCACGAACTTCCTCAGAACGTCCAACCCGCTGGTGGAGAGAAGTGCTCTCAGAGATCGTCCGTCAAATTCGTTCCTCTTCTCGTTACTTTCCGAGTCTACGTCGCGTCTAGGATCTCCCTCGACCAACCCGTTGACCCTCGCCTTCTTCGTCGGCGTCTCATTCTTACTCTCGGAAACTCGCTTCCGCGCCTTTTTCGACGCGCAGGCCGCATCACCCATCACCACGTGTTTGTTTACTCACACGTGCATCGCACGGTTGCCGCCATTTCTCTGCTCCTGATCCTTAAGCGGCCTTTTCATTGACACTAAAAAGTAGCGTCAACCATTGGTTGAACAAAGAAATAAGTAGTTGCTTCTTTGTTGAACCAATGGTTGACGCTACTTTTTAGCGCCAATGAAATTGCACCTTTTCATTGACCCTAAAAAGTAGCGTCAACCATTGGTTAAACAATGAAGCAACTACTTACTTCTTTGTTCAACCAATGGTTGACGCTACTTTTTAGCGTCAATGAGGCCGCATCTTAAAGCGGCCTTTTCATTGACGCTACTTTTTAGCGTCAATGAAATTGCACCTTAACAGTTGGCAGCTCTACGAGATAGGCTGTGCAGCACTGCGCGTATATAAAATTTGAAATCGCTTCTAGCCTAACCATCTTCACGCGATCGACTTTATTTGAATTGCACGGCATCGCATCGAATTATGATGCGGCGCCGATTTGTTCGAACGTAATTCGGGACATCGCGATGCTGTATAAGCGTCGAATGAGCACGAATTGTCACGCAAATATGATAAATCACATCTACTCACCGTTCACCGGCTGTTCCACAGGCCGCTCCACTCGCTCGCCTCGGGACGTCCCATTCCGATCTTGATGCACACGATATCATCAACGCGAACGCGCGACACTTTATTCGGCACTCCCGATATTCGCTCGCATCCGATAATCATCATCAAGGGCGCAAATAACGCGACGCGACTTCGCTCCATCTTCGCGATCGCGCTATCACTGAACTGTGAAAAATAGCTGTCGCGCACTTTCATCGACATATTATGAAAGTCGCGCGATCATCCTTGGACACTTTCGACGCTCTTTCACTCACGATATTCGTTTAAAAACGGTTAAAAGACGCGAAAAATGCGGACATACGACGATCCGTGTAACTGCGTATGACTCCGATTCACGTATGACGCGTATGACGTAGCAGTCACGCGCCAACATGGCGGCCGAACCAGTGCGCATTCGTTTCTGCGTACTGGTTCGGCCGCCATGTTGGCGCGTGGCTGCTACGTCATACGCGTCATAGCTACGTCATACGCGTCATACGTGAATCGGAGTCATACGCAGTTACACGGATCGTTGTACGTCCGCATTTTTCGCGTCTTTTAACCGTTTTTAAACGAATATCGCGAGTGAAAGAGCGTCGAAAGTGTCCAAGGATGATCGCACGACTTTCATAATATGTCGGTGAAAGTGCGCGACAGCTATTTTTCACAGTTCAGTGATAGCGCGATCGCGAAAATGGAGTGAAGTCGCGTCGCGTTATTTGCGCCCTTGATGATGATTATCGGATGCGAGCGAATATCGGGAGTGCCGAATAAAGTGTCGCGCGTTCGCGTTGATGATATCGTGTGCATCAAGATCGGAATGGGACGTCCCGAGGCGAGCGAGTGGAGCGGCCTGTGGAACAGCCGGTGAACGGTGAATAGATGTGATTTATCATATTTGCGTGACAATTCGTGCTCATTCGACGCTTATACAGCATCGCGATGTCCCGAATTACGTTCGAACAAATCGGCGCCGCATCATAATTCGATGCGATGCCGTGCAATTCAAATAAAGTCGATCGCGTGAAGATGGTTAGGCTAGAAGCGATTTCAAATTTTATATACGCGCAGTGCTGCACAGCCTATCTCGTAGAGCTGCCAACTGTTAAGGTGCAATTTCATTGACGCTAAAAAGTAGCGTCAATGAAAAGGCCGCTTTATGCAGGATGCATGCGCGCGATTTTTCACGCACGACGTCCGGTGTGAATTGTGCTTTAGCTCGATACAAACATAACCAGTAAAGAGAGGTGAATGAGATAGATGGGAAAAATGGAAAAGACAATGAAAGGATACTGCATTTATTATTAAGGATTAATAATTGTTGAAGAGTCACATGTGTCGTTCGAAAGTATTTAATTGTGAAATATGGATAACACCGAATTATTATTCTTCGATACATTTTCCCATGACATTTCAGAGGTTTGTTTTTGTGTTACATGGATTTAATATAATTAAATTTAATTTAATATGAATTAAAATTTAATTTAATTTAATATTAAATTAAGAAAAAAAAGAAGAGGGGAAGCTGCCTGTCTGAATGATTTTAAAAAACATGTATTTATAAAAATAAGATTAAATAGAAGAAAAATTGTTTTTTTATTTAAAACTCATGCTTTTGATACATTAATTAAAGATATGTGAAAAAGAAATTTATTTTATATAAAAAAGGAACTTATTATTTATTAAAAATATTCTTTATTGATGTATACTTTTTAAAATTTTGGAAATACTTAATAAAAATGACATTATTTGTACATTATATATATCATATATATTGTATTAAATTTACAATATGTACAATATTTAAGAATTTCTAGACTGTATTTTATTTGATGATAATTTTTTAAAAATTATTACATAAATGACTTCTTTGCCTCCTTTAGAAAAAATTATCTTGAATGTTTATAAATCTCACTTTTTTCTCTTACAGGAATTAAATTTAGATTTGGTGCAATTTCCCAAGCCTGTTTATATCAGTGAAGTGAGAATAATTCCATTGGGTGCACGAGTGCAAGCAGATTTTCCAGGAGGAGTGCGACTTGGGTAAATGGCACTTAATTTTTACATTGATGATAAAAATTTTTTTACTTATATGGTATTAGTGTTCAAAAAAGAAACTCATTATCTTTCTAGAGCAACCAATCCATCTCAATTCGAAATTGAGTTCTTTGTTAACGATCTTAGTAAACCTGGAGCTTCCACTTTCGAGTTTTTAGGCAATTTAGAATATAAACAAAATATCCATATACAATTGGAGTGTGAGCGAAAGCAGATACCAACCGATGGTTTAGTGCTAAGAGGATGGTATACCACCATAACATTGGCAGTGTATGGTACGTTGACCAAATCACTGAATAATCCTCAAGAAGTCATAAGTTCAGCAGCTGGATCCACTGCTTGTGTTAGTGCACACGAAGAAAATACTGAGAATACCGCCCAGATTTCCTCTGAACAGCAACCTGAGTGGTATTACGAGAATCAACATCAAACAAATTCACTGGTAAAGATCTGCTTGATATTGCTATTAGATGAAATTAATTTTATCGATAACAAAAGTCTAAAGAATGTCGAGAAGACGTATCTTAAACTCTTTTGTATGTTTTATATCTTATTTTATATAATATTTTATATTTTATTTTATATTATTTAATTTATATTTATATTTAATTTATATTATTATTATATTTTATATTATTTAATTTTATAATTTATATTATTATTTATAATTTATATTCATAATATAATTCAATATATTTTTATTTATATTTTAATATTATTATTATTATTTTTATATTTCATTTTTATTATTATTATTATTTTTATTATATTTATTTATATTTATTAATATTATTTATATTTATTATCATTAATATTATTCAATATATATTTAATTGTACTTCAGCTCTTATCACCAACAGGAAACATGCATAACCGCGACTCCACCGCCTCCGGTACAACCAATACAGGTAGTGGAGCCATCCAGGACATCCACATCAGACACTGGAAAGACAGACTCGGTACAATGGGAAGAAGAGACGTCCAACGCGGGCGAAAAAGGCTCAAAACGACCTTCGTCTCCTCCTACCGAATCTCTAATCTCCCTCAGCCCCGAATCTATTTCCGCCGAGGAAGAGGAGGCAGAGCAACAGGAAGCTGGCGAGCAAGAAACTGGCGAGCCTTTCGAGCCTATATTATCGGACGAAGATATAATGACCGACGACGTTCCGCCTGCGGTCGAATTCGAGTGCGAAACGTCGCAGATCGACGAGATTTACACGCTGAGCCCACCAGATCTCTTGAATTTGGAGAAATTAAGCGACTTGGAGGACGTCTGCGTGAATCGCGAGGTCGTGTCAAAGATCAAAGAGATCCTCCAGTCTCTATCCAAGTCGGTCTCGCATTTCCACAACGTATCCGGCCAGGAGAAGGAAACGTTTGTCCACAACTGCGAAACTTTGTGCGCCATATTAGGTCCATTCGACTCCAGTGCGGATGATATCGATCATTTGACTAGCATCGTCAATGCTGGCCTGGATATGGAGCTCGCCAGGGCTCAACCGCAACCAGCATACAAAGTGCGTCACGTAAAAGTAGGGGTTCGCTTGGCGGAAGCCCTCTGTCGACTATCGAAGGGTCCAGAGATCCTGCTGAAGGTTGAGGCTCCGTCCAAATTATTGTCTCTTTGTATGCGCGAAAACGTGGCTTTGCCAGTCAAACTGTCCGCTCTGCGAGCTCTCGACGCCGCGCTGATCAGCCCAATAATCGTGCAGGACTTTCTAAAGTCCAGGAACAATCTGTACAGCGAGGCGTTGACCATGTTGGACACGGCCAAGCTAGCCCGGCTCAAGTACGCCCTCAGCTCGCTTCTTCGCAAGGTCCACGTCTACGAATATCTGGAGGAGGTCAGGGAATTCGACCAATTCGGTCTGACGGAATTGATGAACGCTTACGTGTGCGCCCCGACCCTGATGGCGCAGCCTAAACGTCAATTGCCGGCTGGCGCGCAGATGGAATTCGAACGAGAACATGCTCGGAACCCTCGTGTGCACCTGATAGCTTACTTCGAGCACCACAAGCTGATTTATCGTCTTCTGTTGGCGGTATCCTCGCCCAATTGCGACTTGAAAACGATCAAGTTGATTCGTCGCTTCCTCCTACATCTCTCGGATACAAAAGAGGGTCTATTCTATCTGCTGAAGGAGACCGAAGCGATTCGACTGATGCTGAAGGCCCTGAAGTACGAGTTGCCCGGAGCCGGGTGCATTCTAGCCTGGCGTCTTCAGGCCGCACAGTGTCTGATTCGCCTGAAACAGACGTCCGACTGGACAATCCTGAGAAGGCTGCACTCTTTTCTCGCCTTTCCTGATGGTTTGCGCGCGATTATCACAGTTCTATCTCTAGGCGACTTCATAGATATCCTCATTCCCTTCCTATCGGATTCCAATCTCTGCGAGTTTGCTGCCGAAGTTATCTCCGCGATTGTCCGTTATTCCGATAGGGTAAAGATCTTCCAGAATCGAGCGGAATTGATACTCGACAAGGCTCGCGAGCATGCGGTTCTCAGGGATGTGACCTCGTACTTGACAACTGCCGCTCAAGCTTCTCACTGGGATTACAACGATGTCTCCTTGTTGGTGACGACCATCAGGAAGAGTGCGGAGAAGGCTGCGTCGCTTCCCGGCCAACTGATCACTGCTTGCAGAATTTTACATCATCTCGTCTTTCCATTCAACAACGATATTGACCCTCTGGAACCATACGTCGAGCTCAAGTACAGGAACGCCTTGACCCAACTCTTCGCTGCCGATGGCCTCACCGCTCTGGTCGCCGTGATGACAAACGTGTCCGACTTCTACGAGCAACCATTCCTTCATCGCGCTGCTCTGACAGGTCGCAGAGGTATGGCACTGATCGCTTTGTTGCTTCCCTGCGTAAAGCTGACCAGGGCGTTGCTCGAGAGACTCGTCAAGTGCATGGCGACAGACTTCAAGGATCTCACGGCTGTTGTCCCGCTGCTCGGGGTCTACTGTTTAATCGAAGCCATCCCGTCCAACCCGATGATGCAGACTCTGTCCGAGGAAATCGTGGCAACGCTGCTGGTGTTCACTCAAGCCGTTGACTCCGATGGTTCCGGCAACGTGGCTAAATCGCTGTGGACTCAGATGCTTGGTGAAGTTCTGAAGATGGTCTCTCTTCGCCCGTGCAACTTTGTGCCAGGTCTGAAGCTGTTGAGCCGGCTGCTACCGCCTGTTTTAACGCCTAAGGAAACTGCTACCGAAGACGCGACGAGGATCTTGGGCTTGCGGAAACTTTGGTCAGCACATCTTCAAGCCCAGGCCGCAAATCTCACCGAAACCCTTCGACTGCTCTGCGCCAGTTGGAACAGAGACGTCTTGCTGCTTCTGTCAACGGTTTGTAAGCAATTGAGCGATCTGGCAGCACCGACGGCTCTTCTAGTCGGGAGATGTCTGCTGGACGGGATTCTAGCAGCCACTCCCTTAGAAAACAACGTCCCTATCCTTGCTCTAATCAGTGATCTGGCAAGGCACGCGCCTATGAAGGCGACTCTACTGACCTTGACTAGTCCTGCCTCTAGAGCACAAGTAAAATCCGACCAAAAATACCCGCCAGTTATTGAAATGATGTGTTCTATCTTGAAGAGTAATAGCGATGTGCACGTGCAACACGAGATTCTCGGGATCTTCGAGACTCTATGCGATTGCAACCTCAGCCTGGTACAGGAGGATAGCGTACAGGAGCCCTTCGAGAAGAGACTGACGCATTCAGTACCCAGCAAGGAACCTCTCTTGTCGATCCTCGCGGCGCTGATCGAAATTCTGGCGACCAGTACCAAATTTCAATTGGACGTGATAGAGAATACATTGCACATTCTTTTATCTCTCAGTAGTCACAACTACGGCTTATACCACGTGAAGAGCTGCTTGGAAAATAATCCCGGTGCCTTGCGCGCGCTACTGGACCACGTCTACAGTTTGGAAAAGCCTGAAACAAATCCCGTCCTAACGGATTTAACTGTGACTTTCTTGGAAAATCTAATCGCCTCCGACTCGGAACGGAGATCCTTGCATCTGCGTACCCAGCAGCTGGCAACATTGATTTCTTGGGAGAAAAACGATCATCCCTTGGAGAAGCTGAAAGGCGCGGAGGACTTGGTGGAAACTGTGAGAGCTGCCGAAGAGAGAGAAGAGAAGGAACCTATTCCGGAGATGTTGGAGCCCTTGTTGCCCACTCCGGAAGCTCTCTTGAATCAGTTCTCGCAAAGATATCCTGGTGCGATTAGTAATAGTCCATTTCGATCCAGGAAGTTCTTATTTGCAGCGACTAATCAGATGCAAGCCGAGAATACAGTGGATCTATTGGCACTTGCTGCGGAATTGTTACCTGCCGACTTTAATCTATTAGCGGAAGCACAAAATTTATGCTCCAAGACGCCTCCCGATGATGCCACTCAACCTCTACAGTCGAAACCGCAGGACGAAAACCAAGAAAATAGGACAGAGAAGCAAGCTTCTCCAATGGTTAAATCCAAACAACCATTTGGTAAGATTATTAACGGTCTAGAGTTTAATTTCTTTGTATTTACTTAAAAAGAGTACATGTGTGTTGAAAGATGAAATGAATAATTCAATTTTCAATTGGTATATCGTTTGATTCTTCATAATTGATTACAATTTCTTGTTTACTACTTTTTTAGTGACCCCAGTACGAGGTCGAACACAATTTACCAATTCGCTAAGAGGTGGTCCAGTGGGTGGAGGGGTTGGTAGAGGAGCCGATCCTTTCCGATCGAGACCTCCCAACACTTCCAGACCACCGTCTCTTCACGTGGACGAATTCGTAGCCCTGGAAACTTGCGGGGCTCAGCCAACGGGGCCTACCGGATATAACAAGCTCAGCATTCGCGGAACGTGCCCGTCGCGGGCCATCAGTGGCGGTGGAAGAAGTCGACCTTGGACGCAAGAAACTCGTCCGCCTTACCTTCGCTGACTCGTCAATCTTTTTCGTTTCACACATGTATATACAGGGTGTTTCAGACCACCCGTATCACCCATTTAAAAACTAGAAAAGTGGTTATTTCAAAAAAGTAAAAACATTTTCTTTATAAATCGGGTGCGTTTTATCGAATGGTGATATTTTCAACTTCTGGTTCCGGCCGGAAATAGGCGATTCAGACCGGAAGTGCATTTTTTAAATGGAACCTATTTTTCATTACATATTCTTGTAGCTTACCTCGAAAGCTTTCCAAAACACTATAATAAATTATTTTTCCATGAAGTACTTTTCGAGTTATGAGACTTGGTCATTTCTTAATTTTACATAATTATAAAATATCTTATAAAATATTCGTTTTTCGATTATCTTACCTTAATACTTTTATATACAAAATAATGAGAGGAATCAATTGGTGTAAAGAAAACACATAGTTGTTTCTATGAAAAATATGTAATTTGCAACTAACAATTCCATATATTTTCTTAAAAACAACTGTATGTGTTCTTTACACCGATTGATTCCTCTCATTATTTTGTACATAAAAGTATTAAGGTAAGAAATCGAAAAATGAATATTTACAAGATATTTTATGGTTTATGTAAAATTAAGAAATTATTTCAAGCCTCGTAACTCGAAAAGTACTTCATGGAAAAATAATTTATTATAGTGTTTTGGAAAGCTCTTGAGGTAAGCTATAAGAATATGCAATGAAAAATAGGTTCCATTTAAAAAAAAATGCACTTCCGATCTGAATCGCCTATTTCCGACCGGAACCAGAAGTTGAAAATATTACCATTCGATAGAGCGCATCCGATTTATAAAGAAAATGTTTTTACTTTTTTGAAATAATCATTTCTCTAGTTTTTAAATGGGTGGTACGGGTGGTCTGAAATACCCTGTATTTATGAACATATCAATAACGATGTAAATCTTTTCAAATTTGCACACTTTAGTGGAATAATACATTTAATTCTACGATGATTTATCCATATCTTCTACCATCTTTTGCCACTTTAGATACTTGCGTTCAAATTTCTCAATATTCTTCTTTAAACGGTTCAATTTTCGTAATCTGTATTTTCCCTGCAAAAAAATATTCGTTGTATACAAAACTTTTTTTAATTTATTAAACAAGAAAAGATATCGAGTCTAATGATAATAATAGCTAAATCATTTCCAACGTACTGTCGGTTTTTTTATGTTGGATAGTTCTTTCGAAAACCGGTCCACGTCTGAGATGGCTTGTGGGTTTGGTTCCATTCCATTCTTCAGCATATAACTCATAACAAACAACAAGTATTCGAAGTTTTTCATAAAGCAGGCTTTGCGGATGAGAGTACTCATGATTATACGATTTGGTCTGTAGCCAAAAGCCTCCATTCCTTCTAAAAATTCTTTAGCCTCTGTACATTCTTGACAACCGAGCGCCAGGACTCCGAATGTCATCACATTTGGGGAAAGATTCCTCTTCTCCGTCACGTCTATCACCGCCTAAATTAAAAATATTACAAAAATATTGTGTAATACTCAAACGATACATTAGAAATTTTGGATGCTTTACCTTTGCACCTTTATAATCAGCTCGCATGCTGCGCCTTTTAATGAGCATATTGAAGAAATCGATGTCTAATTCGACGTTTCTTTTGTCTGCGATTTCGATGAGCAGATCTTCAGCTTGCCTCGAGTTTGGAATTAAATCGAGAAGCAAGGTAATAGTTTTGATGTCAGGTTTCACTCTGTAATAAGCCATTCTATTTAAGAACCCTTCCAAACCGCCAAACAAGATCAAACGATTATTGACAAACACATCGTTCAAATTTATCGATTCTATCTGTTTTCTCGAATTTATATCATCTTGTGTAAGTTCTTGCGTAACTTCCTTTTCCGCTGGTAGTAACGTATTCAAGACAGGTGGAGATTTCAATAAATCTGGACTCTCGCCTTCCTTCAACACAATTTTACCTTTTTGCCATCCTGAGACAAGGACGTCGTCAAGCTTTAAGCTCCCAAAACTAGTGTCTCTCATCGTTCTCAGTAAAAGATTATATGTCGTCAAACTCGGATTAACTTTTTTCAGGCGCATTATATGCCATATAATCAAGGCGTGTCGCATGCCGGCCTCCTTATCCGCAATCGCTGCGTGAAGCAGCGAATTGTAAGTACTCTCTTTAACAGGAATATTTTTGTCTCTCATCTCGTCTACCAATTTAAAGGCTTCAGCTATCTGATTATTCCAACTGTACGCTTTCACCATAGCATTGTAATGCGCTTCGTTTAATGGAAATTGCTGCTCGTAAAGCGATTGTCGTAACTTGATCAAATGTTCCAGAGCTACCTCATTCCTCCCCTCAGCGCATGCGTTGAACAAACTGGTATAGGTTGCTGCGTCTGGCTGTAAGCCACGTTTCTTTGCCGTATTGTATAGACGAAAGCATTGTTTTACATCGCCCTGGTCAGCAATAGAATGTAAGAGAAGATTGTACAAATACATTGTAGGCTTGTCCCGATTTTCCTTTACCGAATCAAGCACTTTCAGGGCAGATTTCAGGTCCTTCTTAGATAAATGTGACTTTATCATCTTAGCGTACTGTCCTAGACTAGGTTTCAGTCGACGTGGAATACTTCCTTCGGTATCCTGGAATTTCTCCTCTTCCTGCTCTCTTTTATCCATCTCCAAGTGATCGAATTTTCTGCCTGAGATATCTCCGAAAATATTGGAGGTCTTTGGCAACTTTTGCGTGCAAAAATTACTGATCGGAGGTTGCCACTTGAGTTGCAGATGTTCATTTTTGGCTGTAATAAATATAAGTTTGCTTCTATAATATTATTTAACTATGTCATTATTTTTTTGCATGAATTATTAGTTACTCGTTAATAATTCTACATAATTTTATAGCTTTATATTAATTATATTTTTTACTTATATTTATATATTTATTTTTATATACTTTATATCTTTTATTAATAAATAATTTTATTAATAAATTATTAATAATATATATAATAAAAAATTATTATATTATTATTATTATTAAAATTATTTATAATATATATTACTATTATTTATAATAAAATTACAATATAATAAAAATTTTATATAATTATTTGTGAAAATATATGAGATGTAAAGTAGTGTTTATTTTTTGAAAATATAAAACAGAAAATCTCGAGCTTAATTAATTAATAAATTATGACAGCAAAATCACTTTTTTCTACTAATATTAATAATTCATTTCATATTTATTTACATACATTGTTTAGTGCATACCAGCATGTGATTGAATTCGTTGACATAACCCATGACGCTTTTAAGTTTAATCGACGTGCGAAGTTTCGGACAAAACATTTTGCCAAAAGATAGGCGACTTAAAACAGAAAAACAACGTCGTCCCTACTTTTTAAAATTTATTTTTATAATAGATTTTTATTTAATTTATTTTATAATATTTTTAGAATCGTACAAAAATTGCATTGAATTCAATTACGTCAAGGCTATAAACATTCAATATACGTAGATCATAGATAGTGTATTTGTCAGAGTAGAGACCCTCTAATAAGAAACTGGCCATCAGGGGGCCACTTTTGATTGGTCCGCCATTTTTAGGCAACTCTCGCCCATATTCAAATATTAATTACCCGATTCTGAATATAAATGATATTTATTTAATAATAATTGTTATAGATAAATTAGTGAAATTTTAATAATATATTTATATAATATTCATTATTATAACAACAAAATTTTAATTATTATAATAATGAATATTATATACATATATATACTATAAGAAATACTATAAGAAATATATTTATATATATAAAAATTATAAAATAACTTAATGTCGCTAGTCAAATAATCAAAGGATCGTTGAAAAAAAGTGTAGTATATATAAATATAAATTTTATATATATATATATATAAATTATAATAATAAATTTTATATATATAAATTATAATAATAAATTTTATTTAAATTTAAATATTAATAATATTAATATTATAAATAATAATAATTAAATTATAATAATAAATTTTATTTCATTTAAATATTAAATTTAAAAAATTATATGTAATCATACATTCTTCAGAAGAACGACTATGATTGGTCAATTACGTCTAGTGAACTATCTCGGGTCGAATCAAACTCGACCATTCGAAAACGTCACTAAAGAAATTTTCTAGACGAGAGCCAATCGATACATCTGACAAAAAACTAATCGTACGTCAAATTTAAAATTTGCATCTTGCTTCTCTCCATCGTGCAACTAGCACTTCATGACACACTGCAGTGTTTTTCGTCAGAGTAAACACGAGAGTGATGGTGAAATTGAAAAAAAAAAATAGATAAAATAATGTAAATGAATTAAAGATGCTTTATCCTTCGAATCTCTTGGCATAATTTTCTGGAAGAAAAATTAATAATTAAGTGATTGGTAATTTGTATCAGTTGTGATGAGTCCAATGTTTATCTGTAGCATCTGATTTTGATGTTTATTAGACCCTCTTAATTAGAGCAAATGGTAAGAATTTATTATTGTTAATGAGTTCTACGTGTGTTTGTACTTGTAGCTTTGTCTTATCATTAACCTTCGAAGATAAAATGATAACATATATGAGAGAAGGGATATGCCTATAAAAGGATAGGTTGCACCGCCTACGCAGCAAATAGTTTTGCTACATTAAGCTTTACGTATTGCATTACTAGTACAGATCTTGTCGTTACAGTTTAAAGGTGAGCTTGGGAAGTGCCTATTTTCCTTAAACAAAAATTGAAGAGAATGCTATTTTTTTCTACTTCTATTGTTTTGTTTTGCATTTGCTAAAATTGATCTCTGGCGATTGATTAAATTTATCTCTGTTGTTTGATTTGTGATGATAAAAAATTTCAGAATTTTTTAGTTTATGTGTTATATAAATGATCTTCAGGATCTTTCAAACCATCTTCTTTTTATAAAAATTGTAAAATTGAACTAATTCTTTTTGCTCTTCCTCAGCTTTCTATTCTTTTGCTGTAATTTAATCTTTCCTTTGTGCTGGTTTTGGAATTTTTCTGCTGTTAATATGCCTATTAATATACTTATATTAATTATAATATATAAAAAAAAATATTAATAAAAATATGTTAATGATTACTGCAAATGATGTACTTTAAATAATAGATCTTAGACATCCGTATACTATTTGCTCATGTTATATATTTATGCTTAGAGTTTTATAAAAAATATATATATAATTTTACAGACTGAGCCTATAGTGAGGTCAGATTTGTTCACTGCTGCTAAACAATTAGCAGACAGTGAAATTGAACTAATAAAAGTAATCGAAAGTTCCAGCAAGTGCCAAAGATCTACTACAAATATGTTTGAGAGTGTTAAGAAAACAAAGAAGCCTGGAAAATCAAAAAATGTAAATATTAACAATTTATTATATTGCTAAAAATGTATGTAAAAGTATTCATTAAAAAATATAAAGATATATTTGCATAAATTATAATATAATCTAACAAATCTTTCTAAACAAATTTTAAATTAAAAATCCACATAGTACTTGATACTTTGATTATAGGTAGTTCGTCCATCAGCTGCACTGTTGGCTGCCAAACGAGAGGCAGCTCAACGACAGCTGCTGTTGAATAAAAAATCCAACAATAGTTTCATACGAGATGTATATCAAAATGCAATTGACGCGTACAAAATAGTACGAAAGGAGACTGGTCTTGTATTTGATCGAAGCATGGCAGAGCATGAATGCCTCTGGGATCCAAATTATCCTGAATGTCCGGCTAGATTTACACGAGTTTTGCAAAGATGTGAAGAACTGAATTTGGTGCAAAGATGTAAGCGCGTCGAATCAAGATTGGCTACAGAAAATGAGATCCTGACAAAGCACAGTCAGAAACAAATTGATATCTTGAAGGCAACAGATGGCTGTGCAGATTCTGAGAATTTGGAATTGCTTTCTTCCAAATATGATGCTGTCTTTGTTCATCCAGTATGTACAGATCTAATTTTAAATACAATTTTAATTTAAAAATGATAAAATTAATAGTAAAATATTTTAAATGATAATAAAATGTCTTATATAATAACATATAAATATACAAAATTTTTATATTCAATATATCTGTAAATTAATTTTTTATTTACAGTCTACATATAAATTATCTTTACTAGCTGTGGGCTCAACAATCAATTTAGTGGAAAGTATCTGTAAAGGCGAAATTCAAAATGGTATGGCTATCATTAGGTAAGTTAAAAATATTTCAAAATCTTGATAAAATATGGATCTTTAATTTGATTAGCTTTATTCAATCATTTTATCAAGAGAGATTGATATATAATAATAATCTTAGATTTAATTTATTAATTCTTATTGTGTTTTATTTTACATGAATAATGCAATATTATTAGATAATAAATATTAATATAAATTGTTTTAGGCCACCGGGTCATCATGCCATGAAATCAGAGTACTGTGGTTACTGCTTTTTCAACAATGTGGCTATTGCAGTAGAGAAAGCTTTGAGCTCTAATTTGGCGAATAGAATTTTAATTGTGGATTGGGATGTTCATCATGGACAAGCAACGCAACAAATGTTTTACAATGATCCACGGTATCTTTTCCGTTTTTCTCTTGTAAATTATTGCTTTGAATTATTTTTAACATGTATTAAATATATAAAATAGTTTATATATTTTATTATAATAATAAATCTGTAATGATTTAATTTTAATTGCTTTCAAATATGTTTACAGTGTAGTCTATTTTTCTATACATCGTTATGAATATGGAGAATTCTGGCCCAATCTAAAGGAATCTGACTTTCATTATATTGGAGAGGATCTTGGAGAGGGTTATAACTTTAATATACCCTTAAATAAGACTGGTATGACTAATGCTGATTACATCGCGATCTTCCAACAAGTTTTATTGCCAATGGCTTACGAAGTATGCATTACAGTTTATTTACTAGTACATTAACTCCATTAATGTCCAAATTAATTTTTAATGAAAGTACATTATTGTAGTTTCAACCAGATCTTATAATAGTATCAGCTGGTTATGATGCAGCTCTAGGTTGTCCAGAGGTAAATTTATGCATATTTTTATATTATTTTTCATTTTTTTATTTTCTTCCTAGTTCTCTCCAGATCTCATCCTTATTTCCGCTGGATTTGATGCCGCAATCGGTGATGAGAAGGTTAAAAAATTTTATATTATTTTATATTGATTACCATGTGTAAAAATTATTCATCACAAATTTAATTAATTTTCATTATAATGGCGTTTTTATTTTACATAAGTCATAAGAATAGGAAAATATAGGTATATCAAATTTTTATATTTTTTTCCTCTAAAGAGATTTGAATTATTTTATAAGATGTGTAGCACAATTATAATATCATTGTATCTATATCACTATTAATTATATTTTTGTTTATGAATATATTTATTTATCAGAAAGAAATTTATAATACACATAGAACCTGATTTTTTTGTCTTTTATAATTTGACTTATATACAATTTTTACAAAAATATATTACATATATGAAATTTTGTTAAAATATATTACTTTTAGTTATTATATTAAATTCTTATATTATTTAATTCTTAAATCAATGATAAATAATCATCAATAATAAGTTGATAATAAATACATTGTATTAATATAGGGAGAGATGTTAATAACTCCAGCGTGTTATTCTCATTTACTATCATCGTTATTAAGTCTGGCAGCTGGAAAAGTCGCCGTAATTTTAGAGGTATATTTTAAAAAATATTTTTTTCTTTAATATACATATATATTTATATTATATATTTTATTTATTTAAATATTTTAAAATATTAAAGTGTTTTATATGTAGGGTGGTTATTGCTTGAAATCTTTAGCAGAAGGTGCAGCATTGACTTTAAGAACTTTATTGGGTGATCCATGCCCTATTTTACAAACACTTGACTTGCCATCATCAAGGTAAACAATAAAAAATGTATTGTTAGATATAGTTCTTGAAACTGCATATGTATTATAAATATATTATTTATATTATTTAATTATATTATATTAGCTTATATTATTATATTAACGCAACATATATCATTATATTTTTAAAATTTTAAATTAACTGCAAAATATTATTGATATTAATATTTCTTATATTAATAAGTATTATTATTAATTTTTAAATATTGATAAAAATATTGATAATATTGATATTATTTTTTATATTAATAAGTCTTAGAATTATATTGTTATCTATTATTTTTGATGTTGTAATATTAATAATGTTTTTTTTTACAAAGCTTTTTATTATTGCAGTATACGTGACACTATTCTGAATGTAATCTATGCACACAAACCATATTGGAAATGTTATCAATACCAAGAAATGCATAGTATCAATAGCATAACACATAACAAGGAGGAAATTGCTAATAGACATGTAGTTATGGTTACATACAAGTGAGAAATTAATTTCTGTAATATTATTTTAGAATAACATATATTATGTACTTGACAATTAAAAAACTTGTTATTATATAAATTTTTTGTATTTTTTGTTATAAATTATATTATATAATGTTAACATCTATTTAATTATTTATATTAACACCTCGTTATTTCAGAGGCAACGATTTTAAACCAGATAAATATGAAACTCGAAATTGCTATCCTAAACAAAGCAAAGAAGTTTTGGAAGTCATCGATAAAAAATTAAATGAATTGATATTACGTAAGTATTCAAAAATTGCATTATTTGAAGAAAATTGGATAAAAATATTTAGATAAAAAGATCACAGTATACATTTTGTTTATTACTAATATAACAGTTATAATATAGTTATAATTACTAACATAACAGTATATAACAGTTAATATGAGATTATCTCTTGATATTAATTTTAATCCTTTAATAATTTAATTGTTTATAAATAATTGTTAACAATTCTAATAGACTTGTGTTATTTATATTATTGACTTTTACGTTATTAATGTTAGTTTTTTTTATTATTTCCTATGAAAGATTAAAATCTGTCAAAGATGACCTCTCATCAAATTTATGTTATTTAATAAAGATTTAAATATTAAAATATATAAAAGATATTTAAAATATGTATATTCATAAGAATATACTATTTTATATTTGTTATTATTAAAAACTATTATTTAAATTTTTGCAGTTACAAGGTTACATAAGGCGCCTCACAAAGTGTGTATCGTTTATGATGAAAAAATGCAGAAGCATTGCAATATCTCTGACAATATCCATCCAGAGAAACCATCTCGCATCTCTAGCATTTATAATAATCATGAAAAGTATGGCCTGTTGGAACGGTGTCATTTGCTGCAAGTATGACAAAATCTAAAAATGTATAAATTTAATTTTCAAACAATTATATATTTAAATTATATGTATCCAACAGTTATATATCTAAATAAAGTATATCTAACAGTTATATATCTAAATTATATATAATTCTATATATATTTGATTTATAAAGAATCTTGAATTTATTTTATCATAAACTGTTTATTTAATTTAAGAGAAGTTACAGAAAAAGGAAAAAAAATATGATTATTTCTTTTTCCCACAAAGGGAAGGAGTGCGACACTAGCAGAATTATCCTTGGCTCATTCAAAGGATTACATTGATAGTATCAAAAGGACTTCGACTTTAAAACCTAAGGAATTGCAGAAGCAAGCGTCGGATTATAATTCCGTTTATCTTCACAATGAAACGTGGTCAAGTGCCTGCGTGTCTGCCGGCTGCCTTTTAAAAATGGTGGACGCGGTTTTAAATGGAGAAAGTCAATCCGGAATAGCCATTGTGAGACCACCAGGACATCATGCTGAGGAAGATAATGCATGCGGTTTTTGTATCTTTAACAATGTGGCTATAGCTGCGCAATATGCCGTACAGTTTCATCATTTAAAGAGGTACAATAGCCACTTTAATTTTGAAAATGATCGTGAATTATTTAATAATATTATCATGTGTTTTTTTACAAAAATTTAATATAAAAATGAATGTTTTATAGAGTGTTAATAGTGGATTGGGACGTGCATCATGGTAATGGGACGCAATCCATCTTTGAAGAAGATCCCAAAATTCTTTATATTTCTGTACATCGTTATGATAATGGGAGCTTTTTCCCAAATTCCAAGCGAGCTAATTATACGAGCGTTGGCTTAAACGCAGGCGAAGGATTCAATGTAAACATACCGTGGAACAAAGTAAATAAAAATAGTCATATATTTCAAACAATATTTCTAAAACAACCTATTATTTCATTTCATCTTGTAAAGATTTATATTTTAATAGAGAATGTGTAATATTGCAGAAAGGAATGGGAGACGCTGAATACATAGCAGTTTTTCAGCAAGTCGTGATGCCCATTGCTTATCAGTTTAATCCAGAACTGATTTTGGTTTCTGCTGGATTTGATGCTTGTGTGGGTGATCCACTCGGAGGTAAATGTATTTTAATGTAAACAATAATTATTAAATATGGCTTGGTTTTATTTTAAAACACATTTAAAAATTTAATAGAAAAATAAAAATATTCATTTATAAATATCTTATATACACTTCCATGATTTATATAAAAAAAACTAATAAGTTATTTTTATTTCTCATAAGGTTGCCTGGTAAGTCCGGAGCTCTATGGCCATTTGATCCATTGGCTTTCGTCCCTGGCCAACGGCCGCATAATCCTCAGTCTTGAAGGAGGCTACAACATCAACTCCATTTCTCATGCGATGACCATGTGCACCAAGGCTCTCTTGGGCGATCCGCTGCCCATGCTGGATTCCGGTTTGATCCCCTGCTCTAGCGCAGTTAATTCCATCAATAACGTGTTGAAAACTCACAAGAAATTCTGGCCTAATCTGCAATATGGAATGTCCTTGCCGAAGGAAAAACTGCTCCCCAAACTCAAGAAAACTCTGAACAAGCTTGACGAACAAGGAAGAATCACAGAAAAGCCAAAACAAACGGAATCGAAAATTGCTTTAGAAGTAATCGAAAGTGAGAAATTGGAATTGAACTTGGCGATCGATAAGAATCGTTTGAACCTGGTGACGGATGAAGAAATTCTAAAGTTGACAAATGAAGTGGAGAATATTAAAATTAAGAACTCTGAATTGCGTCCGACGAGAAGCGCAACGGATGAGACTAGGAGAAATTCTGGATTGAAAAAGAGCGAAATGAAAAAATTGGATGGTAAAAAATATTATTAAGTAAATTAATTATTATTTATTATTAAATATTATTATATTAAATTTGCGATTTAATAATTATTGAATACGATCAGAAGATAAATGATATGCATTTAATTTGCAGCTTCGCAGAGTATACAGAAATGCGTAAACGAAACGAATCAATCGAAAGACAATCAACAAGGAGGTTCTCGTATACCCGAGGATCGCGATGACGAAGGCGCAGCATCTCTACAACGTGAAACACAATCGACGACTCTTCTAGAGTATCTCTCCGATAATCTTCAGGTGATGATTCATCGCCGTACGATTATATCATCATACGAGATCTCTTTCATCTCTTTGGAAATTAATTCTTATGAAAATAAGCATAATTATTAATAATTATAAATAAAAATAATTATTATTTTATGCATAAAATGAGTATAAATTTATGAATAAAATGACAATATTCCTCGTAGGCTCTGACAGCGGGAGAAATGTTCGCGGTGGTACCTCTGCGAGATTGTCCGCACTTATTTACAGTCAACGAAGTTCCTCCCAGTGGAATTGATGTAACTTTACCTTGCATGGAGTGCGCCAGCACCGCGGAGAATTGGATCTGCTTACAATGTTACACCGTACATTGCGCTCGCAGTATCAATCAACACGCAATGCAACACGCAGAGGAATGCGAGCATCCCATCACGCTCAGTTTCAGCGACATCTCCGTTTGGTGCTATGGTTGCGAAGCTTATATTGATAATCCTGTAAATAGCTTTTCTTAAAAAGTTTATATTTCCTTGAGTAAATTAATTCAGAATAATATAATTTGATAGAGTAAAGTCTTTTAAATTAAAAGTGATTATTTTGCAAATAATATTTTTATATGTGTATATTGATTAAATGCATTTTCAGAGATTATACGCGGCAAGAAACGCAGCTCATCAAAGCAAATTCAATGAAGAGCTTCCCTGGACTTATAACGAAAATGACATATAAACGCATCTTAGTTAATTAAAAAAAAAATAAAATTAACAAAATAATTTAAAAAATTTCTATAAAATTTGGGATTAAATAAAAAAATTTGGAAAATAATCTATATTCTACAATATAATATGTTAATAAACTACATAAAAAATTACACAAAAAAATCTTTGCGCGCTATAATGTAATTAAAATCTGCATACAGAGTGTGCCAAAAAGAAACAATCGAATATTTCATAATGCATTTTAGGAAAAAATGTTTTAGAAAAAAAGTTATAAGATTTAAAAGAGGCATTCAATGGCAATATGTATTCGACTATATCTTGGCGTTGCCAAAATCAGATCAAGATCAACTTTTAATTTTTTTAAATGGAAATTTATATTTTTCCTTATTAATTTTTACTGAGATATTTTTTTCTAAAATGCATTAGTTCTGAAATATTCACCTGTTTGCAAACTTTCGGCACAATCTGTATATAATTCTTCTAATTATTAATATACTTATTTTCATAGTTTTGGACAAATTAAATCTGAAGTTTTTCAGATATAAAAATAAATATAGACAATTTTTAATTACAAATTAAAATGCTCAAAAAATAATAATCCTGTATATTAATCTTCGCTTGATAATACATCTCTCTTGTTTGAGGGTACATCTCGCCTCAAAGGAGTTAAATAATGAAATTTTTCATAAATTATAAAAATAATGTTTTTTTCATTAAAAAAAAAAATGCGATTTAGTACACATTAGGGCTGCTAAAAATAAGCTGTAATGTTAGTAACTACCGAATTAATTTATTATTAATTTTATTAGAAAATATATTTTAGCTATAATAAAATAAAAATACCTCGTGCTGATTCAATTGTGGAATTATACATAGTGTTCTGAAAAGTTCAGGGAATTAGCAAATTAAAACAGAATTTTTTTAATCCGCTTCTTTTATGTAAATAATTTAATCGTTTAATTCACTAAATATATAATATCTTTTACTGAAATTTTTCTGGTACACTATGTATATTATATTTTTCTATGTGTGTGTATATTATTCCGTGTGAGAGAATACTCTCTCAATCTATGCATCTAATAGTAGCTATTCTTTTATGGGACAGAACATAGAATAATATATAATATGTAAGAGAATAAGAGTGTCATAGATAAAAAAATACCAGAAGACTTAATTTTTGCTCATAAGAATTTCCATTGAAAATATTCCGAGAAATTAAAGAGTATAAATATTATCACATATATGAAGAGTGCAATTTAAAAATAATAAAATACATTTTCTAATATGTTATACATATTTCCTCGAAAGAGATAGATTAATGATTTTATTTTTCTCAGCTTTTAACAAAAAATTCACTTTTCAAATTAATAGAAAAATCTATTTTTGTAAATCAAGATTTATCGTTTATTAATCGAAAAAAAAGATGTGCTAATATGTAAGCTTATTTTAATATATAAGTTTATTTTTTAATAAAATAAATTGTATTTAGAAAGATTATCTCTTTTGTTGAAAAGTTGAATAAATAAAACAATAAATAAAAATGTAAAACTTGTATTTTCATGATTTATTATTTCTGTTAATTTTTGAATATGATGACCTTTCTATAAATGAAACATGTTATATATTACATAACTTAAATTATATAATTGTAGATTTGATTAGATTTATTCAGTAATTTCAAAATCTATTTTTAAAAGTTTTTAATATTCTCAATATTTAATTATTTGAATAATTAAAAAATACGTCATTTTAATTTGTTAATTTTTAAGGATCCAATTTTTTGTTATATATAATTTTAAATTAATATATAATTTTAGATTTATAAAAAAATTTCCATTTTTTAATATCAATTTTTTAAATACTATTCATTTATATTAAATATTTTAATTAATTTTAAGTTAAATATTTTATCACATAAGGATTGCAATTGCATGTAAAAACTTATAAAATTATGCTTTTATGATAAGTATATACATATATATTGCAACATTCTTTATAAGTCTTTTAACAATTCTTTTTCTTTTTGACTAGATTTTATTTTAATTATTTTATTACTATTAATATATTTATATAGAAATAAAAGCCTGGAAATATTATTTCTATTTTTTAAATTTATTCAATCATTATTAATTATTTCTTTAACTTGCTCATTGTACTTTCTTTGCTTTGGTTCAGGCAGAAAATATTCGATTTTTAGCAATAGCAATCTAAATTGCTCGATGTACTCACAAACATCTTTGGTAGCTTTGATAAAGCTTTTAAAAATATCATCGCTCTGCAAACTTAACATGTTTTCGAGTATATGGATCGATCGCAAAGACGGTAATCTCTCTATGGAAATGTGAGGATAAAAAGTCTTGACTATGTGAAATCTGAACAAGTTCGATCTGTTGTTCGATAGCTCCACGAATTCATTTATCGCGGAGGCTGGTAACGCATAGTACAGTCTATAAGGTATCCTCTTGACGACGAATTTCTCTTCGCAGTCCCTGATCCTCTTGACAATGCTGTCGAACACCTCTGATAGGGGCTTGGAACCCTGCTCATACAGGTGGAAATCCTGTGTCAGCTTGTACTTGTGATTACTACTGCTACGATAGACTTTACGAGTATTGCGGAGTTGTAGCAATGCTGTAGGTAGCGAGTAACTGTACGAAGTATATAAATGCACGTGCGTGAGATGCGGTTTAGCCTTCAGTTCCGTCGTGATGTGAGACGTCAGCGGGAAAACTCCACCTTGATGCGCGAAAGCGTAGAAGAAAGCCAACAACAGATTGCTGACGTACCAGAACGTCAATTTTCCCGGTTTGCTCTGTGGAAGTTCGGTAGTAGATTCGTCATTCTTATCGTTGAACCGGACAATATCCAGACAAGGGACTTGGCTCAGATCGGGCGCGTAAAGGAATACCAGCGGGAAAAGTACCGGGATTATAAAACGGGGCTCCTGATGAGGAAATAGAGATAGCAAGGCGATTGGAACGACGAACGTGCAGGTCATCAGGCCCACGATGCTCTGCAGACGTGGCAAATGCAGCCATCGCGCTTTCAATCCGCTGGAAACGAATATTATTGTTAGTTTATCGTCATCTCACTATGCAAAGAATATAATTTTCATAAACAGGGTGGACCCTTATTAAATACATCTTTTTAATCCTTACAACTTTTGTCTAAAGTTGTAAGCATTTTGTTATAAAATGCATTCTATACGAGATATTCGACTATATCCAGACTTTTGGTCCACCCTGTATATGACTGACCTGTATATCATTTTCGCAAATGTCAGCAACCCGACGATGCCCAGGACGCTGAAGAGCAGTGGAACGTTTACGAAAAAGTGCAAAAGACGAGGATGCAGTCCATGTACCTCCAGATTCTTCGTATTCGCGTTATACTTGAGGAAATTTACCGGCGTCACCACAAAATTGTTTATCCCGATCTTCAATTGGCCTATTTCTCCCATCGTCAAGTATCCGAAGTAGAAGCTATCGATTAGAATAAATAAAAGCGCGGTCGGCAATCCGCAGAGGATGAAAGCAAATATTCTGATGTTGAAGTCCTTGAAGCCAACGCTTTTGGAACCCAGGCCTCTTTGCAGCCAGAAGAAGATGGGAGCGAAGGCAAACGCAACGAAGGTCGGCCTGTTGAATATTCCTACCACTGTTATCGTAGCCAGTAGAAAGCAATGGTTCAACGAATGCGAGGGTAACATGGCTTTAAGTTTATAGTACTTGACACGCTCCCCTCCGGTCGTTGCTTCGTTATACTTTTTGGAAAGATAATCGCTCTGGAGTACCACCTGTAACGATACAATAAAATTATTAAAGCAGAAATATATGTACATAAATAATAACAAAAGATAAAATGTGAAGAGTTTTCAATTATTTAATTATATAAAGAATTTAAGAATTTAATTATTTAATTATTTAATTATATAAAGCTTTTAATTATTTAATTATATAAAAAAAACAATCTATCTTGGAAAATTGAATTTGATAAATTCCTCTCATCAACTTGTCGATTAGTCTCATTGAATAGTTTCTTAGGAAGGGAATTAGACGTACCTTCTCCGAATATGCCATGCACCGGGAAGCAAAGTATAACAGTGCAGCAGTTAGCACCAGTTCGATAGAATTGGATAAGGTACGAGTGGCATAAGTCAACATAACGTAGGAACTGGCATATGTGACTAGTCTGACCCTGTAGTTTTGCCCATACATACAGCAGATCTTGTACAGAAAATAATCCGACAGGAATGACAGTGCACACATGAAGAGCCGTGGAAAGAGCACGAAGAAGTATGGTCCCTTCAATGATAGTCCAAAAAAATAAAGTGTATACGAAGACAATCTCTTGAGAATTGCATAAGGCAGTCCAACCACGAGTTGAGGAATGAACGCGGTGCGCACAGGAAACGTGGCATTGAATTCCCATGGTTTGTAAACATCGATGTCAAAGTGATCTCCTATTTGAGAGAAATAGAATCGTTTTAGAAAATAAATGGAATGCAACGAAACAGTGACATACCAGAGATAACTTCTATCGATTGAAAGAATTCGTCTGGATGAATGTAGCCTGTCTGCGGAGCAAAAGTTAGAGCAATCCTTAATGTAGCTAGGATCCAATAGAGGCCAATCTTGCGTCTAACAGGTGCTGCAGGCAGATAGTCCTCGATGGATCTGCGATACTCGTTTTTGTGCTAAAAATTAAGAAAGAACAAAATTAAGAAAGAATTAAATAAGAATAAAAATAAATAAACATAAATACAAATAAACAAACATGAATTTACACCAATATAATTGAGTTATAAATTGAATAACAATATAATTGAATTATAAAATTATAATTTTACAATAATTATTATAAATTGTAATATAATAATTATAAATAATTATAAATATATACAATTATAAATAATTATAAATTATAAATTAAATACAAATTAAATGATAAATAAATCGAGATAATATATAGACATTTTAAATATAATGCAGATATTTTAGATATAAACATATAAAGCAAAAAAACACAAATATATACAAATTATCTGAAATATGTGTAAGTAATATATATTTATGTAACAAGATATGTAAATTACCTTTAATGACATATTCCTAACAATTAGTTTACTCTAAATTCAACGATAGTTTTTTGATACTCGCTTGGACAATACATCGTTAAACCTGTGCACGCGATGGTGCGACTTTTCACGACAGGTGCCAGGTGCAATGAACTAACAAATTGCTAGAACCGCAACAGACGCGATGTAAACAATTCAACCTAGCGCGCATGCGCGGAAAGTCACGTGGCGCGCGCGATTTGACAGCTCGCGGCCGATCTTCTGTCAACGCGATCTGTGATCGACGCCAGCGATTGGATCCGTTCCGCGTAGCTCTTTCTGCGCGCTTCTCGTCCTCTTCCTTCCTCCAACGTCTCGATTCGTCCATCTCACTTGGAATCGAGTGCAGGTGCAGCTACCGGGACGGAACGGGTCTATTGATTCCCGGAACCATGAACGCCGTGATTTGTGTACCGCTACAATCCGCGAGCAGTTGTTTACCGCTGTGATCCTCCTCCTCTCGGATCTCCCTCGCGAGTCGCGCCAGATATCCTCGCACGAGATATCCCGGAACGTGCTGTGCGCGAGATCGCGATCGGACGATCGTCCCCCGAGAGCGTGTGCTACCGTTGTGAAGTGTGTCAGTGAAGGGACAAAGGGTGTCACGTAAGTGTGTGCGTCGCGCGAGCCCTCGGGAGGACTCGTCACTCGAAAAAAAAAAAAAGAGAGACTTCGACAGGAAAATTTTTGAGAATTTTGGGGGAGAAATTTTCTCGCATGTTAGTGATCGACCCATCTTCCGCGCGAAGCGAACTTTTTTAGATGGTTAAAAGAGTAAAGAAAAATGATAAAAAGCGTGAAAGAAAAAAAAAATAATAAACGAGGTTCTTTCTTGACGGACTCTTGGCAGGTTTTGCGAAAGTAAAAAAAAAAGGAAAAAAAAACGGTCATGCTATTAAAAAAATAAAATTTATCCGTAACTCATCATCTCTGCTTTCAGAAGGAGTGCATAAAGAGATAAATAATAACTAGGACGAGGCAGATTCGCAGTTCGAAATAAGAAAGAAAAAAAATTCCTCCGTGCTTTCAGAGACTCTCTTCTAGACCTCGGCTCCCCACACGTGGAGCAGCCTCGCTGCCTGTGTCTACCGGTTGCTACATAATCTCGAGGACTGTTTGTAAAGCCTAGTTTACTCGTCCTGGCCAGATAGCTGGCCGAGCTTAGCTCGGTCGTGCCGTTGTCATGTGTCCCCTTGATCGATTTGTGTTAGGTGTAAGGGAGCTGGGTGCCATAGGCACCCCGATCGAAAGCTCCCGGGACAGTGTGGACCTTCTGTTCGATTCAGAATCCCCGAACTCTCCTTGCTGTATACTATATAGTCCTTTGCTACTGCGCTATTGTCGTAAGATGTACGAGAAACGCTACGATACTTGGTCGTGCCTCCTACCGGAGTGCTCTCATGTGACTCGCGACGTAGTAATAAACCTATTTCGTGTTTGCGTTGCAGGCAGAAACCCTTGCCTGATCCTCCAGCGAACGGTCCAGGTTGACCATGGGTAGCAACACAGACGGCGACAATCTGAATCTCAGCTGTGGCGAGAACGACAACGGCGATGAATTGAGGATCGCCGCGGACGAGACCTATGACACTCGCAGCGAGATCTCCTCCAGCAGCTCCAACACAAGCAACTCCAGTCATCCTACCATCAGCACAGTTTCCAGCAAGTCCTCGCGCGGCGACAACAAGCGCGGCAGGAGAAACAGGAACAAGCGTGGTAGATCTAGTAGAGATTCCAAGTCGTCCAGTCCCGAGCCTAAGCGAGCCAGGTCCAAGGAGAGCAAGGGAACCACCAAGAGCTACGACTATGCCACCAAGTTGAATTACTTATTTAGAGATGCAAGGTTGGGATGGGGACAACAATAAATAGCTATTGCAGTTGTTGCATTAATATAAATTTGATATAGAAACATATTCTTGCGTATTAAAAAGTTTAGAATTGTCCAAAGAGTTTCTTAGTCATTTATATATTTTTTTGCTTCATATATTTTATAGAAAACTAGAAAGCTTTTTAAATGATGATTTGAAATTTATAGAAACGTAATATTTATATACGAAACAAATTTTTCTTTAAGATTATGTATTTTTAATAGAAAATGTCTGTATAAATTTGGAGTGTTTAAATGTTTTCAAGTCTCTTTTGCTAGATTTTTCATCATCAAGTCCAATAATGCAGAGAATGTGACACTGTCCAAGGCCAAGGGAGTGTGGAGCACATTGCCGCAGAATGAAGCAAACTTGAATCAAGCCTATAGAGAATCGCGAAACGTATTGCTGGTGTTTTCCGTGAAGGAATCGGGAAAATTCGCCGGCTTTGCCAGACTTAGTACAGAATCGAGAAGAGATGCTGGTCCAGTTTCCTGGGTACAAATAAAATATGAACAAAATTAATATAAATATAATTGTATGATTTGTTGTATGTTTTTGATTGATTAATTTTATATATATATATATATATATATATATATATATTATATATTATTTATTTTATTATTAATTATTTAAATTGCAAAAAGGAAATAGCCTTGTAATGCATTTTAGGTTTTGCCTCCTGGCTTATCAGCAAAAGCTTTAGGTGGTGTATTTAAAGTTGACTGGATCTGTAGGAAGGAATTACCGTTTACAGCTACGTTACATTTGTACAATCCTTGGAATGATGGGAAACAAGTTAAAATCGGTCGAGACGGCCAGGAGATCGAGCCTAGAGTTGCCGAGGAATTGTGTAGACTGTTTCCAGAAGATGAAGGTAACTCTGAGAGAAATATATAAAAAAATATATAATGTATAAAATATATAAATATAAATAAATTTATTATAAGAAATAAGAGAGATGTATATGCAATTTTATTATATTTTTTCCTTTTTTTTCATGTATATTTTTGATAAATTAAATTCTATATAAGTCGAATATATCTATTCGCAGGAATCGAGATGACACCTATTCTGCGAAAATCCAAGGAAGCAGGAAAGCACGTCGTAAAATCGTCGCGTTATCGCGATAAGAGACCCATAAGCAACTCTAGATTTTTACGAAGAGGCGGACGGGGACGTAGACTGTTCTTGACTTCGAGATCGCGTTTAGCTTCTTTAGCCAGAGGTTCCCATGGTGTTGCGGGGGATCACAGAGGATCCAGAGATCACTCCTATCGATACACACCATGGTTCAATCGAGGAGATTCACCTTACACAAAGTACGATCCGTCCAATCGATATTCATAGCATTCCAAGTTTTTAACAATGCTTCTATTTTGACTTTAATAATTTCCAAAACGTATTGCACGTCATTAAAAGTTATCTAACTTATTCTACATAATAATAATTAATCATTTCAGAGGTTACGGGGCTGGTCTAGGCGTCGCCGCGGTTGCAGAAGCTTATGTGGCAGATTACATGCGTACCATGCAACATCAGTTGCCACCATTGCCACCTTATGGCCCACATCCATATGATACTTTGCCACCACCTCCTCCACCACCAAGGTAAAAATATACATATTCGATATCGCATCAGAGTCTTCTATATACTTTATTTTAGCTGCAAAATACAAATCAAGTAAAAAGATTCAGTATTTATTGAGTTAAGCAAAATATAAATTTTAATTAAAATTAAAATTGAAATTGCTCAAGATATTTATTTGATATTAAATAATTTCTATTAGATAAAGTGAGAAATAATTAATTGATATTAAATATTTAATTAATTAATTAATTGATATTAAATAATTTCTATTAAAGTGAGAAATTTTATTGGCACTAAATTGAATAAAAGCTCTGTGATGTATGATTAAAGAAAAATATTTCTTTTCTTTTAAGATATTATGACGGTCTGCCATTGCCTCCGGATTATAGCGCGACAGCGTCAGCACTGGAGAAGCGTAGTTATGAGAGGAGCGTCGACGAGTTCTTGTGGAGAACGGCCAGTCGTCACAGTCGACACAGCGATCATCGCTCCTCGCGCGATCATCACAGATATCGAGATCGTAGATAAGAATTGACTGTAATGTTTCCTTATCGACTCGTCGATTCCCAAGTTTTACTAATAATAAATATGAATTGAACAATAACGTATATTATTCATATTCTTATGGAAAATTCAGAAAATGTTTCACAGAGAAATCCTAGATTTCTTGTTATTAATTAAATTGTACATAAAAAACAAATTTAATCTCAATAATTTAACTTTGATAATTAAATTAAGATATCTTTTCAAAAGATAATTAATGTCTATCAGGCCTATAAATAATTTTGGGAATTGACGGGTTTACTCATAGGATGCATTCAGAAGCACAACCGCTTGTGATCAATTGGTTTCTATCTCTGAATTCGCCAATCATATTCGATTGTTACTTAGCCGCTCAGTGAGCGGTTGTGCTTTTGGATTCACCCATATATTCATTATTACAAAGGCAATCGCGCACATGCACAGAATCATGTTCCAATAGTCTTCAATCGTCATTAATCATCGAGTTGCCCGAATATAAATTGTGAACACATTTTCTCTGTCATAAAATAACATAGATTGGATAAGTAAATTTTGTACCATTGAGTATTCAAATTCGAGACTCTTTCTATGAATTTTCCACAAGCAAAATGCAATAATATCGAGATACTTGGCATTCTTCCTTTTCGACTACAAAAAGAAAGAATCCATGCAATAAAATTAATACTTTTTTCTTTCTACGGTTTTTTTTCGGATACTTCTTATATGTATGTGTATGTATGCAATCAGTGCGTGTGCGTATGTATGTGTGTGTGTTATTATCTTAATTATATATTTATACGAGATAATTTTGAATTAATATGAAAGCAATGATTTGATCTCTAATACGAGGTTGATTAAATATACATTTTTCAATAAATTTAAGTAAAGTAAGATTTCTGTTTATTCTAGCATTTTTGTGTTTTTATATATATGTATATGTGTGTATATGCAAATGGAAGATTTACGAGAGAGAGAGAAAGAGAGAGAGAGAGAGAGAAAGATATACAAGATAATTATCAACTTATTACTTCGTCTTATTGTTTTTTCAATACTTGATAACAATTTCATAGGAAAAAATGTTTAATAAATAGAATAAGGAGAAATCAGTAAGTGATAAGAATTATCTCTCACCACCCACACAAAGAGGGAATCTCCCAAACAGATATGTTCGTCCTGACACAAGACAAAAGTGCGGAAGGACTCTACTGTGCGTTGTAGGATTAGTCTGACGCGTTATTTTGTAGTTCTTCATAGTTTTAAATTTCAGTTAAAAGAGTATTGTAGATGTTTCAAATTTTAATTGAATATGTATAAATATATCTATTCTTCTTCAAAGTTTATATATAATTGTGTCATGGATTTTAAATCGTTTTGATGAGTTTTTGAGTCAAGATTATTTTGCGTATGCTGTTAAACTGTTTAATTGATTGTTTATATTTAATTGTTCAATTAATAATGTCAGGTAAAGTGCAAATTTTCAAGTGGGGTTTGCGTGTTGTGTTCTGTCTTGTTATCTTCTTAGTTTTAATCAATATGAAAAGAAGTTTTAACTTGAAAGAAGAAGACAATCTGATAGCGACCGAACGTCAGGTGCGAACACATAGATACTTGATTCCAGACAGGGTAATCAAGAAGAATAGTATCGAAACGGAGATTGATATGTTGCAGATGGACGCATTGAAGGGTGAAATGATCGATCTAGAGGTATAAAATTCGAAAGAATATACGATTCTCATCAAAAACAACTTTCTAACGAGTATTTCTATGTTCCTGTAGAAGAGCGCGAGTCTGCTGAAACAGATGTCAAACGTTTGTGCAAAGTACAACTTGAAGACTCCTCTTGTCAAAAGGCATTTTTTATACAACGCCCAACACAGATCGTTATATTGTTGGATTCGCAAGATTGCATCCACCAGCTTCACCAAATTATTCTCCGACATGAGCAACCGTCGAGTCAGCCACAATTTTTACAAGTGAGCATATTGATGATACATATTCTAATTCATTAAACTATTATTAATTTATTATTTATAAAGATTTTTATTTTAGTTATATATATCATTTTATTTTACTAGTTTATTTATTTATATGAAAATAAATAAACTAGTAAAATAAAATGATATATATAACTAATAGTTATACATATATATAAATTATATTTATTATTTATATTTATAGTATATATAAAATAATTTATTTATTTATATGAAAATAAATAAACAAGTAAATGATAATAATGAATGTATAATATTAATCCCACAACGTCACTTCCGATTTTGACATACACACACACACACACACACATATATATATATTCAAATATTAAAAAATAAATTTATTTTAAAAGCTTATAGCTTAGTTATATCATATTTATTGTTTAGTTCTCGCACAAACAAGGTATATTGTTATATTAATAATTCAAGAGAACGTAATTTATAGAGAAGTGGACTTTTTGTCGCCAAAGAGTTTGAGAGATCTCCAATATCTTGCTACCAACAATACTGTCTTTAAATTGCTCATCGTCAGACATCCGTTTCAACGGCTAGTCTCATCCTATAGGTAATTATTAAACTTATCGCTTTAATAAAACAGTCGACTCTGATAATCTACAACTGGAGTATCATTTAAAAGAAAAGAAAATGTGTAAATTTCTTTATAAAATTTTAAATATTTGATAATAATATTGGTTAATACTCAGATTAGCGTGAAACATTGATACATTATCTCTAGAGACCGCATCGAAGACAATAGCAGATATACCGCACAATCTTGGCTCTACGCTCGTCAAATTCTTTATCTTTCAAGACCGGAACTCTTTCGTCTCAACGTGACAGGTGACAACATCCTACAGAGGATATTTTTGACAAATAGAAGGTACACATGGCAAATACATGCCTCATCTAATATCTAATTCTTTTACTTGTATAAATAACATATATGTGTATTAATTCATATAAGGAATTCGGCTCCTGCCTGCATTTCTTTTTGCAGATTAAAAGTGGTGCCCAGCTTCCGAGAATTCCTGGTATGGTTGTTGGAGCAACCTCCAAATTTCGACGATCACTGGTCTCAGTACCATACTCATTGCGCAGTCTGCAATACGAGCTACAATTTCATCCTGAAACTAGATGAATACACTTTCGGGGAGGTCAATTACGTTCTGTCGAAGCTGAAATTGGACAAAAGTAAAGTCTACTTGCCTAAGCTGCAGCGCACTCGTGCTGGTATCACAAACTTTGACATAACATGCAAGTATTTTCATAATCTGACGACCGATATGATTCTGCGGCTGTATGAAAGGTACAAAGTGGACTTTGAGATGTATAATTATAAAGTAGACAAGTATTTGCCTTGTGCTAAGAGAAAAAATTAATTCCGATTTGACAAGATAATTATAAAGCAACGATATAATGCTCAAAATAAAAAATTCTTTTAATAGACTCCAATTTTTTTTAGGAGAAAAAGTGATATTTTTCTTTGCATTATCTTTTTCTTTTTTATTATATAAAAAATCAATTTTGATTGTGAACTCTAGACAAATTTTTATATTTTTTAAAGTATAAAAAGTTAAAAGTATATAGATTTTTAAAAATATACTTTTTTATAAAAAGATTATATAAAGTAAATTATTTAATTATGTAGTCATTACTTATGATTTTTATAATCATAATTTATATTATAGATGAAAATTATAAATCAATAGTGATTATAGATGGGCATGATAATTAATACAATCTTAATACATAAAAAAATGCTCTATTTCTTTCTTGATATTTACGATATGACATTACGCTTTGTATGTAATGTACAAAATTAAATCGTTATATCAATTTTGAATGTTTTTAATAAAAACAAGCAAACGAAAAAAAAAGAATTATTTTTCTGCATTTAAATGTCGACGTTGTACATAATTTCAATAAAAATGCTTTCATCCATCTGTACTTTTATCTTCAATTTATGTCTTAAATATTCTCTCGTTTCTCGTATTAAATTATGAAACTTATCTCTTACTTTGGAAACTAATCGATATGATCATCGCACACTATCAAACAATCTGTGTCCTCGGAAAGTTTCCGTTTCCTTGGATTCGATTTTTTTAATTCGGGTAAGTTATGGTGTTCATTATCATTATCGATAATGCAAATGTCGTCGTTATCTATGTTATTATCAATTTCCACTTTGCGTTTCTTGTTTGCAACTTCAGTTTCGAGATCGGCTGAATCGTTTTTGCGCTTTTTAGCCGTATCTGATATTTCGGTCACGTTCTGTGCAGAAAAAATTTTTTTCTTAGTAATTAAAACAAAGATTAATATACAGAAGTATTTCTGAAAATAATCATAATTCACCTGTCCATTAGACGTCGAGGCTTTCTCTTCTTCCTCCTCATCCTTGGGTTTAAGTGCATTCTTGTCAGCCAGTATTAAAAATGATGGACTGTCATCTTTTGGACCAGGTTTCTCTCGATAAACCACAAAGAGAGTCAGTGAATAATTTTGCTGAAAATCGTCGACTTTAAGAATCGCTCCGTCTCTGATTCCCAATTCTTCCAATTTCTTGTCGTTATTGCCTTCCGTCTCGCCCTCTTCGCTGCTGATGACGACAGCACCAGTGCCATCGATCATGACATCAGGAGCGATCACGTTAAGTCTGTTCTTGAGTACTAACTCCTCTAGTTCTTTGATAGTCATGTTGGACGTGTCAACCGCTAAAACCGCCTGTGGAGTAGGTGCGCAGACATAGCACTGCGGATTGGGCGGATTTACTGCCTTCTCTGGCACCAGCAGCTGATTACGATGGTTCATCTTTAGACGCAAGTAGACAGATCTACAAGCCCGTAGGTTGTTTTCAAGAACTCGGAAAGCGTGAAGGACCACCATGCCCGCAATTATAGCGTTCGTGGTTGCGATTGCCGGGATTATGTTGCCAGCCATTGCTAGAGATAAAAAGATTTCCATGAAAATTAAAATTGCGTGAACAACAGCTTAAGAGGAGATACTTTAATGCCTCGCAAGAGAAAAAATAAACCAAATGTAGAAAGAATAAGAAACTAGTAAAATATGACTATTGCTGACATTTGATATCGAATCTGCTCTTCTGAGGAATTCCAAAGATGTGTGCGCGAATATTGGCACATGCGGCTACGAAATCCATCGCATGTTGATCATCTTTATCCCAGACCAGATGATTGTCCAGCGACTTTTCTTGGGAAGCTTTCAATGCCTGGCTCAAATTTTTCAATGAGTCGGCGAAAATGGAACCGCACTTGGAAATACTCCAGCGTTGTTGATCCTTCAGTCCTGGTTGATTAATTTCTTTACTACATCCAGCCACTTTGAAAAGAAATAAAACATTATGTTAATTTCGATGAGAAAATAAAAAAAGAAGATATTTATGGAACAATGGCAAACCTCCATCTGGTAATTCTCTCCAATTCAATGGTGTTGGTGATCTGCGCTTCTTCCACAAATTGTCCATGCTTAGCAAATACTTGATATCATCATGAAAAAGTTTTGTGAATAATTTTTCTGGATCGTAATCACAAGATTGAGCCCAAACGCGCGTAGAAACTCTATCGATATTGCCTTTGTCGTTATGCTCTGTTTGTAAAGCTCCCTCTCCTGCTACATCTACAATATCAAAATTTTATATTACTTCATTATTTGTGTTTTAAGGTAATAAAAATAATAAATAAAAAAATAATTAAAAATGATAAAAAAATAATGTAAAAATAATAAAAAATAAACACGTAATAAAACAAAATTAATGAGTTGATTAATAAATAAAATTATATATTTTATAATAATAAATATAAGTAATAATTATAATATATGAAACAACATATGAAAGAATAAAAATATTTGATTAATTCAACTCAATATTACTATATAATAATAAATAGATATTACCAGTGGCTTCAGGGTCTGCTGTATCTGGGGAAACATCCTGATCAGGATCTTCTTCTCCAAATAATTGACTGTAACAATTTTCACAAAAAATACATTAATTAAAAATAATTTCTTGCAAGTAGCATAAAGTTTAAAATATATACACAAGATGATTAGATTGACAATATAAAATATATGATTCCAATATTAAACAATATAAAATATGATTATATCATAATAATGCCTACTTGAAGAGATGCTTGGCCCATACTATGCAGTGAATAGGTTCACTAGGTGTGTTACGAATAGTGCAGCCAGGATAAGTCTTTTGTGCGGCTTTGGGTGTACACTCATAGCATTGGCTCAGACCTTTTTTAATGAGTTCTACCTGGCCCTCATAGCCTGCAGTACCAGATTCAATTAATGGTACATCTGCAGCTAAGCACATGCGATTGACATGGTTTCTGGCTGCTCTGTTATCAAGAGCATTTAGAACCACTGTAAATCTCTTAAAAAATGACAAACCAAACTCTGATCTGCAAACATAGAGTATCGAATAAATATAATATCGATATATCAGCTCACAAATGTCAAAATACTTACGATGTAATACTGTCATGGTAGTGCACCACTTTAACATCTGGATTAAATGTTAATGCTGTCTCACGTGCAACACTGGCTTTTGACTTTCCAACATGTTTCTTTTGAAATAAGAATTGCCTATTCAAATTGCTTACATCTATTGTATCCAAATCAATCTGAAAGACAAATGGATTTATTTAAAAATACAATCCATTATAGACATGCATTATTAATCACAAAAAAATGTTATAACGCATAAAAATATGTTTTATACACATATAAAAATTAATACATAAATAAACTAAATTGAACAATAAAATAATAATAATAATAATAATAATAAAATAATAAATAATAAAACAGAAAAATATACAGAATAATAAAATATACAGAAAAATTATGAAAAAAGTAAGTAACTAACATCACCCGAGTAAACAATATTAAAAAAAAATATAATAGGAATAAATTGCGAGAAATAAAGAAGACGATGGCTGGATAAGAACAATTTGCGCGAGCATAAATTTTCGCAAATTGTAAGCATTATTTATATACAACAGAAGGAAGAGCGTTAGACGTTCTACTACGCGCGCGTAAATCGCGCAGAGACAAGGTTATGTTGGCTACTGGGGGAATAATCCACTTACGATCTCGATATCCGCGAAGCCAGACATGACGAGGTTCTTGAGGATCTCGCATCCGATGCCACCGGCACCCACGACGAGCACCTTGCTGCGTAAAATCGCATCGCGCAATTCCTCGCGAAACACCCCGCTCACGGTGGTCGCCATCTTGTGCCGAATGAGCCGTTTCGCACCGAAGTTAGCAGCGCATGCGCCGCGCGTCTAAAGACGCCTTTTCACGCGGACGCTCAACGCTCACTTTGGGTAGCACCCGATTGACCACGTCGCCAATTGGCCAATTCAAAATAGGACTCTCTGATTGGTTAATCGTTGTTGGTTACCCTAGGCACAGGTCGATATAATTGGCTGTGGTCAATCGCAACGTGGTCAAACAGGACGCTCCCCTCACTTTCACAGCGTCAGAAGACATCACGTGACTAAAGTTAATTAATTAGATTATTTTACAAAAATTATTTTATACTTGTATTTGCATCTCTCTTATTTCTTACTTCACTTTATCTGTTATTTCTTATGTTATTTCTTATTGATTGGAAACTTTTAAATAATTCTGAAAGGCAATTATTAAATCTCATACAGCACAGACTATTGTTGTTACATATTGCAGCAATATTGCTGCAAATGAATATAATAGATAATTCCCATAGCACAGAATATTGCAGCAATATTATTAATATTGTTGCAACATTGCAATATTGCCACAATATAACTGCAATGTTCTGTACTGTATGAGTTAATTATACGATTATTATTCCAGCAAACATCAAAAAATATTTATATAACTGTTAGTTGTAATTTCCTACTCAGCAATATAACTGTTAGATGTTATGTAACAGTTATATATATTATTGAGTAGGAACAGTTATATATATTATTGAGTAGGAACAGTTATATATATTATTGAGTAGGAAATTACAACTAACAGTTATACAAATATTACTTGGTTTGCTGGGATTATATTATTATTCATATTAAATAAAAAAAATATATATTTGTTTTAATTTAATTTTAATTTTATTTAATTTTATTTAATTTTAATTAATAGTAAGATAATTAATATTATATATATATATATATATATATATATATAATATTAATATATAAAATCAATACACAATATAAATATTAATTATTTATATTGTGTATTGTGAATTTGCATTAATTATGTATTTGTGTACATACGTTGAAGCGATGAGATACGTGTGAATATGTGTATGTGTGTGTGATGTGTATGTGTGTCACATGCAAGGAATTTTTGAATTTTGCAGATCGAGAGAGCCAGTATGGCGACGACACTTGCAGGAACAAAACAAGGAATGGGAAATGTTTTGTGTAATATGTCATAATTTGATTATGTGGCATGAATTCGTCCGCTGTCCTGGTATCCTTATGCGTTATTCGCATCGAGATTTGTGATCCGGAATTGGAAGAGACTACTAGTGAGCGTAAGTATATCCTTGCCATTTAAATTTATCGCGACAAGTAGTTTTTGGCGCATGTATTTTTGTGATATTTTAACATCGTACAAATCAGGACATTCTTATTTGTCAAAATTAAATGGCTCCAACTTCATTAATTTCCTTGATTTTATTAATTTTCTTTGACAAATAATTATACAGACTTGACTATAACAATTATAAGTTAATAATTAATAATTATAAATTATGGATAAAAGAATTTCAGTTAAAAGTTAAATTTTAGCTTAAAGTTTTGTTTTATTGTAGGTACTATGGCTGCAAGAAAAATGAGAGGTTGCAGAGAATCGAGGGATATCAGTGTGGAAACTTATACAAATGTAACAGAAAATACATCCCCATTGTTATCAAGTCAAAGCACAAGCAAGTCGCACTCATCCTCAAGATCTAATTCTGAGGAGGCAACATTTGGAAATTCTAATCATGCTGCTGGTCCGGGAGAAATTAATTGCGCTACTTCCAGCACTTCCCCGGATCAAATAAGTTTTATCTCTGGAAATCCCTTTGTCGAAGTTACAAAAGGCATTCTTCACCTTTTTAAGGAAGAGTAAGTCATTCTTTATTCTACTGAATCATTTAATTATATATTATTGTTTGTATGATTTATATATAATTTAATATATAATTTAATTAATTCTTCTAATATTACAATTTGTTTATTATTTAATTTCTTCTTTTATTTGATTGTAGTGAGCTGACTGAGATGCACCGTGCTGCGGATCGCAGTCACACCATCTGTATTCTCTCAGTACCAGCGACAATGACTTGCCATGACCTTCTAACTTTCACAGCAGCTTGTCATCAGAACATACAACATTTTAGAATCCTTAGAGATGGCAGTCCTAATCAATACATGGCTCTCATTACTTTTAGATCATCAGTGAGTAAATAAAAATTTGTATTAATGTACTTTTGGCTCTTCAGAAAATTCGCTTTTACATATGAAATAAAATAAGAGAGATTGTGAAAAAGAAATTGAATGCGAAGAATTAATTAGAAATTATATGCAAAATTTGATAAAATGCGTTTTAGAGTGCAGCAAGTGAGTTCTATGAAACCTTCAATGGCGCTCCTTACAATTCCCTGGAACCAGAGGTGGTTTGCCACATGGTATTTGTGTCTAGAGTCGAAGTAGGAGATAATGGATTGCCCCTAAGTGGCCACACAGAATTACCATCGTGTCCTGTTTGTCTGGAAAGGATGGATGAGAGCGTGGACGGAATTCTCACAATATTGTGCAATCATACCTTCCATTCCAGCTGTCTAGTAAAATGGGGCGACACATCCTGTCCGATTTGTCGATACGCACAAACGCCTGAACCATTGGCTGATAGCCATTGCATGGAATGTGGTAAGCATAATTCGCTTAATTGTTTCAAATTTGGAATTCAAATCTCTTCTCACAGGGCTTGACAAGATATGTAATTCTTTAAAAAATTACTTTATATTTCTCTTTCAAAACTCTTTATTTTATATTATTTTATTTTATATTATATTTTAAAATAATATTATATTTATTTTATATTATATTATATTATTTTATATTATATTAATATTTTATTTCTTTGATTATAATAAGAATGATTATTTGAAATTCCTATCAAATTGAAGCTTATTAAAGATGTGATTTTGTATGAATTCCTTCAGTTGCAGGTGCCAGCAATGACGCCTTGTGGATTTGTTTGATTTGCGGCCACGTGGGTTGCTCGCGTTATCATCAGGGTCATGCGTTTGAACATTATCGCGATACACACCATTGCTATGCGATGCAACTGGGTAATAATCGCGTCTGGGATTACGTAGGTGACAATTTTGTGCACCGACTGCTGCAGGACAAAGATGGCAAAATGGTGGAGGGTGGTCATTCCGCAGCCAAGAGCGAGGGTGCTGCTGTAGAGGAGAAGGTTGATTCTGTGCAGCTGGAGTTTACATATTTATTAACATCGCAGTTGGAAACACAACGGCAATACTTTGAAGAGAGGCTGAGTCGTTCGGAACAACGTTACATGGCGGATATTAGCGAGCTGAGGGATAAGTTGGGGGAGGTGCTCGAGGAAAACTCGCAGTTCAAGGTAGATAATCGTTAAAATCTGGTAAAATCTTATTTTTTTCATATTTTCTTCTTATTCTTTTTTTTTCCTTTCTCTTGTTCTTTGTTAGCTTGATTGATCACACAAAGAAAATGTCTTTATTTTATCAGAAGCAATTTGCGACGCTCAATCGCGACAAGCAGACACTGGAGAAGCGTTTACAGCACTCCACTAACAAGTTAACGCAAGTACAAGCGGAATTAACCGAAGAGAAAGACCTGAGAAAAGCTCTGCAACTGAATCAGACTTCGTGGCAAACAAAGTACAAGAAATTGCAGGATGAATTTTCTGAATTAAAAGTGACTAAGGAAGCCGAGCTCACTGATTTGAAGGAACAAATCCGAGATCTCATGTTCTTCCTCGATGCTCAGAAACAGATCGAGGAGTCCGCCGATCGAGATGAAATAGCTGCCGGTCGTATTGTCATTCCTCCGAGTTCTAAAAATGGGAAATCGTCAGGATCTCGAGGGCACAAAGGTCACAAGAGGCATTAAAATTGTTGGCGATTGTTGAAAGCTTAAATTTTATATTCTTTCTGCTTAGAGTCTAAACTTTTTCACTTAGGTTTGAGAATTCTTTTGACCTGCAAGAGAAAAATGTGGAAAACAATATATTTTAAATGTCAATTACAAAACTTTATAATGTTACAAAACGTTATAAAGGAAATTATAAGTTATTAGACAAATTGAGAAATTATGAACTTTGTCTACACTGTATGTCACTAAATTAAATTAATTTTTAGCATGTCTCATATATTCTCGTCCGGTTTAAATCCCCGATTATCATATTGAAATTGACTGGAGTTCGAGTGTCTTGGTTGTAGATTATTAAAGATATGATTCGAATGCCTTCTTAAATCATTAGCATCATCATAAATATCATACGGTTTCTGAGTCTGTGTCCTTCTTCTTTCTGCTAGAATAGATGAACGTCTCCGCTCAAAGGCGTCAAATGCACCTTTTGACATTCGTCTGGACATGTGTCGCGTCAAACCTGCGAAATAAACAAAGTTTTGAGCAAAAAGTAACTTATAAAAGTAATAAATGTGACAAAAGTATATATTACATAAGAATTTGTGTTACATAGGAATGCCTGTAGCATATGTACATATGTATGTGCGTGCGTGCGTACGTGTGTGTGTGTGTATGCATTATATATACATTATGTATATATGAGATAATTAAATATAAAGTTTTTCGATTTTTATTTTGCGAAATTTTATTTTTTGTATCTTCTCAACTTTGATAATTTTTTATTTGTTTTTTATAATTAAGCGCTGTGAACACCCTTACATTATCTAATTTAAAAAAAATTAAGCGTATAAAAATAAAACAAGAATCTTAAAAAAAAAACTATACCCGATGCATTTGGATTACGAAGCTTTCGTCGAAATAGCTTTTCAAAGTTTCCTAGCATTCTCAACGGCCCATGCGATGGCCCTTTTTTCGTTAACTCAGATATAGTCCTTCGTCTGCCAGGAGACGTCAAGGTACTTCGTCTAAATTCAAAAATTAGATCATCGTCTGCCATATGTTGAAGTCCTTGTGCTATTTTATCAGCATCTCTCCCGAAAATGCTATCTTCTGAGGAAGTTATCTGAGAAAATAAATCAAAGAAAAAAAAAGAGAATTATATTATATATTTTTGTAGAAAGCAAACATTTCCTATTTAAATTAATTCTCTGAAAAATATTCTATATCTCTTATATTTCTCTTAAGATAAATCTATTTTGTATTTCTGAAAATTTCTTTAATGATATTTCTTTAATGATATTTTTAAAAAATAGTCGTAAAGAGTTTAATTTGATTTTTTCAAAATTTGAGGAGAAAATAACATTTGAGGAAAAAGAAGCATTTTATAGATAAACTATTTTTTAAAAACATATTACCTTAGAGCAGAAAGGAAGCCTCGTACTAGCGAGCATATGGGCAAATGTGTCGAATCGGTGAAATAGCATAGCGAAAAACTGGATACCCAATATGCTGATGAACGCAACAATAAATAAGCATCCAATCGGCTCGAGTTTTAAATATTCTTTTCCCATGTGCACCTGAAATATATAATTGAAATATATGTCATAAAAAATGCGTAACAATTAAGAATTACTTAGTCTGTAATTAAAAAGTTCAGAAAGGAAAAAATATATAATTTTTCTTTAAAACGGATCTTACAAGTTATGTACTTTTAGTAACATATTTTTGCGTAAATTTTACAATCTTAATTATTACAATATCAATAATAAATGTTAAATTAAGATTTGTGTAATATCGTTAGATATAAGAAATGTATAACATTGTTAATGAGGACTGATAATAATATGTTGATTGTTATAGAAATATTTACCTCATATTCATCTCCTTTTGCAACAAATGTGATATTGTACTTCATTGCCAGTGGCCATTGCAAATACAATATACTTTTATTCAATTGCATAAGGAATACGATCAACACGAACAGAGCATTTATCATGAAGAACTTTGATAGATATGCATCGCGACAGTTTATCAGTTCCTGAGCTATTTTATTCTAAAACAATTTAATTAAAAAATAAGACATGATGAGAGAGAAAATAAATCGTTTAATAGCAGTTTAATATTATTTTATAATATATATACTAGCAAGAACAAAATCAATCTAGTAATATTGTGAAACAAAAAATTTTGCACGTCTTATGTACTTTTCTGTTGTTTCTGTTATTATCTCATTAAGCATATAAACAATTTTAAAATACAAAGATAGATATCCTTTTTGCACATCCCAAAATGAACACAATCTTCAAACTAAAGTTATGTTCCTTAAATATATATTCTATTGGATGTTGTAAATGAATTCCTATTAATTGTTTTCATTTGGCTTAATTTTTTTTTCTTTTTTTTTTAAGATAAAAATTATATCTGTACCTCACTCTCTTCGTCGCTTTCAATGGGTCGCAAATATTTCGCAATCAAATCCTTCCAGAATTCCTCCTCAAAATTCGATAGAAAATCTACCTCACCCTTTCGCATTCTTTCGTCCTGGAGCCAGTAAGGACTGATGAGGAAGTTGGAAGAACGATCATGACTAGAGACCCCCGACACCTGTGTCAGAACATCGCTTTCGTCGTCGTCAGAATCCTTGTAGGTTTCGTTCTCATGATCGCTCTTATCGCTCATTTGTAGCTCGATTCCCTCGGGTACTTCCTCTTCTATTATCTCTTCCATTGGAAAATATGATTTTGTGTATATATTAGCATTGGAAGATGATTGAGCAGCATTGTTTGCCTCCATTTTCGTTGCATGTAGTTGACTGGAATTGATCAATAATTATTAAATCTGTACAAGTCCTATAAAATCAGTAAATCAATTATTTAAACAATTCAAATCTTTTAGTGATCAAGAAAATTTAATATTAATAAAGATATAAGAGAAGAGAGAAATCTCAATAAGATTTCATTTACATCTTGTACAAAAAAAAAATAACTCTGGACTGAGTTTCATAATTGTAAGTAAAATGATAATTTCAAACCTGTCTAATAGGCTCAGATGCTTATTTATTTGTTGCAAGGACTCGTTGATCTCGTTCAACCGCTTCTCTTCGTAACTTATTCCCGAATGAATGCAACAGACGCATTTAAAAATATCTCCTAAAGAAAATTCGAACGAGCCTTTTTGATTCCCATCTTGCCTGTTTCCTGATCTCATTATGAACTTGGACAGATTGCCAATTCTCGTAGATTTCTGCTCCTCTTGAGGCTTTTCCATTTTTTTTCATTATATTAATTCATTATATTAATTGTAACACGATTATTTTTCAGAACATTTTATCAAGCAATTTTATAAAAGGCTTTATAGTTTAGAAATAGAAATTTATAAACTCAGTAAGACTAAATTCTTCAAAAGAAATTTACAAAATATGTATAATCTAAATGAAGAAAAGAAGAAAGAAAAATATATCTTGAAAAAGTAAGTCTACTAACTATTATTTATGATATACAGGGTGTTTCAGACCAAATATGTAATTTACAATTAACAATTCCATATTTTTTCTTAAAAACAACTGTATGTTTTCTTTACACCAATTGATTCCTCTCATTATTTTGTACATAAAAGTATTAAGGTAAGATAATCAAAAAGTGAATATTTTACAAGATATTTTATTGTTTATGTAAAATTAAGAAATGATTTCAAGCCTCATAACTCGAAAAGTACTTCATGAAAAAATAATTTATTATAGTATTTTGGAAAGCTCTCGAGGTAAGCTACAAGAATATGCAATGAAAAATAGGGGGTTCCATTTTAAAAAATGCACTTCCGGTCTGAATGGCTTATTTCCGGCTGGAACCAGAAGTTGAAAATATCACCATTCGATAGAGCGCACTCGATTTATAAAGAAAATGTTTTTACTTTTTTGAAATAACAACTTCTCTAGTTTTTAAATGAGTAGTACGGGTGGTCTGAAACACCCTGTATACAGTCTTCATTCTGGAGTAACTCGAGGTTGACAAACAGCAGACACTTACAACACTCGCCTTCTTCGAGTCTCGCGTACCCCATGTAACGTTATGTACATTGAAAACGGAAAAGACGGTCAGCAACATGTACATGGAGGGCACTGTGATGTAATAGATAATGCCACACAATAGACAAGTTGCTTCCTGGGGATGTAACAAGCCAGCCACTATCATTTGACACGCGACAATAAAGAAGAGAATGCTGCTGGGTGCTAACCATCCATCCTCGGCAATTTGTAACATAATTCCCACCAGAACAATCACCATCACTAGCCCGTACATGGCACTGATGATCTCAGCTACTATTAACTGCGCAAAATCGTATTTTATTAATTATACAATACAATTGTCCATCTAGTAATTATCAGTTAGCCTAATAAAATAATAAAAAAAATATATTTTTCCATTCTTTTCAAATATCTTTGAAGCTTCTATTCTATATACTTCCTCAGTAGCAGAGTATTATTTGAATCGTATACCTGCACGCGTTCCTTACAAGTGAAGCAGACTCCGATGAACACGCCGATTGGGATCAGATTGTACCAGAAACTGGTCCAGTTATCGATACGAAATGCGGCAACAAATGCGCCGACCATCATCAGAAATATCGTTCCTGGTCCTAGGATTGTACTCCCTTAAAAAAATAATCGATTTAATTTATAATTTAATAGAATCCAATTAATATTGTCTGATATAAGACACATATTGAAAACACACCCATTAGGACCCATTGATAAGCGATGTACAGCCATGAAATGTCGTTGTTGACCTCTCTCGTCTGTTGGGCGGTCATCAATAAATCAAATATATTTGCGACAGTGGAGGGAATCCACCTACGACGTTGTATAAACAAATCTCTGAAGATTTCCGGTGCGTGAGTATACGCGTCACTCGCCGCTGAATATTCGACCTAGAGAAGTAGAATAGAAGAGAAGTAATTTTTTAAATAGTATCAATAGTTTAATATAAAATATTAATATAAAATATTAATAAAATATTAATAGTTTTTTTTTAAGAGAAGTAATTTTTTAAATAGTATCATATTGTCTAGCATTGTATCTTTCTCAGTTGATTTAATCCAACTTACCCGGGAACCCACTTGGAGAAGCAATGTACAGAGCCATCGGTCCTCACCTTGATCATATTGAATGTAATGTCTGGCTTCGGTCGATTTAGTGGCATATTTCGCCATCACGTTATGTTGCATCAACGCCTTCGCTCGGAAGAGCGAAAAACAGCCGGGGCTGCACAGAACGCAACCGATCGTGTGCTCTGTGGATTTTTGCAGCCAATGGCCGATGGCGTATTCGAACTTTTGGAACCAGATTATTGGACCTGTTCAAAACGATATAAGACACTTGAGTCTGAAGCAATTTTTTTTGTCACGTGGACTAGAATCTTTCATAAAGAATATTCCAATCGCACAATAAGAGCTCATGTTTGCACATATTTCACTCTACACACCTGATCCGACTGGATGTATTCGGCCACATGCGGCACCAAGATCCTTATCCTTTTTCATCAGGTCCACCAGAATCTTGACAGCGGTAGGTCGGAAGTCGATATCTCCATCCAACGTGAGAATGTATGTATTCTCAGCGATGATCTCTTTCCGATCTACGTCGATCGAGAGACCCATCAAGCGATAGCCCAGAAGATAATACATGTACATCACCTGGAAACATTATAGGTGTACAAAGCATCTCTTGAATCACAGGTAAATTTTTATTAATAATATAAATTTTAATAATATAAATCTTTTTATTAATTTTAATTAATTTAAATAATTTTAACTAATATAAATTTTAATAATATAAATTTTTTATTAAATTTTTTTATTATTTTATTAATAATATAAATTTTTATTATAGATTTTTTGGAACATCTTTCATCTTTTTTCTAAGGAACAAAAATTATATTAAAAAAGCATTTACTTATTTCTTGATGCATTTTATTTATCGATATATTTATTTTCACGCTCAAATACCTGACTCCATCGTTTTCTGTGCCTGATCTTATTGTTATCCTTCAAATGAACTATCAATTGAGTTTTTCCAGGTAACGTCCACGCAAGACGACCTCCATAAGGCGTCGGATATTTAATGGGCGGTGTATAATGCATTCTCAAATCCTCCACATTCTTTTGAATTGTTTCCACCAGCGTTATCACATATTGATTGACTTGTGTCTCATTCTCATCGTGATTGCATGGATCAATGCAGCCGTGCATGCAGCAAAAAGCGTCGTCGAAGAAAATGTGCGCTGCAAAAAATAATACACAAATATCAACTAAAAGTAAAAAAAGACATTTGTAAAATAGAAGAAGAATTAAATTATTGTAAGCAGTTAACGTTAGTTTCTTTTATTCAAAAAAATACTAAATCAAAATTAAATGCAAATAGATTCGATTATTCACTTAGTATCCATCGTTCAAACAAAATTTCTGATTTATTATTTATTATTGTGCATGTATATTTTAATTGCAATATTTCTTATATGAACATGACTTACTTTCCAACTCATAATAGTCCTCGATTCGAACCTTGTAATGTCTCTGCGTCTCGCGCATTGCACATTGATCCCTGTCCAATCGCAGGATACTGCTTATCAAATGATTCATCTCGTTTCTCTCTTCATGCCACATCGTAGCGCACGCATAAATCTTTGAGATACGATCCTTGCGTTTATTTGTGTTTAGATCTTCTCTATTTAAGTCCTGCTCGAGCTTTCCAATGTCTAAACTGATATCGGTAGCTTCTATTTTGAAATCATCATCATTCTGAAATTCCAAGATTGATTATAATGAATATTATTTATTTTTTTAAAATTGTTTTTTATTATAAATTAATATTATAATAAAAAACGATTGCGATAATAGATAGACAAATCGTTTAATTCCGTACTGGAATTTCGGTGTCTTTGTTTTTCTCCTCATCGTCCTCATCAGCATCCTCATTTTGTGTTTTTTTGTTCAAGGCTAAACATTGATCGATCATAAGAGAATCGTAAGTAATGGTGGAGAAGATTCTTTCCGCTAACGCCAGTCTTTCATTCTCGGTAGTCCACAAGTGTCTCGTGATCCATATTTGCGACATCAACCATATCAGCCAACACCAAGTATACCAATTGGAGACAAATGCGCTCCAATCTTTCAACAAGAATTCTTTGAAGAAAAAGTAGTCTATAAATGTACCATAAAAGGCGCAGACATTCTTGTTCCTGATGTCGTAAAGAGCCATGATTAAGCATACTGTTCCTAGACCAGCCAAGCTTATTGGAAAAGCGAAGCCAAACTGGTACATATGGGTCCTGTAGGCGAATTTACCTGCAATCATTTTTTTTTAATTATTTAAGGATTTCAGAAAAGCCTTCCAAATGTGAAGAAAAAGCACATTAATTTAAAATATCTAAAAATATCTAGTAAAACAAAATAAAAGAAGATGATAATTTCTAGTTTTAAAGTAAATATATATATTTTACTTTTCGGATTTTTAAATGTTATTAAAATTTGTACGATTTTTTCTTGACAAATTTGCCTATAGACTTACAAGCTTGATACATTGTCATGGCACAGACAGCTTGTACCGCAAAGACGTAGAGAGGCATAAAGTTTTCAGTCAAAAAATGTTCTTCCTGCGATACATCCTTAAGCGCAATTAAATTAACATTATACGCTTCATTGAATCTGGGTAAAAAGAAGCTCTTGGCATCTACCTCTTGGCATACATTAACGACGAAAGCACCGATGATAAAAATGATTATTCTGCAAAAGGACGCGAATCCTTGCACAATGTGCTGACTCGGCTGAAGATCCTCCTTCACAGAGGATAAGAATCGCATCAGACCTACAAGAAAATTTGCTAAGAAATTACATGTCCAGTTCTAAATACACTGTATCAATTTTTTTTAATGCAAAAAATCACGTATTATTTTATTGAAATATGTTAATGTATTTCAAATAATCATTTAAAATTGTAAAAAAAAAATTATTTTTCTCTGCTTTTCCAAAGTTTTACCTCTGAAACAATAATGTATCATTATATAAAATTCATACATACCAACATTATTACGAAAGAACACAAAATTGCTCCACCAACGAATCGAGCACAATATGAGAGCGATGGGAAAGATCCACGTCGATGTTTTGTTAACGTCATATTGGATCAGAATGGGCAAGAATATCCCGCTAATTTGTGAGACCAACGCCAGTGCATCAAAGATTTTGAATAATCTTGCTTTGTTCGTCCATAAATTTCGATCCTTCTCATCTCGCGAGAGTAAATCTGCAAAATATTATTAACAATGCAAATTCAACAGAAATAAAGGTGTGAATCTATTCCCGACTATTTCGGGTCGATTACAAACGATATAATAAATATATTTTATAATAATTTTACTTATAAATATATTTATAATTTTATAAATTTAATATAATATAATATAATAATTTTAATATAATTAAAATTAATATAAAATTAAATTTTAATATAATTTTAATATAATTTTATAATTTATAATAATTTTACTTATAAATATAACTCTAGCATTATAATAATCAATCTAGTCTAATTATTAATATAATTATATAATTTTAAATTGAATTAACTTAATCTGAGATTAAATTAATTCAATTAATTTAATTTAAAAAAATAGATAATTGTCACATTTAAATTTATACTAATAATAGATTAATCAGTCTTTATTATCTCACACAAACTTACTTAACAATCCTGGTATAAAACACAAACAGCAAAAAATAGTGGCGCCTTGCACCGCTCCAATTTCCGGCAGGATGATAAAAGTTAACAGAACCAAACCGATCGTATGGAGAGTGTCTATCACGATCGTGAAGAGAATATATCGCTTTTTCGGCATTCTCGGTTTCCTCTTGAATAAATAATGCCATAAAGCGTTTAATACACCGATGCATTCCGGTACGAGAAATATAAAAATCAGGCACCAAGTCCATCCTAAGCGGCCGTCCTCCGTATGTTTAATTTCATTCAAGACCTCATATCCTTTCCGTTCTGAGAAATTTACAAATTTTACAAAAAATATATTATGTATGCGATAAAGACGAATTTACTTGAATATGGAAGGATAGATAGAGTTGATATAACATTGTACAGTAATATGATAAATTAATGATAAGAGAGATAACTCCCAATAGTGTGTCATACCTTTTAATATCACAATAGAATTATTTTTTGAATTTTATGTAAATAGTATTTATATAAAATTAAACGTACTTCTTTAAATAATTAATATTTTTCAATAATTATATATTTTATTTACATAATTTTTATTTAGTTTTTTTATTCAAATTTAATAACAATTTTATATCTAATTTAAAAATTTCTCATAATCAAAATTTAATTGCCATAATTAACAAATTTCAAAATTTATACTCTTTATAATTTTAATATAAATTTTATCAATATAAATTTATATTTTTAAAACCTTAGAAATATTAAAGCGTTTGTTAAGAAGTATAAATTTTTAAAATCTTGAAATTTTTTCATCATGATCGTCTATAAATTCTTTAATTATAATAATAAAAATTGTAAGTCTACCTGAATAACTGCAAATGGGCCACGATTGATTCTTCTGCAACTGCGAGGTTGCAAATAAGATAGCAGTTTTAGCCGCGATACCACTGCATAAAACGATAACAAATAGCAATCCATAAATTAGCACTTTTATAATACAAATGACAACCTCGAAAAATTGATTATTCCGCACGGATCCACTTTCTATTTGAGAGGGGAAGGATTTGAACATATCCCATGGCGGAACATCCTTCTGCAAACTGAAAAGTGAGATCCAAAGCCTGTACCTTCTAATACTAGTTACTATCATCTAATCATTTTTTCTAATTAAAATTTATTAGGATTCATTTTTTCAATATTCTTGAATAATTCTGTGTTAATAAATTTTTCGAGCCATTTTAATCACAGTAAAAGTACACATTTCCTAGATCATTATGTAAGAATTATGCATATTTATTAGTTATAGCTTAAACAAAAAATGGAAGAAATGGATTTATTTAAATACGTACTCCTCTCCCTCAGTTTCTCCTGAACTGCTGTCATCGTAGTAATCATCGAAGATACTGAGTCTCGGTTCATTTTCTCGACCTATCGAGGACATATTTGCGAATTTTGCGACTTACTTATTGCGAAGACTGAAATTAATATGTATCCGCCACTTTCCACATACGACTTTTAAACGCGTCACCGATCGATAAAGTATTATCATCGATGCTACGATAAGATCAGATAAGATTCGTAATTTAGGGTCAATTCGGAAAGAATCATTTCCGAATTTTCATTTAAGATTGCACACTTTGGCGCATACGCAAGTAAATAGACACGAGCCACATCGATAAATACACACAAGGCGCATCCAAACAGCATATTATTGACTTTCTAAAGTAATTAAGAAAATAAATATATTTATAAATATAATATATTGCAGAGGAATGTGTTCTACAGTTGTATTTATATTCTTATTTAATATACAACAAGATATGACATATATATGTAAGTTGAAGCTCTCTGGCTTTTATTTCCGTACTTGGGAAGAACTGATAACTTCTATTGTGTTTAATATAACAGAGGAAAACAAAAAGTAACATGTTTGAATAATACGGCTAAATACATCAAAACCGAACGATAAGAAAATAATATGCCTCTACTAGAGTCTGACCTCCATCCATCAATCGCTCGCATAAATCATGTAGGCGCATTTACTTCGTGATGCCGATGACGCCGCAAGCGAGACGAGCGCCAGCATTACCGGTCGTTTTCGAGAGCTCGTGGCCACCCGCTCCCAAATCATCCGGATCAGCGTGAACCTGAAGATTAGAAATATATATAATTTAAATATATTTAATAATATTATAATAATATAAATAATATTATAATAATATATAAATAATAATATATAAATAATATATAATATTATAATAATTAAATAATATAAATAATATTATTAAAAATATAATTTAGCTGTCTTACATCTAAATAAAATATTGCACAATTTTCTTTAGTGTTATTATCAAGATATTATTGTGCTAATATCTCTGATGAAATCATCAAAACACTCACTTTGTAATGACTCTACATTTCTTATTAAATAAAAAATATTCTTAAATAAAAAAAAATCTATCAATAAAATTTAGCATTAATAAAGCATACTCAGAGCACATTCAGATAATTCTTATATTACAACTTGGTAAAGGGTAAATCTATATTGTACAGATTTTCTATGAGAATGGAAACAATATAAAGGCAAAAATCATGAGATAATGTAAGTGAAAAAGAGAAGACGAAATTTAAAACTAATACATACCACAACAGTTCGTCCAACAACACTATGCGGTCCACTGAGCTGAATCTGGGAGTCAGTGATGTTGACCTTTGCAACACCATCTGCACCAGCTTCCACGTTTCCTAAATCTCCAATGTGGCGCACAGAATCCTTTGGACCGCCATGCTCCTTTCCCAAAGGATTGAAGTGAGCACCTGCACTAGTACAACCTGCGGAAAAACATGATCATACATCTTACACACTATAACTTGACTTTTGAAATATATTTTAATGTATTTGCAAGCCTCAAATCTTTATTGAAGGATAAAAAAATTATAAGAAAAATAAGCACTTTACAAATTTTCAGGTAAATAATGAAAATAAATTATGATTTAAATAAGTCATTGAGAAAACATGTTTAAAACATTATTAAATTTCAAGGTCATGATAATTATTATTTAGCATGAAATGCAATTTAACATGTTAATCTAATATTGAAACAATATATCTGGCATTAAAAATTAATATTGTTGAAATGGAATAGAAGAAAGTCAATCTAATATTTATTTTAAAAAATTACAAATAAATCACAGTAATACAGTTATGTTAGATATCACATATAATCTCTATCCTCTGTCTCTATCAAGAAGTAAATATAGAATCACATTGATATCACATATATTTTTTTCATAATTAATTTGTTATTGTTATCTCTCTCTCCTTCTCTCTCTTACAAGAGGTAGAAATAATTTATTAAAATAAGTTCCAGAATTCTCAAAGACACTATTGTAAGAAATTATAAATGCAAATAAGATAACCTTTAGCACTTCACAGTTTTTACGAATCGTTACATAATATGTTTATTCCACCAATGTATAAGAGTGCACAAATTCACTATATCTGACACATTTTTATATTTATATTTTGATTGAAAAAGGAATAATAATATATACAATTTTGAAGAATAAAGAATCAGAATCAGTACTTCTATCTTTAATTATTTTTCTCTTACTTTGTATTTTGCTTATTCTTGCAAATTTATAAAGCAAAAAATATCCATTAAAATATATCAAATTATATATTTTGCAAAATATAACACAGTATGCAAAATGTAACACATACAGCACAGTACAAAAAAATTAAAATAAAAAAAATCAATTTTTATCAAAGAAAAAAAGAGAATTCTGCTAATATTTGGAATAGAATATCAAAATTTAGAACATTAGAATTTTATTTAGAATTTAGAGATTAGAATTTAGAGCAAAGAATTAAAAATGTGACAAATATTAATTTGAAATTATAAATTATAATCAATATTTTTTTGAGAAATTACAAATTTAAAGACTGTATTATTTGATTCTACCAGATAATTATATAAAATAATTAAAATGATATAAAAAAATACATGCTATCTGAATATTCTTATGTGTATTTGATTCTAATATACCATTAGTGTTATCGCCAAATTCATGAACATGAAAGCCATGCAAGCCTTTCTGTAAGCCAGAAACTTCTCCAGTCACTTTCACCGTACTTGAACCATCCTGCAATATACAAATTAAATTTACTATAAAATAAAAATTAAAAATATTATCAGAAAAATATTATTTTTCAATACAAACAAAAATTAAAGATTATAATTAAGCATTATATGATATTAATTTCTCATAAACATCATCGTTTTCAGAAAACATAAATCAGAAAATACATAAACTATTTGATAAGATACAGATGTAATTTATACAAAAAATTTATTTAAAAAATTTCAGATATATTAAATACAAAGTACTATTTTTTTGCATCGCGTAAAAGGCAAGAATCTTTCGAGCCTGGAACGAATAAGTGATTTACTGGAAAAACATAAAAATTAGATTCGGAAGTCTTTTCTCTAGATGAGATTTTACCGCTTGCTCGAAGTGCACGGTTCCCTTAACGGATTCGCCCTGAAGAACACAGACCGCCTTGATCGTCATTTTGCGAATATTCCTGAACGCTCGAGACCTTGACGGATGGACGATTCGCGATAGACTGCGCGATTATGCAAGAATAAAAAGATTCAACTGCTGAATCACGTCTAATCAAAATCAGAAAAACTGCTGACGTGCCGTGTGTGCGACTGACATATATATATGTATAGGTGATATGTGCTTCTTTATGTCGGCGAAGTATCTCAAACGATAAGATAGCCAGTAACGAGCTGATAGCCAGAATAAGATGTAGATGTGGCGATAAACAGAGCGGTTTCCGCGATAATATTTCGCCGGCGACGCTTGAGTGAAGAAAAAGGAGAGGAAACGATGACGGTCTCTCTTTCCTTTACTACGTCTTTCGTTGAAGAGAGACGGAGATTCTCCCATCTATCACTTCGTGGCTTTTTTCAGATCGTATTAAGCTATCTACTCCTTTATTCGGTTCATGGATAAATTTATTATTAAATATATTTAATAAATTAAATAAATTATTATTAAATATATTAAATAGATATATTAAATAAATTTATTATTAAATATATTTAATATGTTAAGTCATAAATCAACAATATTCTTCTTAGAAATTAAGTAATTTCCTCATTTCTGAATATGCCAATTTTATAAATATTTGTTTCAATCGACAGTCATGATGTAGAAATCACTAGACGCGATGCGTGTAGGTATTATTGACCCGTGACTATCTTCAAGTGATAAGCATACAACCAATCGGGCTTCAGAAGGTACCTTGTGTCAACAACATGGCGCGGGCAATCAGAGATTTATTAGACTTTTTTTTAATAGTAATGATTTTTTTTAATGTATGCTATTTGACATTTATTTAGGGATTATTTATTTTTCATTGATATATTTAATAATTATATATAAATATATTTATTTATTTTTCATTGATATATTTATTGTCTCTATTGCACTTTTTTATTTCGTGTAAAATACATAGAGTGGAAGAATGATTAAAAAGTAAATATATTATTGTTATATATATAATATATAATATTATATATGTTATATAACATATATATAATATACAGGGTTACAATTTCAGACCACCCGTACTACCCACTTAAAAACTAGAGAAGTGGTTATTTCAAAAGAAAATTTCAAGAAAAAATATGGAATTGTTAATTGCAAATTACATATTTTTTCTTAGAAACAACTGTGTGTTTTCTTTACATCAATTGTTTCCTCTCATTATTTTGTACGTAAAAGTATTAAGGTAAGATAATCGAAAAGTGAATATTTTACAAGATATTTTATGATTTATGTAAAATTAAGAAATGATTTCAAGCCTCGTAACTCGAAAAGTACTTCATGGAAAAATAATTTATTAAAATAATTAAATAGGGGGTTCCATTTAAAAAAATGCACTTCCGGTCTGAATCGCCTATTTCCGGCCGGAACCAGAAGTTGAAAATATCACTAATTGATAGAGCGTACCCGATTTATAAAGAAAATGTTTTTACTTGTTTGAAATAACCATTTTTCTAGTGTAAATAGATGGTACGGGTGGTCTGAAACACCCTATATATATATATATATATATATATATATATATATATATATATATATATATATATATATACCTCTTTCGAGAGAGCATACAAATAAACAGACAAATGCATCTTACTATTGCGTTCGTTTATTTTTCTTATGTTCTACTGTAATACTGTAATAACATACAAGAAATGCACTTTAATGAAACCTACAGAAGAGAATCTGAAATAGAACCTGATACTTAACATCTTTTTCACGCCATTCTGCCTTTGCGCCCGCAATACACAAATGTAATAAATGTATACTTTTTTGTTTCTCTCTCGCTTAGCAACAAACGCAAACATATTTCCGTTAACCGGTAGATTCTTTTTCTTTTTTCTTTTTTTTTTTTCGTCTTTTTCGATCGATATAAGCGATTCGTACGGCAAATTCATTCACTTGCTCGCTTCTCGAGTACTCATGCACCCTAAACGCATTTACACCCACACATGCTATTGTTATTATACCGCTATTAGCGTACTTGCCGCTCTGAAATATGTCATGGTGAAAAAAAAAACAATAAACGAGCCACACTTTTTTTTCCCTTTCAATGAGTTACCTCTCTTTGGCCGTGAGAATTAATCAAATAATTACACTTTAGTTGAAATCGCTCGCAATCAGGAAATTTCGCCATTTTTCTCTTTGCCTTCGCTTTCCTTTTTTTTTTTTATTTATTTTATTTTATTTTACTTTTACGCTCTTTTTCCCCTTTCCATCGCGACAAGTGTTATCGAAACGTAAGAATTTATCCCCGCGGAATGGAATCGTCAAGATTACGGTGTAATTAATATCACTCCTTTCATATCACCCTTCCCAGCAAACACCAAATAACAGTTATATAAATGTTACTTGGTGTTTGCTGGGTTGTAGCAAATTTGATTGTACCAAGCAAAGTAGCAGGATCGCTCCAAGAAAGGAGTGGACCTATAATTGGCAACATTGCTAATAATTCGTAATGGTTTTTGTGAGAATTATGCTGGAAAATTCATTTCGCTTCTAATCCTCTTAAGAACTTCCTTGAATGATTAGAGATTTAATTTCTATAAACTTCAAGTCTCACACAGCCTACATACACACACAATTTTAATAATATATGCATATTTTAAAGACTAGAATTATTTGACAATGAATCTTTTCATTATTGTATCGCGCGCACATTTTTTCCAATTGCAGTTTCTCACGAAAAAAAAACATTACAAATTATATCATCCTGCCAACTATGTCGCTGATTTCCGAATTCGTTTGCCATAAAAGAATGCCAGGTTTTCGTTGAGATCCGGTCATTAAAACTGTTTTATGAATTATCGAGCAACATTATAAAACGATTCTGACTAGATAGTATTGATGATAGATAGATTCGACATCACAAACTATAACAGAATGTCTCTCCTCTCCTCTCCCGATTACGGAATAGACGGATCTAGATTTCCTGTCGAAGATCCAAGAAGCTAGCGATTTAGGAATCATATTTTTCCGCGGAAAATTCAAAAGAAAGTAGGCAAAATTAGTGACAACTACATCTCACACGCATCGAAAATAAGAAAAAATATTATAAAAAATATTGCAAAAAATTGTACATGTCGTAGACATGTCTTAAACATCTAATATCTTCTTCTGATTTCACGCTTGATAAATGATTTTTCGAATTAACCAAATTCATCGATAACAGACATTTACGACCAAGGAGTGGCTTTCGAAAATTATACAAATACAATCTATAATTCGTATAAATGTACGTATGATATTTATGTGCAATAAAAAGAGCTCTCTCTCTCTCTCTCTCTCTTTCACTGTCATAATCACACGCACGCACTCTCATCTAAATAAATTGAGTCGATTACAAAAATCTTGATCGCATATTTTCGGACACGAGATCGCGTTCGTCCTTAAATATTTCATCCATATAATTCGGAGATGGAAGGTTCAGCGACATCGTATTGTTCGAGGTTCCGTTTTTCGACGAGAGCGCGATTTGTAGAATCGCTATTCTAAAAGGTACACCACTATTCGGTTTTTGTAATTCGTTATCGCGCCAAAATGCGACGTTACATGTTCGGAGCTTAAAGTATTAAAAGGACGATGTGCAATGGCGTCATTTTTCGGCGTCTTCTCTCTTGGTTATTCGTATAATGTCACGTTTGACGTTTGCCATGTGGCGCGCCACGTGGCGTTAACTTGACAGTTCGCGCCACGTGACGTCAACTTGACAGTTCGCGCCACGTGACGTTAACTTGACAATTCGCATGACACGTGGGCGACGCGCGGGAACTCGCAAAGTTCCCTCCCCCTCGCATACACTATCTTTTTCACCTCGCAAGTTTAATCATACAAATTTATATAATTTAGCGACCACCTCGATTCCCCGGTCGAGGATGATGACACTCATACGTACACGAGCAGACATGCATACAGGCGTACGAGTCTCAACGGAGAAATTTCCAAGGAAAATAAGAGAACAAAAGGGCAAAAAAAAATTTCGCTACGGATCACATTTTCCGTGTCGAATTCATTTTGTTCGTCGTACATTCTCGAATTAGGACAAAACGCACCGCGTTCTCGGCGCGCGCGTTTTTACCGCCAAACACGAGTAGATTTTTTCCAAGCTGGAATTTTGAAAATCCAAGCATCCCGAGGAATCTTACGTGATCCTACGTCGTGTCCAGCGCTAGAAACGTGCCGCTAAAACGGTCTGATTGATGTGACGCGCTATACCATACTGTTGTTGAAGGATTCACCCGTCGAAGGACCACAAAAAATGAAGCGCGAGACAGGATCAGGGCTTTGCGGGGCCCGTCCCGTACGAGTATGTTAGTAAAGAGGATAATTAATTACGCGATACTTTGTTTTGAGAGCAACAGGTTACATCTTCGGCACATACTTTTCGCCACCTTGCTTATCTCGCGGAGATTCGACGAATCTTAACGACTCGTTTTCATTAGTCGGTGTGTATTTTTTTTTGCGTTTTAATTGCGCACTAGTTGCACTTAGAAACGTTATTGCGAGTTCAAACGAGAAAATTAGGAGTGTATGATGAACCAAAATCAGCCGCGAATCTAATTCGGCTGGACATTGATCGCTCATTTTCATCATCCAGCGAACACCAAATAACAGTTTTATAACTTTTCGTTGTAATTTCTCACTCGATAATATAACTGTTACATAACATGTAACAGTTATATTGTCGAGTGGGAAATTACAATTAACAATTGGACTGAAGAAAAAATTATATTGAAATAAAAAAATTTTAGTTAACTCAAGAAAGCTATTTATTCGGTGGGTACTAATCACGTATTTACTTGTATTCAAAATGCCTGTTTGCTTAAGTTAGATACTTATTTACATATGTTTAAAAAAATATAATTTTGAATTAAATATTTTTATATTTTAATATATTTTAATTTTACAAAATATTTATTAAAATGCATTTTTTATTCCCAAAAATTTTAAATTGTTTAATTTTAAAAAATAACATATTTAATTTAATAAATTATAGTATATATTTTACGAAAATAGTATTTAAATATAAAAAATATAAATGAAAATAATGTACTTAATATAATATGCATATTTAATTAAAATTAAATGCTTTTGCTTAAATGAAATAAACAATTCCTTCCATTTAAAGCAAAAGTTTCAAGAAAACAAATTTATTTGATTTAAAAAAATTTTTCCCTCAGTGTATATAACTGTTATTTG